GTAGATATTGACTCTAAGGATTCAAAATATGGCGAGACACCCCTACTCTGCGCAGCAGGGTACGGCCACGAGGCAGTGGTGAAAACTCTACTTGCCACAGGAAAGGTAGATATTGACTCTAAGGATTCAAAATATGGCCAGACACCCCTATCCCGGGCAGCAGCGAACGGCCACGAGCCAGTAGTAAAAGCTCTGCTTGCTACAGGAAAGGTGGATATTGACTCCAAGGATTCAAATAGCCAGACACCTCTATTCCGGGCGGCAGCGAACGGCCACGAGGCAGTGGTGAAAGCTCTGCTTGCCACAGGAAAGGTGGATAATAACTCTAAGAATTTATATGGCCAGACACCCCTATTCCGGGCAGCAGCGATAGGTCACGAAGCAGTAGTGAAAACTCTGCTAGCTACAGGAAAGGTGGATATTGACTCTAAGGATTCAAAATATGGCCAGACACCCCTATCCCAGGCAGCAGCGAACGGCAACAAGGCAGTGGTAAAGCTTCTTCATGAATACTAGTAGCTGGCCTTACACAGCTGTAGTACTAGCTCTACCTCGACATCTCGCATTAGGCGATTTGCAGGTATTCACTTTAGTTAATTTGGGGTGTATGCAGTCTCATCAGAACCTTACCGTGTTAGCCTGCCATTGTTGCACTTCCTCGCCATGTCGCAAAAACAGGGGATACTAGGTGCCATTGTAGGAAGTAATTCCATCAACCCTCGGCAGACCCTGAAAACCATTCTAGTTGGGACGACTCAGTTTGCGGTTTCCTATAAAGATCTTGTTATGAAATAACTAGTATGCTTAAGAACATAAGATTTACTATGGATTTCTGCCCAGTATATTCCACGTCAATCTCTTATTTTCCAGTTTCTTTACCCGCCGACACTGGGATACGAGGCTCGATAAGATAAGAATGGTCTGAAACACCATCAAAACTGTCGATATTGTCTCAGCCAATCAACAGTATTTCGACCCCAACAGGTCTTCTCTCCGCCACACTCGGGCGTCATTGGGAGCCTTGCATCGCCTGGGAATTCATCTTGGCAGAACCACTTCATAGTGGGACAAGTAGAGCAAGCTCACCTCGACCGCAGGGATGGTAGGTAGCGCGAGCTTTAATTCAAATAGTCAAGAATTCTTCATCTCTACTTAAAAAATACCGTCCACCTCTTTCCCTCCCCAACTATCGAACAAAATGATATCCAAACTTGTGCCCCTCAAACAACCCATCGCCCTGCGAACAGAATACATTACCTCCCACCCAACAACCATCTGAGTGAAACAACACAGCAACAGCTGGTCTGGAGGCGACTTCACAATCTCAAAATGTCCGACCGACGAGTCTCCCCTCGCGGAGAAACTCTTCACAGTCGATGGAGACTTCAAATCCATCAGTCAACGACGATATTTTCAAGACGCTTCCGGATTACCACTCTTTGAAATCGCCCACAAAAGGCTCGGCGTGACATGGTTTGTGCATCTGCCTGGTGGCAGAGAGAATACGAGCTCCCCTCCCATTGCTACGATTGTACCTCAATGGCATGCCCTTAAGGACAAGTTTGATGTTCATTTGAATAATGCTGCGGCAAATGGAGAAGAGACGATTCTCGAAGTGCGGGGACAGGATGTGTTTAAATCCAAGACCCATGTTTATCACAAGGGCGCACTGGTCACGGCGATTAAGTTGAAAGATATGGTCTCGGTGTATCTACCTGGGAAACGGCCAGCGTGGGAGTTGGAGGTCGCTGAGGGGATGGACCTTTCGTTGGTATTGTGATCTTACTTTTGTATTACCATTGTAGTGATTGTGCTGATTATATGTTTTAGGCTGCCATTATTGGGGTTGTTTTGGCTACTGTGTTATATCAGAGCAGTATGTTACTCGTGGGGAATTGCTGGTGTGCTTGATGCTGATTTTAGTGTAGGTTACAAGGGAACGGCACCGAAGTCTTCCGGGTCAGATCCAGATCCTGGAGTGGGAAGTAGTGGGAAAGAGCTGGCGCCATAGGCAAGAGGATTTGGCATATCGATGATCGCTGTGCATGTGCTATTGTATGCGTTCAAATGTCGGTTGAATTAGAAACCGTTGTCGTTGTTTTATTTAATCACTAGCTCATATCCTTTTACTAGCGTGGCTACTCAGTATACTCACTCTATATACCAAACTATGTGCTTCAGTGCAAGCCTTGCGTCTTTGTGATGTTGATCTTCCTGGCGTGGTTAGATTTTGTACAGTTTGCCGTGCCATGACCATACAAGATATTACAGCCCAAAAAGCTCTTGCAAGCTTCGAGTGCCAAAAGTGTATTAGCCACCCCAAACATACACTATTACAATATCTACGCGACAAAAAATACTAAGAGTGGGGAATGTGTGGTAAGTATATGTGTATGTACATATCTACTGGGATGAATAGCTGTTACATAAACTCTAATCTCAACTACCCCTTCCCTTCAACAACACTATTGCAGTTCAAGCACCAACGGCTTACATGGCCTTCAACGCATCATACTGGCTTTGAGTAACGCCAAGCACAGAATCATGTCTCATAAAGATCAAATCATGAGAGGTATCCTTAGTAAAGACACCCTTACTCAGATCGTCCGTCGTCCACCCAGAAATACCGGGAGAGCTACCGACCAGATCCGCCGTCATATATCCCTTACTGCCGCCTGCATTATCGGCAAAGAAATAGGGGGCTTCATAGCTGTTGCTGTCCGCAACAGAACCAAGAACCGACCAGTCACCGTGAAGTCCATTACTACTGATCTCCACGGGCAAGCCATCGCTGCTGCTGCTGTTGACATATGACCGCAAAAAGGTGTTGCTGTCAAGCTGGAGGAGGCACAGGTCGATGACGTCTGTAGTGCCCACGATATAGTCCTGTGGCTCGGTGAAGGTCTTGAAGTCGCTGGTGTATGCGTAGCGCAGGATGTTGCCGGTGATTGCGTCGCCTGTGTGGTCTGTGTCGTCGGCGGAATACTAGGGTGTGTTAGTTAGGGCTATGGGTAAAGCGGGTAGGTGTTGTGGTAGAGGGATCCTTACGAATTTCGAGGCCCAGTGGACTAAGTATTGTTCTACGACAGTTAGCTTTCTCTATCTATTATTCTCAGGTTCCAGCGCGATTACTAACCTTGTTCAGGGTCCCAGATGGCATCTGGGGCCCATAAATTTCCAGCCGTGCTATTCTCAACCGTCACCAGGGTATTCTCGCTCCAGTTGACCAAGTCTGAGCTCTCCCAGACATAGATCGCACGCGAGCCAGTGCGGACCGAATCATCCCAGGTTGTCTGTCGGTCAGCACATTTGGCAAGCAATAATCAGCAGGCAAGCTCACTTCGCCGATATTGAGGTCCGTCCCAATGATCCAATATTTCCCGGCATTCTCGCCCTGTCCCGCAATAATACTGGTGTCGCGAACAGCCTTGGTACCCAGGGTTGGGGAAACGACAGCTTTACCGCCGTTGATCGCGGCAAAGCCAAGCGGGTCATCATTGTCGCTCAATGCAAAGTAGACACTCTCGTCGTCCGTTGTCCAGTAGACAGAGAGATACCCGACCTTCTCCTCTGCTCGTTTGGCGGGCGTCGGAGATCCTAAGGCCGAGCCACATAGGGCAAGGGCAGGGAGGATGACTTGTTTGAGTTGCATTTTGACGGCACTGATGTTGGATGTGCTACTACCCCTGTATGTCATTGACGAACTGAGTCGAATATTTATATATTCAACCAGCTCATACCATCTAAGACACTGGCCGGAGAATTTCCCAAATGAGAGCGATCTTCAAGGAGAGTGATTTCTTGTCGTTGCGTGGTCGCGACCCACATCTCTCCGCATGGGGAACTGATCCTCGCGGGGTTGATTTCTGATTCACTGAATAACTGCTATTCCCCGGAATAAATCCTGTGGAGAGGCGATGCTCCCATTCTATTATTGATTAAGGAGGGACGCTCGGATAATTGCAGTTGAGGTCCGCAGAGCTACTCCAGGAACTATTGCGTTATATTCTACTTGGAGATCTATATTATGTGCCTAACTAAGACTAGCGCTTATGAGCTCTATTTATCTCGGTTATGTTCGACTTGAGTTCTGAGACTATCGGAGGGCTGTCGGGGTAATTTGAACCGAGCTGGTAGGGCTTTGACGTACTAATGCTGGGCTCCGCCCTTCCTCTGTCGTGGCAATCCGAGCCAAAGCAATAATATCCCACCCGAAACACCTACAACGAACGGCAGAAGGGACTTAACCCCAGTACCCTGTGCAATTCCTCCAGCCACAAATGGAAGAACTGCTGCGCCAGCACCTCCAAAGGCAGCCACAAAGCCAACCGCCGCCACATGAAGATGCTTGGGCAGGAGTTTGGTTATGACAGCGACCACGCAGGGGAAAAGTGGACCGAGGAAGAAACCCTGGATAGACACCACCACCGCAGAGACATAGAAATTAGGAACCAACCATACAATCAACGAACATACTATTGCACAAGTGATGTAGATCTGCACAGCCTTAGCAACACAGCCAACAAAGGGGGGAATCAGAGTGCATACCGTTGTGGCTAATTTCTCACCCAGTCGCGCTGTAACAAACCCCAAAGCCACTCGCCCTGCGGTAATCCCTAACCAGAATCCAGTCGCTGTCATGCCGCTGGGGAAGGGTGCTGCATGCCGCACTTCCATCATTATTGTAACGATCCAGCCGCCGACCGTCACTTCCACTCCCACATAAAACAGTAGGACGAAGGAACAGAGCCAAGATATACGCGCAGCGGGGCGGGTGAAAAGGGCGTCTCGAAGCCCATTATTGGCCTTATCGCCCGCGTCGTCGTCAGATTGTTCGTGGGATTCGCGAAAGGCGGCACCTGTAAATCGCCAAAAAACAGCCGGGCATGCCACAGCTTCGATGACAGATAGACCAATCTCCCCAGCAGTCAGCATTGCGTTAGAAATAAAATAGCATAAACGTACCATAAAGAAATAAAAATAGTACCAGGGCGCTTTCGCCTTCGTAATCATGTTCGTGGCCACTAACGGACTTATCACCGCACCAAGGCCGTAAACCCCATGAAGCAAGCCCAGGAGCTCATTGGGGTTGTCAAGGCTGCCGATATACGTGTTCCATGCAGCCTCGTGAAGTCCGTTTGCAATGCCCGCAAAAATGTACGCCACAACTAGTACGGGGTATGGAGGATGCGTACAGCTGATGATGTAGGCAACGAGGTGGCATGCTGGTGCAATCAGAGCCACGCCTCGCTGTCCTAAAGCCATGTGTAGTTTGTTGTTGACTAATGCTGCCAGGACGTAGCCTACTAACGGCGAGAGGAATACCAATGACACAATCATATACGAGATGTTATAATATTCCTCTAGCTGTTCAATCTGCTGTCAGTCTGGAACGTCAATGGCTTAGGAATGAGGGGGAACAACATATGGCAGTATAGCCTGTAAATCTCGTTAGCGATGAACGGCTGGATGCATTGCAGAGGCACCTACACCGTACGCAGCATCATTAGCCCCCATGACAAAGAAGACCCAGAACGTGGTCAACACACGAATGATGTTCGATCTCGGACGGTTCCATTTGTTTGGCTCGAGCGGGCGTTCATTTACGTCCTCGCGACTCTCTACAGTAGAGGGTTGACGGGCTGGCTCATTTGCACGCACGAGATATTGAGTGTCAGGCTCCATCTGGGATGAGGACATCATGGCGGTTCGAGATTGGAACAATGTTAACCAGAAGCTGTAGGGTGGGATGTACAACTATATATATTTTGACTTTTCGCACCCAACACATCGCCCTGTTACGTAAACATCAAATATGCAGTCATTCTATCAGCAATCTATGATACGAGACCGACGAAGTAACAGTCACGGCGTGCCATGGTAGCCATTGGTTTGTCAGATATGTAGTGGTGAAGTGTGGGCGATGTTGAAGGTGGAGACGTTTGTATCTTTCCAGATGTGATTCATCCACCGAGCTAAACCTAACCGGGACTCGTAAGTGCCGCGCTGGTTTCCATTTTCTCCACCTCAACGATGCCCTCCATCTTTCACGACATCCTGCTTCGCTTCTTGACAACAAAGACCCTGCTGTGATGGGTTTATAGCCCTGAAATATCCTGAGTGGTTGCGCTTACGGCCCCACAAACCTAGAAGATGGTCGAAGATGCCGGTAACAGGCCACGGCCTGCCACCCGCTCTAAAGATGGATGCCTTACCTGTCGTCGCCGCAAGAAGAAGTGCGATGAGCGTCATCCCACCTGTACAGGGTGCCACCGAAATCGTCTCACCTGCCAATGGCCAACGACGGAAGTGGTCGTGCGCAGGCGACGTCCGCGCCGACGCCAAGGTCTCTCGGACATGACCATCCCGCCTGAGTTAGCAGCTATGGTGACGGTCTTCGCAGTTCCCAGCCCTGGCCTGGTCCGTCGGCTTCTAGACCACTTCGCAAAACATGGCCCTATGTGGCTGACCTCAAGAATGGATAACCGGCGAACTGCGATTCTCTCTCATATTTTCCCAGAAGTCATGGAAAGTTCCCTGATTCTCCACTGTGTGCTCATGATCGCAGCGAAAGATCTACTGAAGTATGATTCGAGCGTGGAATTACAAGCCTCAGCCGTTGAGTACTACGACCGAGCTGTTTCTGGCCTGCGTGAGGCGCTCAGTGGTGAGCAATCGGCAAATGAGCCCACTTCTGGTACGTATTGCACAGGTCGTCATGTAATAGTAAAATAATAACAGTTTGCAGACCACAACCTGTTGGCAGTTGCCTTATTTTGCCTTCACGAGGTGAGTCCTTCTTTAGATGGACTTGGATATGGCAAGGTTCTAATACCGTATAGTCGCAAAATTACTCTGATAACGATCAGATACTACCACATCTAAACGCTGCGGCTGCTCTACTAAGACCTCGGCTCCAGATGGTGCCGCCCAACTCATCTCTTCGGAAGTTTCTCATCGAGATGTTTTGCTACTTCTTCTCCATCACAGCATTTACTCACGGTGCTCATCTGTCACTGTGTGAGGCCAGACAAATATTCGAATTTCCCGGTCTCCTGGAGCACTTAGAAAGCGGATCAATTATGGGCACCTCACAGAAAGTATTCTTTATTGTGTTCCGTGTCGCCCTCCATCTATCCCGGGGTGAACCAACCACGTTCTCCGATAGGAGGATATATCGCGACATAGTGAGCGCTGAGCAAGACTTGCGGAGTGTTCGGGCGTCATTCCATGCCCGTCCCGACATGGGTGCGCAAACGATCAATGACGGTGTGACATTCGAGCTGTATCGCCTTGCTTGTCTGATATACTTGCAAAGCCTCATAGATCAGTCCATCTCCATTTGTGGCCCTTCCATTCAGGAAATGGTATCTTCTTTTGTCAGCCACCTATCGATGCTACCACCCGAATCGCCATCAGACGGGTTTCTTTGCTGGCCCATGGTGATTGTGGGGCGTTGTGCCATCCAGCAAGAGCACCGAGCTGCTATTACGACTAAACTGAAGACCATATTCAACAAATTTCGATCAGAAATATTTTCGAGGAACCTCGCTGTGTTGAGGCAACACTGGCGATACTTGGAGAGAGTAGACCCGAATTCAGCGCCTACCTTTAGTCTGGCGCATAGTATGCACAACTTCAATGATGCAGTCCTCATGGTTTGAAATATAGATGTATGACGGTACAGGAGCACTGCACGACGGATATTAAATATTGCTATCAAAATCGTAGAACAGCAGATGTGGAGCCTAATGCTTATACATGGACCTGGTAGACGGTACAGTGTCTCTTACTAATTCGCTGTCAATACAAAACCCACTTGCTTAAATGCCTCCATGGGACGGTGCTCTCGGTATTTGATAAAATTAATGCAGTGCCTTGACCTCACACTCAATCGACAGAGATATACCGATTGGACAAATAGGGCTATTACCGACATGCGGGGTATAAGTTGACCTCGGTCTACTGTTTCCCCGCATGAACGATCATATATTCCCCCGGGGGGCAACATGTATGTGTATTATCCATGATCTAATAGACTGTCCCTAAGTCAGGATTGAAATTAAAGCAAAGCAAATCAGGAAACAATGGTGGTCTTTCAGTCGGATAGACCGCGTATCAACAGTACGCTTCTTCACTCTCCCTCCCAATAGCACCATGACTACAGACCTTTAAGAATTAAGCATGATATATTCTTGCTAAAAACCCAGCAATAAACAGTCCCCACAGATATTACAATCTGGAAATGGTTGTTCGACTCCCACTACTCTCCCTTGAACTCCAACAGCCCCGATAAACTGGGCGCTTTCGTCAACGCCGCCACGAAGGAGAGTATTCGGTATGACGCCCTGAAAGAATACACGACCTATGTTTCCACTGCTCTGGTGCGCAACTATGGCCTTCAACCGGGGGATACCGTTGCCCTCTTCAGTCCGAATACGATTTGGTATCCAGTTGCGATGTTGGCTGCTGTTCGCGCCGGTTAGTCTTTGTCCTTGTCAGCCCTAGCTCCCCTAGCTCTGAATATCCTGCTGACAATAACTACATGTAAAAAGGAGGTATAATATCGGGCGCCTCGCCAGCCTACAACATCGAAGAGATGACGTATGCCCTCAAAACCGGGAAAGCAAAATATCTCATGACCGTCCCTTCCGGCATGGAGGTTGCGGTTCCCGCTGCCCGGGAAGCCGGGATCCCTCCCGAACGGATCTTCCTCCTTGAGGGTCAAAAGGGCGAGTATTTATCGGTCCAGGACCTCGTCCGAAAGGGGAGAAGCTACGGGCCGGCTGGACAGGCGATCCCTTTTGAGCTTCCTGCGGGCAAGACAAATCGGGATGTGTGTGGGTTTTTGAGCTTCAGCTCCGGAACCACGGGGTTGCCGAAAGCCGTATGGATGATCCATGGATGAATTTGGTGAGAGTTGGCTAATAGAACACTGGGCAGGTGATGATCGCCCATCACAACGTCATCGCGCAATGCATGCAAGTGGACCAACTGTTACGGAAGGATGTAACGAAATCGTTGGCTGTATTGCCTTTATTTCATAGTAGGTCCCACTTCCGCTTCTTACCAGACATCAAATGCTGATACAGCGAAGTCACCGGGCTTGTGCACCAAATGCACCTCCCTGTAATCCGCAACAGCACCGTCTATATGCTTCCCTCCTTCACCATGGAGTCCATGCTGGCGACCATAGTCGAATATCAAATTACTGAGATCCTCTCCGTACCCCCCATCATCATCCGTCTCCTCACCGACCCAATTGTGTCCAAGTACGACCTCTCGCACGTGAAGACCTTTTCCTCCGGTGCCGCTCCTATCTCCGGCGAGATTCTCCAGAAACTAGAAGCCCGGTTCCCCTGGACAGGGTTTAAGCAGGGATACGGGATGACGGAGTCTTGCAGCTGTATTACCGCTCATCCGCCTGAAAAGCAGACGTACGAGTATGCCCACCGGGCCGGGATCCTAGTGGCTAATACCGAGGTGAAGATTCTTGCCACTCAGGATGGCAAGGCAGTGGGGTATGGCGAAGAGGGTGAAATTCTGGCCCGGGGGCCTCAGGTGGTTATGGGGTACTTGGGGAATGATAAAGCAACCCGGGAAACATTCGATTCAGATGGGTGGTTGCATACTGGGGATGTGGGGTATATGGATCCGGAGGGGTTCCTTGTGATTACAGATCGAATCAAGGAGATGATTAAAGTGAAGGGAATTGGGGTTTCGCCTGCTGAATTGGAGGACTTGTTGCTTGGGCACCCTGAAGTGGACGATGCGGCGGTTACATCGGTGCCCGATGATTATTCGGGGGAGAAGCCGAAGGCGTATGTTGTGGTCAAGGCTGGGGCAAAGGCGAGATTGGCGACGGAAGATGGTGTGAGACGTGTTGGGAGGGAGTTGATTGAGTATGTCAGGGCTAAGAAGGTGCGCCATAAATGGATTGTCGAGGTGGAGTTTATGGATGAGATTCCGAAGAGTGCGAGTGGGAAGATCCTACGGCGAGTGCTGAGAGATCGGGAGAGGAAGAGGGAGAATGGGGAGAAGAGGCTGGTCGTTCGGGATGAGAAGGCGACGGCTAAGTTGTAAGCTGGGAACTCGGACACGCAACCCTGATGCAGATCGCATTTTCCTCCACACTGGGGCATTCAATACCATAATGTACGAACCCTTACGAGCTGGCAATGTCTGTTACGTTATAAATTTATAAACCAATGCCTTGAAAAACGTGATTATGTCTAGAGCAATTTGTCTTTCCATTAGAGTGAGTTGCGAGACTGCTAATTTCAATGGCGTCCAGGTGGTTCATGTGTCTTATAAACGGCACAATTTACTTGCAATAACTTCGCCGGTGTTGATCAAATCCAATTGTCCATCTGCTGTAATAGTGCCGGGAACGAATCTAAGTTGGCAATGGTAGTTGGGGAGAGGAATATCTTATAGACTTTCTATTCAGCGTGTGTTGCTCACGTAGACGAAGGAAAGGAGACTTAACTGTTTATATACATGTAACATACCTGCCATGAGGAACCGTTGCTGCTTTACTCAGGTGACTTACCCCATACTTGTGAACATAAAGCAGCATGGGAACCACACTAGTACCGAAAAGGAAAGTCAACGGAGGAAATCCGATCATCATCGGTCGCTTGGACTGCTTCATGAAGAAACCAACACACACCAGCTCCACTACCGCAACATATCACGAGACAACGCATATGGCGTGCTTTATAGAGGCGTTAAAATCGAACGATCCAGATCCATGAACATACTAAGAGCTAGAGACATTGTGAGTCCACGTCGCACTATCACTCTCCACCGGTCACCTGATGCCGGCTGAGTCGACGCCGTGTTGACAGGAGTGAGTGATTTCCAAAGCTATCGTGACCGTCCTTGAGGTGCGATGAGCCAATAGTGCAATGAGCCATGACCATGCCTAGTGTGGAGGAATTCCTTTCGACTTTCAAGTCATCGCCCAAAAGCCATCATTCTGACCATTACATATATATTCTGCACATACTTAGTGGGCCTGGCTCTTTGGGCTGGAGCTACCAGAGCCCTTGGACGTGTTTTCTAGAAATGTTCCAAAGGCATAGTCTTTGCGTTGACACCTTTAAAAAGGGCGCTAGGGATTCTGACTTCTGTGGTGATACTAGACCTATTTAAGATAGCTAACCGATACGCAGGTTCCTGGACGAAGGAGGCCCGCGTGGAACATGGACGGAGTATATGGGACAAGAGAGAGAAAGGAGGCTGGAACGCTGCCGACAGGGGCTAATGACTAAGTTGGAAAAAGCATGGGCCAGCTTTTGGACCTGAAGAAGAACTTTGTTGTTTTCCTTGCCCAACCCTTGAGACTAAAGTGTGCCAACCGAGGGTCGCGTCAGTGGATAAACAACGGTGGGTCAGCCGGGTTTCCGTCCCGAGTAATGCACGGAGAATCAAGATAAGCATCCTCATTCGAAGGTCGATCGAGCAAGGGGCCAGAACCCAACTTTAAGCTTCAGGTCCGACATCTCGGACTATATACAACTGATTCAACATGATCAATCGCCAACCCACCACATGCAGTGTAGCCAACGTGAAGAAAAAAATCTCTTCACGCTGACACCGCCGGAGAATTTCCGTTGTGGAGAAAATTCTGCATTCGAACCTGGCACACCTGTTGCCACTTAGTCACACGGACGGAATGATTCTTCTCTAGTACTTTCCACACGGTGCATCCTCGATCATTCTGGACGGTTGTCATCTTCCAAAATTAGGGGCGTGTGTGGTGGATCCCCGGAAAACCTTGAAAGCTTACGAACCGACTTCCCTCTTGGCTTCCGTTTCGGGAAGATCGCCAGATGGAAAGTCTGGGTCGAGACTCATCATCGAACGGGAGCTCGTGCCCTAACGAGAAACGAACGGCACAGCTGGCACACATTCCGATTTTTATGACTTGAGAAGAATTGTCGTTATCAAGAGTCATTGCTACCACGTGGATCCGGGGAGGTACCCCTGATTACATTTTTATGATGCCTCCGAGTCATCATCGTCTTCCCTGACAAGGAGGGTAAAGGGTTATAAAACCGGAGTGCCCGGATGTCCGTTACATCATCCCCATCGTCATCTATAAACCCAGAAGGCACCTGCTATACTATCTCACACATGGGACCACTGCATCTGGACGTTCCAACCACCCATCACGTTTATGAAGGGTCTCACGGCGAGAGATACAGCCCACCCATTTCGGGCTCCGTTCTCGTTCCAGTATCCTCGTTGGATTTTGGTCCGACGGAGTATCCCAATGTTACCGTCAGTTTGCTCCGAACTGTGACTTTGCGAAATGGGGAGGTGGCACCCACTGCCCCCAACGACAACAAAAAGGGGGACTTCCTTCAGCGGCTCCGCAGGAAACGCGTACCCCAAACCCAAACTCCTGCCACTCAACCAAAGGAGGGGAGCAGTACGGTAGAGACACTGGTACAGTGTCAGCTATGGCACTCCCCAGAGCCAGTAGAGTGGTATGAAGAGTCGGGCGCGGTCGTGCTCAAGTTTCTTTTCTCAATCCCAGTTCCACCCGGCACGTCAGGCACGACGGAAACTCCATTCGGAGGGTTGTCTTATGCGGTCCACGCTGCAGTCACTTCGTTGTCTGGGGTGACAGTGGACGCGACAAGGGACGTGCAAATTCTGTCCCGAATCGTGACTGGCCCCAGTCAGACTGTTCGCCACTTTAAAAAGTACACTGGCGAGCGGTTGCAATCGGAGTTGTCTCTTACCCCAGAGCAACCAACAGATACCAAAGCAAAGCTCGCATACTCTGCGAAGCTTGTGGCCCGTGGCACTACGGCGCGGGGTGATCGTCCTACCGAAAAGAGGCAATTCTTTGTTCGAGAGGTACGATGGAGCGTCGAAGAGACGGTGAGGTTGATGAAAATCTCCAGCAGCGATGGTCCTGACGGAGAGAACATCACGTGGAAAGAGAAATCCGTGCGCCAAGTTTGCTCCGGAAAGCAGCAGGGTCGCTGGGCGCCGAATAAGAAATTATCTGCCCTGCAACGGAAAGGCTATGATGACCATGACCGAATTGATCTTTCGTTCGATATAATTATCCCCAGAAGTGCGTCTACCGCAGATCGGCCGGACCTCTCATCGTGCTCCTTCGACTCTGGATCACCATGTCGACACCTCACCCCCTGCAAGTTTAACGAAGAATGCACGGAATCAAGAGGGGAGAGGACCACAATCATGGTCGACCACCGGCTGAGGCTCGATCTGATCACCGGGGAAGACACTCTTGACGAAAAGACAGGAGATCTTATCAACCGAAAGCAATTTGCAAAAGCCTTCACAACGTTTTATACCCTCCCAATCCACGAAGTGGCTGGCCGAAATGCCATCCCGGAGGGCACCTTCCACGGCAACAGCGCTCCTCCATTATATGAGGGAGAATCTGCTATGCCTCCTGCATATGATTTTGACGCACCATATACATCGCCTTGTTCTGTTTAATTTTTGTTCCGTTATACGTGATATCCATCCCGCATGAGGACCGTTCTTTTGTCATTTGGTGTTGTTGCTGTTTTCTTTTCTTCCTTTTTCACCCTTCCTACTCTAATTCCTGCCCCCTGTTGTTAGAAACGCTCCTACTTTCCGGGAGCGCATGAAGTATTACGACTTTACTTTGTTTTTATGCTTTCGTGTTTTTCTCTTCTAGATCGATCGCATTTTTTACTGGGCGTTGACGGCAAAAGATTTCTTCCCGCTATAGATAGATTACCACGTACATAATTTTAATGATGTGATATGCTCTCTTCTGAATCGACACAATTGCACTTGACCAAAGCACGTTGAATGATCATTGTACCATTCCATATCTCAATGATGAGTATAGTTTTATATACCTGATCCACTGCTCGAAACCCGCAGGCATAGAGAGAGATAGGGTGATTAGGCGGTTGAGTAAGTAAGTAGTATTTGAGAAGGTCAGTGAAGGTTGCATATCTTATCATGTAAGAGTCTGGTTAAATGACCGTATATGGGAAATGTGTTGTTTAGTATTCAAACATACAGAATATGCCCGCAGTTCGGTGAAGTTCCCAAATCAACCTGATAGGCTATGGTGGGTAGAATGTAGGTGTCCGTTTCCAAAGCAATCTTCCATGAGTAACAGTCCCTCAACACAGAACATACCCGTATCTCACGCAAGAAATGGACCACAGTAGAACCAATCCCATGTCTGGATACCGGACATCATTCGAAACTACGCAACTGTTCTTAATCCCAGCCGTCAGAATGTATATTTGTCAATATAGCTAAAACAGTGGCTAGAGGAAAGCTGTCAACAGCCAATCCAAAAACATCAATGCAGATGGCGTCAATCAGAACCCATCGTGGCAGGTGGTATTCTGCGCAAAAAACTGCAATTACCCTTGCCGGTCAAGTTTCGGGGTCAAGCTGAGGAATTAGCTGCACACACCTCACGGACCGGGCCGCCGACAAGAGAAGACAGCTATCGTCGCTAGGCCATCCTATTGGGCTTTACCGGTGGGGATAATACACGAGGAATGAGTGAATTATGACACCGGATTCTCAGAACCGAAGGTTTGTTGTCCTCGTTGGTGGAGGTATATGTGACGCATCACCAACTAAAGCTAGCGTCCATGAGAACTGCGGATTAGGCTTTATTCATGCAACCCGAGCAATAATATCACACCTCACCATCTAGTGACGTGCATGAGAGGGATAACAGTACGATGGCCCGTTGCAATTCCAGAGTAGAAGGGTCCTTTATCCCTGTACTTGTTCGGAGCGGTTAAGGCTACCATCTAATAGCCAGATACATACAGTTTAACATTGCTGACCTGCGAAATAGTTGAAAAATTGGATGTAAATGCATCTCACGAACAGGATGGCAACCATCGAGGGTGTGATTATACCCTGCAGCACTAGCGGCATGCGGGGAGTGTGCCAAGGGGAACAGGGTCGAGAAAGAAGCAAAAACGTCTCCACTGATGGGACAGTAAGGGGGTGATCCACTCTTTCAGCTACGCCGCCGTATAGGGGGCATCCTTTCAAAATGCAGAATGTGGCGATTTCAGCTTTCGCTATGCCTGAGAGGGGAAGTTGTAGCAAATACGCTGTTTTGCATGCCATCTAGTTGTTCGGCTGTTCTTCAAGAGCCACACTTGCTTCATGAAGATACCTCATATGCACGGAGTCACTCCCTGAAGTATTCTGAGACCTTAGCTGAAGAAGACCCACTTTTGTATTCCCTTTTGTCTCAGGCTGCGTTCCTTTAAAGGTAATACACTTCTGTTGATCGCTGCTAAGACTTTGCAGCCGCCAATTTTGCGTATTGACATCTGTGACAGCCTTCTGTAGCTCTTTAGCCTTTATTTGACATATTTCTGCATTCTAGGATGTTGCGAGATTGGATCAATTCATATTTCTGCTGAGATAGTATAAGACCACCATGACAGGCAGTGAACGGTGGAGAGCGTTAACCCCTGCCGTGTAGGTGAAGCATTAATGCATATGAGTTGCATCAACTTACGCACACGACCGCATAGCGGAGATTCCTATGCAGCGTAAACCTGCTCAGCAGTTACACAACATATCATGTATCATAGGAATGCTGATCGGCCATCATTCGGCACGGCTGAGAATGTACTCCGTCATATCTATTACCGATTTGGAATCGAGAGCTGGAACATGCCGGACATCCTCAAGGTGGCTGGCTAACAATCAGTAAGCCTGGAAGCCTTATTGATGAACTGTAGGAACTGTCCCTATAAAGATGGGGTCTCATGGCTATGGTATGTGGTATCAACTACACTACTATATCTCAGAAGAGCTCTCCTCCATTCTTCTTATACGGATGAAACCAGAGTGAGCTGCGGTCAGCGAACACCTATTCTACTGGTCACCATAATGGGGCTCATTCCACGCTTGCTTTGCCTATTAGGCGGGCTGCTCCCTGCCATTGTCTCTGGGGCTACAGCGCCTACACCCTTCTTCCCCGAGTTGGATGATTTCTATAAGCCGAAGCAAGGATTCTGGGAGGAGCTGGATCCCGGATCGATTATAGATTGGCGGCGAGTGTACGTGAATTCGCTCTCGTATGGCATCCCATCCAATGCCACGGCATACCAATTACTTTACGTCACAAGGGACTTGAACGAAAAGAAAACTCACTCGGTCACGACGATAATTGTTCCACACAATGCACAGAAAGGCTGGCTCCTCTCGGTCCAGCCCGCCTATGACTCTCCGGACATCAATTGCTCGCCCTCTTATGGGCTCCAAGTGGGCGCGGTCGGCCCCGCCCTGTCCTGGAACATGATGGATCTATCGTTCGTGCTACCCTTCGTGAATAAACACGGTCCGATCTTGAACATCCCCGATTACGAGGGCTGGAACGCTGCGTTCACGGTCGGCCCGCAAACTGCTTATCACACACTCGACTCAATTCGCGCGGCATTTAACTTCCAGAAGGAATACGGCCTCACTGGTCTCAAGCCCGACGCCAGAACGGTTATGTACGGATTTTCCGGTGGCGCGTATGCTACCGAATGGGCCTCCGAGCTACAACCCACGTACGCACCGGAACTCACCCAGATCGTAGGCGCTGCCATGGGTGGTCCTCCACCCAATATTACCGATACCTATCTGGGCTGCAATGAGGGACCATGGGCAGAGCTGAACGTATGGGCCATGCTGGGCGTAATGAACGCCGTCCCGGAGGTGAAGAAATACATGGACAACGACTTACTCGAGGAGCATCGCGAGAGGTTCTATGGGCCCAAGACGCGCTGCAGTCGCTGCTTGGGCAGAGAGCCGGCTCATGAACCCCTTGAGTACCAAAATATCTCATCCTACTTTGAACACGGCCACAGCTTCTTGTCCAGGTTCCGCAGAGACCTGACGGACATTGGTGTTATGGGGAGGCATGGAGCTCCTGCCTATCCGATGTATATTTTCCAGGGAACCAATGACGAGATTGTGGGTGATATCGACGTTACGAATAAACTTGTGTGTAATCTCTGTGATAAGGGCACTGTGGTTCAATACCATCAACATCCTGGGCTCAACCATATGCAAACCCTGCAGCAGGGGAACTTGGACGCTTGGAGATGGATTCTCAATCGCTTCCTTGGTGTTCCCCCAACTGGGTGTCGCGAAAAAGACTTGAACCCTCCAATTGGTGGAGCGTGCAACGACCTGAAGAGAGTCGAAGATGATTTAATGACAGATGATGGCTCAGATGCACAGATTCCTCTACGGGCAGAGTTGAAATGATATGCTGGCTACCGCCTTATAGTACCTGTCTGAGCTCGGAGATATGGCTTGGCAACGTTATAGGTTCAGGAATTTAGTTATTGAACATGATGTTAAATTCTACACAACATATCGGCCAGTACAATGGAATAAAACGTCGGAGTTGCAGAAAAACAGCACTAGCAGCCATCAACATTTATCCATCAAGTGTATCCATCACTTTAGGAGAGTCATTCACGTGGTAAGGCAGGATTAAGAACTACGCGATGACATCTTGTGTTCGCGTTCCCATCGACCGTAACCTGTCAAAGACAGGAAGAACCACGACCCTCAATACAATTACCCCGGGTTTTGTACATAGAGTTACTAGTGTGTCTATAGGCGTGATATACGTATAGCAATCAGGCATCGCAGAAGTACACGCATGATCGATGGTTGCTTTAATCTGGTCAATGGTTACATCGACGTTGGTCCTGTATATAATACATACCTAGAGACTTGGTGGTGAGCTCTTTTAGAAATTGAAGGGGGAAATTAAGAGAGAACCAGAATCTTGAGCATTTACAATCTCAGTAGTCAACCAAGACGCCGGACTCCGCATTGAAGCAATACCCGTTGTTGCCGTCCATCCTGACGCGATTATGGGGAATGGTTGACTGATTCACTTTGGCGTGTTCTACCTAGGGAGGGTTCCGAAATGTCGACTTCCCATAAAGTGAATGACGTTTTACCAGTCTGGAGAGTGATTCTTGCACTGACATTTAGTAAGGGATGTGAAATGTAGGTATAACCTATAGAGAATGAGACATTCTAGATTTTCAAAAAAAGAAAAGAAAATAAATAACATAAATCAAAATAAAATAAGAATAAGAATAAGAATAAGTATAAGAATAAGAATAAGAATAAAAGCGTAGGTATTTAAGAGGCTGGACGTGAAGATACATGTCAGCTGAGAACGGTGATTTACTTAAGATCAGGATTATAACTAACTAGTTAGTATTATTCCTTAGCCCAAAGTCCAATAATTTCCTCTTCATAAGTTTCATTACTACTACACTTCTGGCCCCCACGTAGTACCATCGTTCGCTATGCGATTGCTTGGTGCTGGTTGGCCTGAATCCCTGTTGCGGGAGACCATAAGCATGGACACGAGGTCACCACGTAGTATAAATCTTAACTTCTAACATATGATTTGCCCCGCATAGACCGCGCTGATCACCCTTTATAGAGAAGGATTACGTTATATGTGTCTTTAGATAAGCACTACACATTGGGGACACGTCGCAGGGTATAGACCCTCGCCTTTTCATACCACACCCTTCGCACCCTACATCGTCCTATTGCATTCGGCCTTGATTACCGTGCTAGGCAAGCGGCGTGGGTAGCGGCACCGAGGCAGTTAAACAACTCGACCCGATCTCTCCACCAACACCCCTCCATAGCAAAATCAATAAACCAACCAGCAATGTCTGACCCAACTATTCCTTTGGCGTGCCAGAACCTCCTCCATGACTGGGCCAACTGCCTCGACACAAAGTCCTGGGATCGTATGCCCGCGATTTTCGCACCTAAGATCGACCTGGATTACTCAGCCCTCGGCCACGTAAAGGCCACCGCCGTGGAGCCTTCTGTGTATATCGACCGCTACTCAGGCCCAGGCCAGTTAGGGAATCCCGAAATCCAGTCGCACCATTTCGTTGGTGCGTGTAAATGGACACGGGAGTCGGAATCAGATGTCAGGGTTATTTTTCAGATCATGGCGGTTCATCGGAGGGCTCCACCAGACGGTGGTGCCGCTGTGTTCGCCACGGGCCACGGCGTGAACACAATGGACTTTGCGCTGATTGATGGGGAGTGGAAGATCGCGGCGATTAAGGTTGGGGTGCTGTTTATGGAGGGTGATTTCGAGGGAATTTTCAAAGCCTAAGCTTGGCCTTATTCTGTATGCCTCTCTGTTTTTCTTTTCTTTTCTTTTTTTTTTCTTTCTTTCGTTTTGCTCGGTTTAAATTGATATATCTGTTGGTGGCAAGACAGACGCTGCGTTGTGAGAATGGGATACATACCGACATGCACATACCGACAGATACTTCCATCAAATGTGATGGTTCTGTATAATCTCGCCATAGGCAATTACCATAGAGACTAGCTCTAAGTTACTAGTTGGCGTTAAGCGCCAGCCTGCTGCCCAGTCACTAGTGCCCCGGCCCCTGACAAGCCCTGGTAAACCCGACACTTAAGCGTCAACGCTTATCCCGAACTTAAAGTGGACCGTCATTGTTGTTGGGAGAATACACAGACGGATGAGGTGGGTCATTAACCAGGGATTGTCGGGTCTAGTTTACTAGTGCTGACGGCAAGGCTGGGATGTGCCACGCCCCCATGCATATACTACTTCTTTTTCTTTGTTTCTGGCCTCCACTCAATGGCGGGGTTCGCGGAAGACGTCGGACAGGAAGGCTCTCCCTAGCTTACCGTGGCATGATGTCTGTCCCTCGTGCGTTCTGGCTGCAACTTTTAAGGGGCACACAAAAGCCGACAGCTCTGTAAATTCTCTAGACCCAGATACACCTGCATTCTTGTTCCCTTGGTGAGACAAAGCCCAAGGACCAACCAGCAACTACCAACCACCATGGACGACAAGGGGAACCTCTCCGCCGAAATTCAGCAGGTGATTCAGAAGTACACCAAAGATGACCCTACGAGTTGGCTGCAGGTAGAAGATGCTCTGGAAAAGGTGCGTCGGGAGTTAGTGCCTCCTCACCTATTCGCAATGAAACAGCGACTTCAGGTATGTAGCGTCCAACCTCTTTCCCCGGGTATTTGAACGCATCGCAAATAGCAATGATTTCTCTATAACAGACAGTGAACAATCTCTGCATTGTGGTAGCGATTGAGATGGGCTTGCTCCAGATTTTGACTGCCAACCAAGGCAAGAGTCTGACTGCTGAGGAGTTGTCTAAGGCATCGGGGTACAATGCCGGCCTCATTGGTACGTATCAAGGCTGGTTATGAGAAGACGTGTTGATTGAGTCTTCGGATTAACATATTCCAAACGCCGCAGCTCGAGTGATGCGTATGATAACTGGCATCGGCTTTGCAAACGAGACTGCATACCAGACGTACTCTGCAAATGGTTGTACGGTGGCTCAAAACACCCCAGGCAACATTGGCGGCCTGATTATTTCGTACAGTGTCCCTAGCCTCTATACCATTGATCTACCAGAGTGAATCACGCACTAAGATTTGATCAAACGATTCAGCAATGACATTGTATTCCCCGTTGCCAGCCAAATCCGGGAATATCTTCGACAAAACAAACCTGTTGATATCAGTAAAACGCCCCCAGCATACGAATTCGCCATGGGAGAGACCATATGGCAAACCCTCGCGAAAAATAGCGAATGGAAAACTGGCTTTGACGACAATATGACCGCTCGGAACAAAACACTCTCTGTCCCATGGCATGTGAGATATCCTGTTCTGGAGAAGTTGACAGCATGGTCGCCGTCCACAAAGCCGGTTATTGTTGATGTCGGTGGTAATCAGGGGGTGGACCTACAGCGCTTTGCGGATGCATTCCCTGACCTAGAATGTGAACTGATCTTGCAGGACCTACCGGAGACAATCGCCGGGATTCCGGGAGAGCTTGACTCTAGAATCCAGCCAATTGCGCATGATTTCTTTACAGAGCAGACGACAAAGGGTAAGCTATAAAGCAAAGTTTCTCATTTCCGCGCTTCATGAATTACATCGCTAAGAGTGGTTTAGGGGCTCATATATACTACCTCAAATCTATCCTACACGACTGGGACGATGTCGCCTCCCGCAAGATCCTTTCCAGTATTGCAAAGGTCATGCAGCCTCATTCTCGTCTCCTCATTAATGAAATGATCCTTGCTGATCTGAATGAATCAATGATAAGGAGTAATATGGATATGCTTATGCTGTTCTTCACCAACGGGATGGAGCGCACTCAGACACAATGGAACGAGCTGCTGGCCACGGTAGAACCACCTCTCCAGATCGTCCAGGTTTATTCAGCCCAGGGAGATCAACAATGTGTCATTGAAACTTGTCTGGCGGAGTAGAAATGAACCGCTCTGATACAATCTTGGGATAGGGGTTTGTTCACTAGACGTATTTTTTTGTCAATATACCGTTATCCTATAGAGAAGGGACTTGGTATTTAATGAACCAAATCAATTTATTCAGGCTCCTTAAGAACCTAATCACTTCGGGCCCTGCGCTGCAAGGTGCCAGATAGTTTTAAACAACAATGCAAATAAGTAGAGACCTCTGGGTTGTGGCTAATCGAGGAATGTATTTGCCCCATGCCAGTTGGTAACTATCGGATAGGTAGCCAGGAGTTGGTACAGGAGGCCAAATTGGGCGATGTGGGCAGAGGGATAGAATATCTTAACTTATACTAATATGAGAATAAATCGAATCATACGGAATAACAAACTCTGGCAGTCATACGAGGCAAGAGAGCACTAGGGGAGATCTTTTGGCCTCTGTTACCCTGGCGTTCAACTCTGACCAAACAAAGGACTACAAGCAGATGTCTCCATCATAGCAGCACAAGTGAGAAATGCTGGTATAGCATGGCCCTTTTCTTGTTCGAACTGGTGGTAGTATGTCCTTGGCGATTTTCGGGTTCTCAGGGTACTTACCACTTATCACTAGGACGTGTATTATTCGTATTATTTTAGTATTTGGAATGGGCGATCTTCGGAATAGGGTAGTAAACTAGGGCTAAAGCTGAATAGTTATATTGAATAGATAAATAGCTCTGGTTCTTCCTTTTAAATGCCTATATAGTTTGAATACTAATTATAGATTAGGTAACTACTGGACAGCATAATGAATTCTACCCCTACCTTGGAGTTCGACAAATTGGCGAGACTCAGGTCTTACTATCTTCTCTATAGCCCTATAGTCAATTCGTTGTGCATTGTCACAATGCCAGAGGGGCAACATTTTCAAAGCATTGACACCGAGGGATATGTTGACATACTTTCTTATGCCGAACACAGACCTGCTCCACAAAACCCTGTCCCACACCAAGGCGGCAGTTGTAATGACAACTCAGGCAGAGACTCAATTCCAGGAAGCTCAGCTAGCTTTTATGGGGATCATACAGGAGGTTCGCGCGAGGGAGCGCGCTATGCCGACGCGTTACAAGATAACTACCAAAGCGAACGGATAATGCATGACACCCCACGAGATAAGAAGGCTCACCGAGGCCCAGGAAAATCGCGAGTCTATGGGAATCGACACCAACTTGTTCGTAATATACTAGGCTGACAAGCGATGGGGTGGTAGAAAAGTGATTAATGCGAGATTGTCAGGTGCATGTTTATCATAAATCATCGCAAGCCTTTATTCATTCCACTATATAAAGCTAAGAATAATGATAATCCCATCCTCCGTTATGTCCACCGTAGTATCCATTGTGATATCCATTATCATATCCATCACCATCGTCATCAGACGAACCCTCATCAACATCAAAGTCAACCCCCTCATCCTCGTGCATCTCATCATCATCCTCATCCTCCTCATCATTCTCATCCATACTACCCTCGTCCTCGTCCTCACTCCCATCTTCAGCCTCAAATCGTCGCATAAACCACCAAACCTGAAACGGCGCAACCAAACCCCCATCACTCTCAAACAACTCCAACCCCAAACTCTCCATCTCATGAGCCCCCTCACCTGTCATCGCCAACGCAATACAATACACATTGCAACCGCGTTGCAACAACCTCTCCTTAAAAACCCCACTATTCACCTTCTGCATATCCTTCTTCACCTCACCCCGGAACTTCTGCGCGTTCCAATAACTCTCGCACTTCAACTCGATCACCACGGATTCCTCGTCAACGTATGGCTGAGCAAAGGCTTCCGCACCGGATGTATCCGGCGTTAGGACGATGTCAGCGGCTTGGCGGGTGTTGTTCTGGTAGCAGTTATCTTCGCGGCCGGCGTTGAAGAGCATGCGCATTTCTTCTTGGGCCCAGCCTTCCCAGCCGCCTTTGGAGAGGTGGGCTTCGCTGATTTGGTGGGCGTTGTGGTGACCCCAGTCGAGGATTGCGTCAAATAAAGTGTAGTTTGGGGGGTCTGGGGTTTGGTATGTGGTCATTTTCAGGGAGCAATATCTTGTTTGCGTGTTGGGAGGGGGATAATACGAATATCTACTTGTGGTCAGTATAGGGTTGGTTTGTGGGGGAGTGGTACTTCTAAGCACACCCTATACTTGGACAGAAGAAATGAGGTTGAACAAAGAGTGATATACTGTCAGACAGTATGGTTGATTTCTGGAATCTTCCAGTAAATGTAGGTCAGGACACTGGGATCAATAAATACGGGATGAAGGAAAAGGTTACAAGTTTTGTTGCTTTTAGGCCAAGGTGGACTACTACCCTACACGGTTAAGATGCAACAGGCTTCGGTTGAACATCCAAAAATAGTATAAAATGTCAAACGCATGAGGCGATGAAAAAGCACGGCTCAATTTAGGTTAGCAGCGTGAACGGTACTAATAAACAATACCTTTATTTAGATATTCTCGGAAGAATAAGTATAACCACACGTGAGAACTGAAGACACGGCAAGTCTCCATAGAACATCTGCAGTCAACTTACTCCACTGACAGTATGTATAGTGCAAGCAGCCTCCAAGCATCAGCTGAACAAGGAGCCCGTCATGCACACGGCCGAGACCTAACGCCCAATCGTGACAGATTGGATTAGTTGCATATGCTAATTACATTCTAGGCGGTGAATGGGTAAGTTTACAGTGCTTAGACTGCCGGCACTTGACGTGAGTTAAGTCAGTTAGGGTCCCTTTGGGCTTCGAAGGGCGCCAAGCAAAGGCCGTGCGGGCCTGCATGATCTCATTCCCTAAAGGGTAAACACTGAGCCAGAACAGTATCCCTAGGTCTTACATAGTCTGCACCTAGATATGATTATCTTTCCTGTATTGTCAGACGAGCCTGTGATTCTACTTTGTTTAGAGCTGCCAGGTATGAGCATTAAGTGGATGTGTTGTAATTTTCCACCTATCCTTTTGGGGCTCTAACGCCAATGGTGGTGGCTATAGTGATATGTCCGTCAGGAAACCCTTGAAGGCATTGAGGCTCGGGGATGCTGAATTGGGAAGTAAAGGCCCAAGACGGTTGCAAATTGATTAGTAGCTTGGACTAGGCCCTTTTGTGGATTGGATTCCTTACTGGTTCTACTTGCGATTATATATATTTGAAGACCCGTCTGCTAATCTACACTTCACATCTACCAAGATAGTCCATTAACTCATACTAATTCAATTCTCAACCCAATACCTGACCATGGCCCAAACTCGCCGCAAACCCGTCCCCAACAAGCATATGCAACCACACCCTCCAGCCCCCGCCCACCTGCGTGGGAATCAGCCTCGCCCAGCACCACAGATGCAATATCGACCACAACAGCACAATGGCTCCAGCCCCCACCTTGCACACCTCAGAAACCAACAAAATGTTCAAGGCCGGCAAATAGCCCGCAACAGCGCTCAGATAAACCAGCATTCTGCAGCGTTGCATCACCAGGCTGCCGCGCAGCATCGCCAGAGTAATGCACAGCAGAAGCAAATGGCCAAGCAAAATGCCCAGATGCAACAGCAGATGGCGAAGAACAATGCTGCTATGCAAAAACAGATGGCCAAGCAGCATGCAGCCATGCAGCAGCAGAATGCCCGCATGGGTCACGAGTTGCAGGCTATGAAGCGCCAGCAACAGCAGCAACAAAAACAGGGGAACAAGAAGAAGGTTTTGGCAGGTGCTGCAGCCGGAGCGGCTGTGGGTGCTGGTGGGGCCATGTTGGTAGAGGAATGGTATGAGGAGAGATGGGTTCATGAGCAGGTTCAGAGGGAGGAGAGAGAGGAAATCGAAGAGGACGAGAGTGAGGAGGAGCCAGACCAGTATAGCAGTGAGTCTGAACAGAGTAACGGTGGTGGGTATTGGCCTGAAGAGAATACTCAGGAGACTAGTGGAGGGGGTGGTGATGATGATGGTTGGTGCTCTGATTGTTGCAGCTGTGATTGCGATTGCGACTGTGGTGATTGTTGCATGGGAGATAGCAAGGACGACGACAGTGATTGTTGCGGTTGTTGAGAGTGTTTCGATAGTTTTGATGTTTACGATATCCGGGTAAGTATATATTCTAGTCTCAGTTGCTATCAATAATATCATAAATTACGAAGCCGACAGTTATTTAATATTTTCATTTACACTTGGGGAGCTCCTTTTACCCAACTTTTTGACCGCAAGAAAAGTAGATGTGAATTCTACCGACATAAAAACATATCAAGAAGATTTAGATTACTGCAATAGAATTTGAGAGTTCCTCGGTTCTCCATGGATTAAGCTTAAGGAAATGCCGACGCAACCTGACACTCCGATTTGCGACAGTGCACGACGAACAGGGAAGTTAGCAAGAAACTAAATCGAATGAGGAAACCGACGAGGCTGTTCTCTAGCCAGAATGGGAACTAGATCAGCGGAACTCGCAGGGTTTTATGGCGTGGCGTTTACTGCTTTCGGCAGCGGATGGGTCTATCATTTCCTCATGCTCAAGTGCACGGCTACTGTTTAATAGCCTCCTGCTTTTGGTTCCTAGTTTATGCCAAGAGCTGTGGTCTAGAACAGGCTTTTTGCATATTGTCTTTCTGCACTTGTGCTGCAATCAACCCAACGTTATTGGCAATGAGAGAAGGATATTTTACTTCAAAGGCATGAATAGTACAGTAATCATTCTAAGTAAGGCGATATATCCATCTTCACTTATGTAAAGTATTGTTATGGTTTTCTCTTGTTCTATTCATGTACTAGGATAATAACGAGTAATTGGTATAGGGCATCATTCAGCCTGATTTAAAGTGGACATGAAATGCCCCGCGCCTAGGCCGAATTTGTCCTAGGCTGCACCAGACCGTAAGGAGAATAAGCACAAGAGAACCTGGAATATTATCTCCAAGCTACAACGTGACGCTTCCACCCTTCACGCTGAAACAAAGCTGCCTACGACGAATTCAGCTGCTAGCGATGCGACCCCCGTTACCGTTCAAAAAGCCTAGATGCCGCGCGCAACAGGGACCCGCTTTCGTTTTTGTGGATACCGCCGACAGTTTACGGCATGGACCGCAGGACAAAGATGTAAGGGTCATTATCAGACGACAAGCTGCAAGGTCGGGCTGCAGACGCCGTCGGGACGGAAGCACGAGTGAAAGGAGCCTTGATAATGCCGAGTCCAAGGATGTATTGGTCCCCGTTGGAGCCGGTCCCACCGGCCTCGTACTGGTCACGCAGGACAAGGGGTGGCCGCCTATGATCCTAGCCAATGTCCCACACCCTGCACCTGTACCGCAGCCATCGTATAATGGATACGAGACGCTCAGGGTTAGGTACAACTTTGACGTTACCGACCTGACCAGTTTCACGGATGTAGACCTCGGCAAGACTGCCTATCTTTTGCTAAGAGACCAACCGACCCGCCTCATTAGCCTTTTGCAGAAGAGGTCATCGTCCTTTTTGTCCCACCTTCCTAGTCGTTATGGATCTAGCCAATGCTTGGATGATGCTATCCATTGTGTGGCTGCTCGAGCGGGTCAAATGCTTGGCTTCCCAATCACTGCATCAACACTGCCTGCATTATATGTAAAGGCCCTGAACAGTCTTCAAGCTGCCATTGAGGATAAAACACGGTACCTAGGAGCTGATGTCTATTGTGCAACGCGGCTTTTAGCCATCTACGAGGTAAGCCTTCGTTATCTGTACCACGTCACAGATTATGAACAGTAGCACTAGTTAATCGGCCTTCCTGATGCAAATCACTGGATCCACCATAACCGGGGCGGAATCAAACTAGTTGAGCTTAGAGGACCCGAGAACCATAAATCTGAGTTTGACTGGTTGCTTCTAAGAAGCCAAGGTCCATCTATTGTTCGTTGTCTTCCTCATCCCTCATCATCCACAAGTTGCACCCCATAGAAATGGCACAACTAATTTGTCTCCCAGTTGGTAGATGAGATGTATAGGAAACACGCCTCAATATTTGAAAGTTCGGGGTGGCAATGCTTCTTCGCACATGCATCTAAGACGGAAACAGACTCAGATTCCAGTCTCTGGTGGGAATTCTTCGGAGCAATCAGCTTTATGCCGGGTATATTAAGAGACATGAGGGTTTTGTTCGACAGTACATTACCTCAGTCTGAATACCTAGCCCAGAGTTGGGATATTCTTGAGCGAACGAACAAAATGCACAACTCGTTGCACGACAGTCACCTCCGCTACCAACAGAGGCCGCCATATCCAGCGTCTCTGTTCGACCTCCCAGTCTGCGCCGAATCAACTGTTCGGGTCAGACTTCGTGGATTTCTGCTATACGTTATCATGTATATAAGCCGCGTTACAGCGACACTATCTACGAACCAGACAGAGTGTATTGCTAGCGAAGCAGAGGCACAGACCTTTGCGGCACAGGCTCTGCTCACGGAGAAAATGACTGCTCAACTGGATCCCACCATGACTTGGCATTTGGAGCAAAGAAATGCCCTTGCTCATTCCATCATACAAACTAGAGACATCTGGGCATCTCCTATAGCGTATAACATGCCATGGGAAGAACGAAAATACTACGTGGCCCAACGGTGGTTACAGTGGGAGGACTCGTGGAGAGATGGAGTTTTGACTGTGGAGCTAGAAGAAGCGTGGGGGGAAGTATGATCTCTGTGTATGAATGTCGTACGTGTGGCGGATACTGTCGTTCCAGCCTTGGTGTTCTGGATGTTTGGTTAATATTTCTATTTACTTTTATCCTCATGGCTCAGACGGAGAATGGCATTTCTATATATAAATAAAGACATTCGAATGACATGCGATGAGCGAGGAGGCAAAATTATTCTCATATGTAATCATGAGTATAATGTCATATATACAGTGTAACGGAAAGCCTATTCCTCTGGAGGATAAACCACGATCCGATCCAGGTCGGCTCCCTTGTAGTCGAACCCGTTGTAAAGTCCGCCGATCGTGATAGTATTTTTCTTCCCCTTCTCAAGTGTTAATTGCAATGGAGTGGAGAGGATAATACTCTTGTGAGTATCTCGCTGATAGAGTGTCTGGACGTTGGAAGTATCGCCGTTGACAACGACGCTGCTAATGCGTCGGAGCTGCCATTCACCTCCGATACGGTCAGGGGTTCCACCAGCTGTGGGCTTGGTTAGCAAGATAATGAAGTCAGGAGGCTAAGGTAGAGCTTACGTTGGTCTCCGAATCCCATATCATCAGTGTCTATTAAAAGCTATTAGTACGACTCTTGCCAAGAAAGTAGAGGAGCATACTCTGGTAGTAGAATGACACCCATTGTGGCTTGCCTGTGCCTTCAATGCCTTCGAATGTAACTGTGCTGTCATTGCCGTAGATGCCGGTCAGAATGGTGTTGTCGCTCGCGAAGCTCTGTAGAGTTAGCAACTATCTTGTCCGACAATGAAAGCGATACTCACTGCTTCTTGCTTGAAGGCATCTCCGGACGTCTTTGCATCCTTTCCGTAGTAAGCCTTTCCTTTGATTGGTTTCCACTCGCCGGTTTTGCTTTGGCGTGTTAGCTCAGATAAACTTGTCGTAATTGACTGCTAAACGTACACATTGAGGTCGTAGACGTCGTGCCAGACCAGCTCTAGCGTCTGCTTCTTGTCGTCAATCTCCATGGGTAGCCAAATATAACGACTCTCCCAAAGCGAGTTTGAGTCCCACTTGTCCAAGTTAGCAAAGACACGGTTCTGAATGGAGTTAACGCTGTACCTGATCACCAATATAAAGATAGGTAGTCTTCTTAGAACCCTCAATCTTCAACGAATTGCCTGATTGAGAGTTGAATGTGCGCGTGTTAAGGGGCGCCACCATAAAGGGCTGGGACCAAGGACCCTCGAGAGAGTCCGCGCGGAACGCGACAACATCTATCTAGTTAGCTTCAGCCACTTCAAAAAGAATAAATCACACCCACTATTCGGTCTGTATCCAGTCTTATGGCTCATCAACGCGTAATAACTTTTGTCCGTTTGGATAATCGTAGGCGCCTCGAGATCGAACTTATTAAATCGGTAGACCACCTCTTCCAGCTCTGAGACCTCCTCGTTGTAACGAGTAATATAGACATCGCGACCCTCCTGCCTATCTCCGTTCGAGTACAGCGCATATGATCGTCCATCCTTGTAATCCGTGAAGAGCCCATAATCCTGCGACCAATTGCCCATCGGTGCCGTCGCATTGACAAAGGTATAGGGACCGGCGGGGGTATCCGACGTGGCCAATCCCTGCAGCAGCCATCCGTACGAAGAATTATCTGCATGCCAGAACATCTGGAACGAGATTAGCAAACACACCCGGTCGTCAAGAAGACTCACTCACATGATACTGACTAGCCTCCTCACTATACACAACCTTGGGTCGCTGTATAATATGCTCGGGAGAGATATACGTATGGTTTTTCACGGGTTCTATGCAAAAAAGAAACGTCAGTGCCACATCCGATCACAAAGCGTTGACTGGCATCCATACCCAACGCCAATCCATGGGATTCCCACGTTGCCAAATCTTCGGAGCTATACACCGACACACCTCCACCCTCCTCCTGTCCCTCAGTCTTGTATTCACCAAACCACCAGAATCGGCCCGTGCTCTTGTCGAAAGTAATGCCTCCCGCGTGAGCGTTCACTAAATTGCCTTCTGTGTCATGCCAACGGCCCCCGGGCACGATGTACTTGCTCTGCGCGATCGCGCCGCATAGCAGAATCGACAGTGCTTTCACTCCCAACATCTTCGCGCAATTGCTGGAGATTGAACGGATTGGTGTCCGGGGGTTAGTGTCTTGGTTGTTTGGTAATATATTGTTAGCCAAGACACCGTCGGTTGTTGATACCCCGAGGTTGCGGGGTTAGTTTTTCCGTCGTCTTGACTTAGAGATTTTAAAGTCAGTGCACGCAGGCTATGAAGGCATGCGTTCCGCCGGAGAAATTTGGGGAGAGGCCTATGGTATCAACGACTTGGTTTGCCAAGGGTAGGTGATCATGGTATCATTTTATCAGCGGAATACTGGCCACATTGGCCTACCGTTGCTATACTTTCTAACCGCCCCTTGCGATGCCGTGTCCCCAGGCTAAGAGATCCGATATGTATTTATACTTTTGGACATCATGGGGTGAAACTGAGGCTCTGGGCCGTGCCCCAGATCGGCGATTCCACAGGTTAAAGAGTCTGGGATTATCGTGGTAGGTAGCACTCCTGCGAAGGTAGGGAACAAGGAGATCCCAAGTCCATTCCTTACCGCCAAATTCTTCCCATAGATCAAAGGGGGCCTTATCGCTGGGGACCCATGTGAAATAGCTTCGGTTCTAATACGTGGTTCCTTCCTTTCGCGGTGGTGTCTGTCTTGAATTGTAGAGAAACGGGTGGAGTTGGACAAAGGAAAGTAGTTATTGACTGGAACTTGAATACATTCAATTATAATGTAGCGAGACCACTCTAGGCTACAACTTGCGTCTTTTGTAAAGCAAATACTTAAAATACTGGAGGTCTTACCATTCCGCTGCCCATATTTCTTCAACGGTGGTGTTGGGAAGCTCACGCCGGTTGTAAGGGAAAAAAAAAAAAAAAAAAAAAACTGTCAAAATACAACATTCTGGGAAGGTCGACAAGAAGAGCAGTCACTGAGTGCAATGACAAACAGGATAAGCTAAAGCGAACTACCTATTTCCCCCCCCTGAATGGGATATTCTCCTTCTTGGGTGCAGGAGAGGAAGGGCTAGGTAGCAGTAGACGACTCAGATCAAGAGGTGGACTGGGGTTTTCGGCGATCAGCGAATACCCTTGCAACCCGTGCAACTTCGCATAAACAGACAGAGCGGAGCGCATAACGAAGCACATTGACTGCGTACGATACACGTTGTCGATAGTCAAGCCGGCAAAACGAGGGAGTTTGCGCATCCATGTGGCCAGGTGCTTCAACTCCTCCGTAGTCAGGTCTTGCGAGACACTGACGTTAAAAAGTGCCGTGTAGTCCGGTGGAATACTGGTGGGGTCAATGGTCCGGGGTCCACTGAGGGGCAAGATAACCGAAGCAACTCCAAGCAGCATCGCATGGGTAGGTTTGACCTTGTCCCCATGCAACCTCAGAGTTTGAAAGATATCCGCAAATTCTATGCTTTTGTGTCCGGCGCGCTTTCTGTGACATATTTCGTTTGTGAGCTTAGCTGTAAATGTATTGTGCGGCGGTGATCGTGCCATGGGTGTCTGTGAACTGGTCGCCGCTATCACTTCGACCACCCTGCTCGGGACGGTTGGAGCCCGAGTTGCCACATGCGCAAAGCAACAATCCAAGATAAGCAAGACATCAAGATGATACGAGTCAGGGATAAAGCCGGCCTCTTTCAAATTCTTGAGGAGAAAGTGTTCTGCATTGAGGGTATCCTCCGCTGCGCTAGTTGCAGCGAAGGCAAAGTTTCCATTCTTCATCATACCATGGCCCGCATAATGCAAGATCATCAGGTTATGGTTGGTTTGCGCCTTGAGTTTGCAATTTTCAACAAAGTCGAGGAAGGCTCTAAGGAAACTGGCTGAGAAATTAGAGTCATTGTGGTCAATGACATACTCTATAGCTGGTGCCACCCCCAAACACTTCAACATATTCTGGAAACGCTGGGAGTCTTGAACTGCATTGGTATCATCATGTTCCCACCGAATAGCGAGTGAATGCACATTTGTATAGTCGCGACCGCGCTGTGCCGCCGCCGCTGTTAAAGTGTTTCGGAATTGGTCAATTGTAATACCCGGCATGTCTAAGGATTCCCCAAGCTTTCAGAACCCACGCACAAGTTACTCAATAGAAAGGAAAACTTACCGAATACGTCTGGACTGGTCGAAAAGCTCGGCCTGAGTTAGGTAAGTGTACAGAGTCTCCGAGTGGCTTTGATGCTTGCTCAGAGGTCTTTTTCAGAAGTGATGGAGGCGATGTAGTTGGGACACAGATTTTGGTAGAAGTCTCAGGGGCTTAATCCACGTAACTCGGAGGATTTCAAGAATAGTTCAATACCGGTTCAGGGCGTAACTAAGGAGGGAGCTTATCTGAAAGACTCAGGTATAGGATTTGACGATGGATGGTGTTGGTGTTGCAGACTTGGGGAGGGAGGAAAGAACGACGAGTGGAAGGAAAGGGGGTGTGTTAATGATGAAGATTGAATTAGCAAGGTATGACAACATATGAAATTTCCAAACAGTGAATGTGACCCTAATCAGCTGACTCACAGCATCTCATAGGGCCGTACTTTCGATTTTGACTGCCTAACAATACAAGTTGACCCATAACTCAGTCTCAGTTAACGAGCCTTCCAAGAGGACGTCCACCCAGCGCTCTCAAAGGGCCACCCAACCAGCCCAATGCTCAGTCTCGGACTCGCTTCAATCTCTGCCTCTTGGGCCTTGAGTTCATCAACATCCCAGTTCGCCCACAAAAACTTACCCTTCAAGAAACGTGCTTCGCTGCTTGCAAGCCAAACGTTGAAGCTGGCCGGCAGAGAAACTGATCTAAACTTAGTCTATAAAGCTCCACTTCGAATTGACCATGGTTCCACTTACCATCATCCGCGAAGCCCATAGCATCAACACCACCCGCTTCCCTATTCATGGCCGTGTCCACCACGCCAGGCTGTACATGGAAAACGCTGAGTTCCGGGTTGGCATAAGCCAGAGAATCCCAAAGTCGAAAGACCGCCAACTTAGCAATGCTATAGGCAGCAAATCCCGGGGCAAAATTGAGATGAGCGGCAGACGAAGAGGTCTCAATAGCGACCGCATCCTTGGATGCATAGCGAAGGAATGCCTGAGCGACGTTCAACGATCCTTTCAGGTTCAGGTGAATGGCATCGAGAAACTTGTCACCGTCCACATCACCCACGGCATCCTGGGGCCCAATCACCGCCGCATTACTGACCAGAACGTGAACATTCCCGTCGCCGACAAATCTTGCGAATGCTTTATCCACTTCGTTCTTCTTCGTGACGTCGGTAGACGCTGCGGATACCTCCACCCCAGAGAATTTGCTGTTGATGGAGGCTTTCGTGTCGAGCAGGGGTTGTTCTCTACGGCCAAGGAGGATGATACGAGAGGCCCCTGCTTCTGCGAAATAGCGAGCGGTCTCTGCGCCGATGCCAGTTCCGCCTCCGGTTATTACGATAGTCTTTCCTTGAGCGGAAAGCTCGGGGCGGGAGGGAGATATGGATGCGTATGTCTCCGTGTGCCACTTTGAGGTTGGGGATGGAAACGGTGCCATGTTGATTGTAAAGAGTATACAGGATATACGATAGCAATAAGTAGAATAGAATGATTGAGAGGTCGACAAGGAAGGCTTTTGGGATGACAATGCCCACATTTAAGTACGATCGAGTTCAATACCTCCGATTCCATGGCGGAGTTGTGCAATTTGTTGAAGCTTACCTGGTCACCGTGTCTACGGAACTCTCTGGGTTCTATAGTCAATCTAACTTCCAAATCCAATCCTGTCAGAGAAAGGGGAATTCAAGTGCGTGTTGGAGTCCAATCCGAAAGAGTGTTACAAAATGTTCCGGGATACTTTGCAGGTACAAATTGTCCCGCTTCTAAACTCTGAGCACGTCAACGGACTATTTTTAGTAAAGGATCCCAATGCTGACAAATGCTAACAAAAATGACGCCGTCATATTTATGAAGCATCACACGACTTCTCCTAATTCCAAACGGTCAAATTTGAAATGTATGAAGGACATATAGAATCTGTTTTCCGATGTGGCCGTTGCCATAAACCTTTCGATAAAGGTGAGTTTGTATTCTCACTAAGGTTTATTCCCTAACCCCAGAATCTATATTAAGATTTGACGATACCCCAGAGTCCACTCTGAAGAGACACGGATATTACTGTCGATCCCGAAAGGTTGGGAGTGCCATTCGGGCTCGATCTTGTATTACATGCGCGAGAGGCAAGGCCCGCTGCGATAATCAGCGGCCTGAATGCTCGAGATGCAAAGCCAAAGGCATTGAATGCCGTTACCCAAGTAAAACGTCCAAGCCTCCAGGGCCAAGAACTCAGCAGCCTAAGTCCGATGGACAGACCGAGCGACTGACGCCGGTTACTCTGTCGGTGGCAGATATTCCCGACGTTGAAGATTTTCTAGAAGCGAGCAATGATGGTGATATCCTTCTTGATGGAGCCCTAGTCATTCCTGACTCCGAATTCACAGCTCTAGGAGGGGGGTATAGTAACCAGAATGTACCGGATCTGGCTTTCGCCGATTTCCTAAATGCGCATATGCATGACGAGAATGTTCAGTATACTCCATCAGGGTCGCCAGCTTCCGTCTATCAGTCCACATCTTCGGCCGATGAAACAGCCCAAAGGCAACACCCCATGTCATCTCCCACGCTATCAATACCACCGGTACCAGCTCAAGCTATCCGATCGCTTGTCCAGCGACCGAATATGGGAAGTGGGACCCACAGAATTGCAAAGCTCATACTCCACAATCTTAGATCCTATCCCCAGATGATGCTGCGCCACAACACACTTCCACCCTTTATCCACCCTTCTGTGGTATCTTCCGATCCTGGTAACCCCGATATGGAGCCACTAACCAACTGCATCGCCCTGGTGCATATGATCGGTAGCGGGACCCAAGCGAGTCGAAAGCTGTTCTGGAAGAATGTACGGATGGAATGTGAACGGCTATGCGAAGAGGTATGTTGATTTAAGAGTATTTCATGAAGATGTTTAGAATGATCTGATACATAGTCGTAGCACCCGAATTTAAATAAGTGGGAAATGCTGGCTGCTATGCAAGCCCTCTCCATCTATATCATCATTCGATTAGATGAAGGCGAGACGGATCACAATAACGTTGATGTCCTATTGCTCAAGACCATTATAGTAAGTATCGCTGGGAATATACCCTTACCTCAGCTCTGATGAATGAGATAGGCAATTTCTAAGCAGTTCAACTGCAGCGACATCGCCAAAAATGTAAAGTTTGCGCTACACAACCGGGATCTCAAAAGCAGCTGGAATGATTGGATCTTTGAGGAGTCAAGACGAAGGTTGGAATTCCATGGACCATCCACTTTTATGCTAAGTTGAATATCCACGGCTAATTGAAGCAAAGATTATGCGTGATTTATCGAGTGGTGAATATGCTAGTCTACTTCGAACCAGCGGCAATGTGTGGTTTAAAAACAGACCTTGTTATAGCACCACTGCCGGGAAAGAAGCAGCTATGGGAGGCAGGTGATGAGCTTATGTGGAAGGTGGAAAGCCAGAAAGAACCTGGGATCCAGACTGCATTTGGACTGGCTGCGAATGGTGACCTAGTTCAACTGGGGGATGATCATTTATGTTCGACCCCTGAATTGCTACTCCATGAGAACTTTACTACCAGGGGCTCGGCGCCTTGGGAGGAGTGGTGCTCGGGGATGGATGGGTTTGGCGGCCTTGTAATGCTTGCTGCTTCTTTAATAGGGTAGAACTAGAACCAATGAACGCGGCAATACTGAGTGTTAAGACTTACCGGCCATGGATATGCTCACGGCTGGGGCACCGTCGAGGATTACATGTACGTTGTCGCTTGCAGATTATACTCTGGCCATAGATGAAAGTTTATCAGACGGTAGTCACTGCAAATACACATTTAGAACGCATAATGGGGAGAGGGGCACATCCGAATCCCATAGCTCAAGGCTTGTATATGATACGAATGTGAAAGTCACCCGAAGCCATGCCATCCTCGGTACAATTCCCAAGTCCCCGCAAGCGCAGTTTCAGGAGCTCGATTTCTTTTGTCGATGGTGTTTCACAATTTAATTGCATGACACCCTTGGCCTTCAACAGCGACTGCAGATCATCCGGCTCAAAGCAAATACTGGAAGGTGACCTTGTCCTCTGGTCCACGATTGGTAGCTTATGGTTTAACCCATTCGAAACCATGTGTCTATTCACGTAAACGCAGTACGAGCGATCGTACCCGTAGTACTTAGCTCGTTGCATATAGCTATCAAATATATCCTGATCCAGCTGTTTTATCCGGTAAATAAAGACTCTAGATAATACAGATGTGTTTTTCACGTACCGATTGGACTTGTAGCAGAAGATCGCGTTTCCCCCATTCCAAGTGCTCATCTCCACACCCTGCAAAAACATACTCGGCACCTACTTGGATGCGTCCGCCGAAGCCTAGTTCATGCAAGACGGTCTGGTCCTGTCGGTCACGGTAAACCTTTTGTTCCACAAACACCCTCGGGTCTGGGTGAGTTTCATCTTTTTTCGGTATGAACACAGTCAGACGAACGTACCGCTGGCGTTCGTAGGCTGCATCGGGCTTCAAAACTTCCGTCTCATCTGATGTTCAGTATATTTTCAGCTTCTGCCATCCTGCAACAGCAGTAACCAGAGGACTAGGGCGCCCTACCAGTAAAAAATACCTTCCGAAACCGACATCCGCTTATCTCATTCCGCTCGGGGCTTTGATGCAGACTCCTTGTAAAAATCGTGAGCGGATTGCTCCGGGCTCTAGGGAATGCCTTCACCATATGCTCAATGGGGCCACTGATGATGGACTCGCCGACACGGACCCTTGGGTATGTTGCGTGATTGGCAGTATTCTTTTGGTACCCAGACTGTGATCTTTCCTTCTGTACTCGGTTTGCCGATCGCTTGCTATGCAGGAGTGGATCGCCGTGATCATTAGCATCTTGTACCGTTGCTGGATGAGGCTTCGATTTCATGTCTGCGTTTCCTACACAACAGATTTGTCCGATCTAGCTCAGTGGTATAGTAGTTCGACTTCAGGGCTTGTCTGCGACAAAGTTAGAGCGCCAACGCGATCAGTATATATACAAAGTTCTAAGTACCTCCGCAAGGCTGTGTTGTAAAAGTCCGGGGGTGTAGTATTGGCTCTGGGTTCGACTAGACTCGTACGCGCTAAGCCACCCGTCGAATTTAGGTCCACTTTGACGGTGTCATCAAACTTGTAATTTGCATCGGGCTCGACGGGGTAGTGAGCTAAAGATGTGGGCCAATAGCAAATATCACTTGGTACATGTTATGGATAACGAGGTCCAATTAGCACTCCCTATCTAACATCCTGGTACTCAGCACCCAATGATTCAAGAACTAGAAGCGCCGCGGCCTCAGGCTGAGATTCACGTGCGAGGCATGTCTGGAGCCTGGGATTATTATAGTATTTGATCCCTACATGACACCTGTCGTGTGTCAGAATTTTGTTTCCGCCTATTTCTGTATCGACTATCTATTAATAGTACGTACCATAGGAAGATCACTGAATCTCCGCACCATATCTCCTTGACTCTTCGGCGCATAGTACAAAGCGTGAATATGTCGTGTCAATTTATTCGTACATGCCAAAGGTATTTCGTTCTCAGGCAGTAATTTCATAGGCTCTCTTCTCATGGAGCTGCTGTCACCGTCGTTGAGGAATCCTTCACTTTACTCTAGTGGATCCGGTGTCTTGTGAAGCCAACATGATATTCAGGATGGTGCAAATAGCAGATCATTCCCGCCCAGTCTCAAGGGTCTTGCAATAGTTTCTAAAAAAAGCGACACTAGGGGTTATATCACTGGTAGCTGTTACATTGATGACAATATGAACAGTCGTCTTTCCAGTCTCATTGGCCTCCCGTCATGTACCAATCTCACTTGATGCTGCTTTATTTTTAGAAGACAGCGGTTAACGGACTTAAATTCCTTGACATTGATACTTCACCTTTGACACCATAGGTGTGTCACTTCGCGATGGTCTTGCCACATAATGACAAGGCCATTTCCACAGGTTCATCAAGCCTGCTACACTTCCGGGATATAGGTCCCGGGCGCTAAAAGGCTGACGGTCGAAGTCCATTCAGCAAGCTGCTAAGATGCGGTTTTGTGACAATTCCCGAAGCCCTGTGACCAGGGAAGGATTGTTGTATGTCAGCTGCAGTGAACCTTCTATCTCTCCTAGTCCCCAGGAGCCCATGTGTTCGCTATCTAATGATTAAAATGCTGGTATTAAAATAGGCGCAAAAATATATCGTTCGCCCAAGACGACAAAGCTACAAAAAAGGATATCTCAAACGAGATCGTCAATTTTGTGCAGCAACTTGGACGGATAAGATATCTTGAGCATTTGCTGTATTTGTGGTCATACTATGAAGGGCATTCAACCCCAATGTATTCATCTCCTGTGTAACTAGTGGCAACAGGGGAGAGGTTACCGTTATAGCTGAATGGAACTAACGAGACTTAGAATCAGGGAATGCATTGAGTGCTTCTTGGACCGTATTTGTGAAACCCATCCTGGTCCAGGGGATCTTTTCTCATATTGTGGATACTGCCTATAGGACAGTCCTAGATGCTTCATTCCCTATCAGTTCTTTGTCCGGCGGAAACTTTTGAAGACACGCCTCATTCGCGATGCTGACCATGGCTCCTTTTGCTGTCTACGTCAACCCCCCTACAAGGACTACTGGACTACATGGTTTCTCCTTTTTATATATATATATATATTGGATCTTCATCACCACTCGCCTCCATCGTGTGTTGTGGTGGCGTTGATCAGTGTCATGGACACCGATCAAGGTTCATCGACACTGATAGGAATAGAATCAGCGGTCCTTACTGCGAGCTCTTAGCCTCATAGTCTCTCCTTTGATGTAGACAATCATTCAAGAGCGGCATGATAATCCTGTGGCGCACGGGCTTATGTAATACTGATTCCTCATGGCATGGAAGGTCTTCCTGGGAGAAAAGGTCTATCTGAGGCTTACCAAGACTGGACAGAATTTGTCTAGAATCACGGATCAGGGTCGGGACTGCTTCACTAAGCCCCCAGAAATTGTTCTTGCAATCTATGTTTATCGACTTCTGCTAGAATAGAGAAGGCTACAGGATCCAAACAGGCTGACATTCTGATTAAGAGACCAGGCCATTCCACCTGAGGTTATCGATATATCCCAAAGTAATCGCCTTTACAACTTTTTATTGGTGTGCCCAATTGTTTAACATTGCGAACCATAGCCCCTATGCCGAGCAATAAGTCATAACAGAGAGCATGATATGTAAAGCTGTTGAACTGTATCGTAGTACGAGTCTGATGGGATTCTAACTGGCATACATTGTGTACTTAATTGGATGAGCGGAATTCTAACAATCCAAATGTACGTACTGTGATGTAATCAGCGCGATCGGCAGTGGTCAGCCCTATGGTATGTAAGGTAAAGTTTTATACTAATATATTGTGTAGGCACCTGAAGGCGTAAACAAGACTATCAATATTGTTCACATAGTTAAAAAGATGTCTTACATACTACATCAATGTCCCATAGAAACTGTCGCAGACCTGTCTTCTTCAACCTTTCACATATAGAATACAATGTGGAGCTTGGTGTCTTGATTAAATATATATATTCCCACGAGCGCAACGCCACTACCGATGCGCCCATCCATTTTCCGTAAGAACCTGCATTTCATTAATAAGACAGAAAGGCCCACGTTCCCTATTTTCTTGAGACTGCTTTTCCCACTTCCATAACCGTGTCCAGACTATATTTTCTTTGAACCACGGTGTGGTAAGCCAACGCATGAACCGGTTCTTCCATAACCCGTTACCTATGGTAAAACTGGAGAGCCATGAACATTTTTCCGGATTCACGGCCAAATAGGCAGCAGAGCTGTACCCCACACGCACGTTGGGATTAAGCCAGACCCCCTTCTCCCTCGACAAAGGATTGTCGGCATGGATAAGGCAGCACTCAGAACCTTCTAAGTGTGACTTTGCAAGACTGTCGGAGATACCTCGGAATCTTAAGGGTGGATTTTGGTAGAAAGGGGTTGCGTCCATCGCCACTGGGTAGGACTGTTAACACTGCGTGTGTCATGATTATAAACGGGCTGTTCTACTGACCTACGCCGTTCCAACAGCTTGTGACGGGAACAGGTTGGCTACCTTTCAAGGCCTGACGAGATGCTCGGGATCGGAAGTAGGGCCATGATTGCATGAGCATGTCATGGCCTTCAGAGTCGCGGAGGGCGAAGGTGTCATAGAAGTTGGGAGGCTTGGAGAAGTCCAGTGCGCACGTTGCTGCGTAGTTGCCTCCTCTTGTAGACAATAACCTTTGGATATCAGAGGTCTAGGGTATGAGTTAGGGAGATGTCTAGAATGCGCTTTCTCAATGCATATTGACTTACGGTGAAAATCACATCATTTAGAAACAAGATCTTATCATATATAATGCCAGCACTGTTCTGTTCATACAACGGCTCCATCACTACATTCCGTAATTTGGCCAGATACGGTATGCGGCGTAGCTCGGTTGTCCCAATCGGCGTCTCAATCCACCCCTGACTGCTAAGAGGTTTAGTGATCTCGTCGAGATGAGTCGTGTTATCTAGGACAATCCTCCTTGGAATTTCATTTTCCGCCAGCAGTTGATCCATGAGAATCAGTGCACCCTTGGTATCGTCCCAACTGCCGCTTTCCTGTATACTGACAAAAACGTTGTCTCGGCCGATCGCATTGGCCAGGTCCACCACGGCCGCAATCCATGCTTCCCGGAGGATCTGCTCGCTGTTCCAGTGAAGGCCAGCGATGTAGATCTTTTCACTTCCTAGGGTAACGTGCCGAGGTTGTGATTCTCGCACAAGCGAGTATTTAATGTGTAGCACTTCTACTATGGTCCATCCAACCAGGATGAAGAAAAGGGCTAGTCGGATGCGGCGTGCCTTTCTGTACAAGGAGTACCGGTGTGGTTTCATCGCGGTATGAGTTGCATGAATGTGGTTATATTATGTGATGTTGCTATGGCTAAAGGTTCTATATAAAGGGGTAAAGCTTCCTCATGTTTGTTTCCAAGGAAGCTTTGAATAATGCCGAGTAAGGGGGCGCGCGCTAGGAATGCTCTGCTGCCTAAAAGTCCTTGAAGTGGAACATGTTTCGAAATTCGTATGCATGCACCTCAGAGTACGATATCGAGAAAGGAAAATTGTAACCCCATATTCAGGTGCATTATAATACGAAGTTGAACTACGTAGGTATATCTAATGTGCAAAAAGATGCGGAAGGCTGTTTGATGTAGATCTTGCTGCTCTACTACAAAGAGGGTAGCCGGGTAAGTCAGGTGATTCCCCCCCCTTAACACCAGAATGTACCCGCGTCCATGGGAAATTCTTTGGACAATTGTCTTAAAAAGGTCTGTTTGAAAGCCTATTTTTAGTTTGTGCTGGAGAACCTGGGACCTTTTACGCCACTTGGGTGCGGATACCTTATTAGTGGTAGAACTGTCGTTAAAGTTTTGCGTGCAGTGGTGATATCTTTCATAGGCGGTTGAACTTGACCATATGAACAGATGATCCGTAGCATTGCTTACCGATGCAAAACCTGTCCCTTACTTTGAATGGTGTTGCAAGTGCTATCACAGACGTGAAGTACTTTCGCACGCTCATCCTGGTGATAGTTTTTCCAAGATAGCGGAAGAATTAAAAAGCCCCCCCTGATCCGACACCCCAGATGGAGGACGAGAGATGGATTCAATGTGAAGCTCTCACTCTGGCGATAACACGTCCTTTTTTAGTGCCAAGTTCCCCCTCACTACATTGCTTCGAAAACAGCACTGGTAAACAAATAGGGGCTTGGGCGGCACTAGAGACCTGCACGTTGGTGTGGGAGACAATACCGATGTTGTGCACCACAGAAGGGGCGAAGCAGACAACGCATACACGGATTGTTTCCAACAAACACAAACGCTAGACAGCAAGAGCGGCGAAGAATATCGTCAATCAAGTGTCTATGCAATGATTACCAGCCCCTCCATACCCCATGGCTATTAATGAAATAATATTGAACAACATCTGGGTGTCCGTCGAGATTGCTAGCCTAGCAGGGTGAGAGGTCGTCCACTTATGAACGATAGGCTCTTAGACCAAGCCTAAACATATCTTGTGAAATAGAATAATCAGGAATATACATTTCCACACATCTGGGCTCTAGCTCTAGCTGGCCACTCAGCCTTGGCTTACGGAGTTTGCATTTAGCTCCCGTTGCCTTCCCCTCATTTGATCTAGTCTACACGGCGTAAATGGCGTATATGAGAATCCTCCAACTTTAAAAGTTTACTGCGCAAATCAGGATCTGCAACACTGTCCCCACCCATTTCAAATACGTTAATGTTCCCTGCACGGCGGGATAGGCGTAAATGGTGTATTTACAGCCTTCAATAAAGCAACATATTATTGTATTGTCACGAGGTCGTCAATACTCATAGATCTTTAGATATAAAAGGTCTTCAGGCCATCAAGGACAATACTAGAATCAAAGACAGGTTTAGGAGCATCCGTGTTCGAATTATGTCTCACCCAACCTTCAAGCAATATTATCTTCCTCAAAAGGCAGGCTTTGATAGCCTGAGCTTACGTGAAGTCCCCAAAGCTCCTCCCAAATATGGCCAAATACTAGTCCGGATCAAAGCCGTGTCACTGAATTGGAGAGACGGGATCATCGCTATTGGAACGTACCCATTTCCCGGTCCTGATGCGCTCGTCCCAGGTAGCGACGGTGCCGGTACGTTTCCATTTACCTACAACTACAATAGACCGACTTCCTTGCTAACTGACCAATAGGCGTTGTCGAAGCAGTCGGGGAAGGAGTTACAGAATGGCAGCCAGGCGACCGAGTCCTTGCGAACTTTACACAGGATCATCTCGCTGGTCGACTAAATATGCAGACACTCTTGACACAACTTGGGGGTGAGACACAGGGATTGCTCGGCGAGTACTTCATCTTTCCTAAAACCGGAGTTGTTCGTATTCCAGACTATCTCTCCTTCGAAGAAGCGTCCTGCCTTCCCTGCGCCGCCCTCACTGCCTGGAATGCTCTATATGGTCTAACGCCGTTGCGAACTGGTCAGACCGTCCTTCTTCAAGGAACGGGCGGTGTTTCGACATTTGCCTTGCAGATCGCCCATGCAGCAGGCGCAACGACCATCGTGACATCCTCATCCGATGCAAAATTGGCCAAGGCGAAACAACTCGGTGCAACGCATATAATCAATTACCGAACAACTCCTGACTGGGCTGCCCAAGCCAAACAGATCACAAATGGTCGTGGAGTAGACCATATCATTGAGGTCGGGGGAACACTCACGCTTCAAGGATCGTTCGATGCCATCGCGATGCACGGAATTATCCATTGCATTGGACATATCACGAACCCAGATCCGTTGGGCATTGGTAAGGACCTCCGTGGACCGGATGCTGCTTTCCTGGCATTGGATCGATTGTGCATCGTCCGAGGCGTGGTTGTTGGCTCGCGAGAGCAATTGCAGGAGATGCTGGAATGCTTCGAGGCAAGCTCGATTCGACCTGTTATTGATCGAACCTTCGACTTCGAGGAGGTGAAGGAAGCATATGAATATTTATGGGGGGCGACGCATACAGGAAAGGTGGTGATCCGTGTGGATTAGCATGTTAGCATGATATGTACCAGCAGGCCAGTGGGCAGCCTTAGGGACAGAATAAAGACACAATAGCAAGAAATACCAGGAATGTTATGAATAGGTTCAACCCCCTTAGTGGCGGTTAGACTTTTAACACTATTTAACTAAATCGCGCGGGGAAGCCTCCATATTTGTCAGCGCCTGAAGTCTGTCACTCTTATGACGGTTAACCTCAACTTGAACGGAAATTCAAGATTTCATTTGGCATCTGTTTCTGACCTTTTCGGTAGTCTCTTCAAAAAAGCTCGAAAGCAAATAGAATGCTAGTCCCCTCCAAGACCATGAAGCCAGTGAGACGCCGCAATGGCTCTAAGCACGACAAGACCGGCTGCTTGACCTGTCGCTACAGGTAGGTGTTCGCCATTGTATTCCGACATAGCCTGGACTAAGACCTAAGGCAGACACAAGAAATGTGTCCACAATACCTTTCCCGTTTGTGGAGATTGCAGGCGCCTGAATCTGGAGTGTATTCGTGAACCGGCCCGTCAGGTCCTGGCCATCACTTCCCATCCCACAGCAGACGGTCTATCTGAATGGAAACGTTCTCGCTTGCATGAGAATGTCGAAAACGCTCAACGCCGATCTGCCATGAACTTCTACATTACAACTCTTTCCCAGCTGTTGACTGTCACGGAAAAGGACAATTGCTTTCTCTCTGGTAACATCTATTCCGAATATTCTAAGAGCTGCAAAGAGTCTAGCACAAACTGACATCGGTATAGCGTTTCTGCCAATGGCAATGGAATCGCCCACACTAGCAGACGCACTAGTCGCATGGTCGGCTGGTCAGCTAGCCGTTCGTGACAGTCGATATCGATCTACAGCGCTTGAAGCACGCTCACGGGCGCTCAGATCTCTTGCAATATCTCTTCCAGCTCGTGGAATTACTGCCCGCGAGATCAACGCTGCTACCAGTCTAGTGCTCATGATATCCGAGGTGTGCCTAGGCTGTCATACAGAATGGTACAGACATCTCAACGGCGTGAAACACATCATTATGTCGACGAGCACTGCCAGTCCAACTCCTGGGTCCGGGCTAAATGGGCTCGAGGCCTTGAAACAGAGCTCTGAGGGGCAGTGGATCTTGCGCAACTTTGCGTATCACGATATACTAGGAAGCGTTACACTGGGAAAGCAACCATTGGTTGAAAGCTATTTCCTGCAAGGCCTAACCGATAGGATTGACACTTATATCGGCGTTGCTTTTGAAATCTTAATAATCATATCCGACATCAGCTCATTCGACGAGCAACGCCTTGTTCTCCATTCCATGCGACCCAGTGAAATTGATGCAAGTGTAATAAACTGTTTCAGCTCTACCGAGCAAATATTGAAGTCCTGGGTATGCCCACCAGGAACGAATCCAGTCCTCGCCTCACTGGCCTACGCCTATCGCAGTAGTGCCTTAATATATCTCTATCGCCGGACGCTCCGCGGGTTAAGGCTTCATGGTCTGCCTTCACGGAGGCTATATCAGGACTGTGCATCCGGTCTGCGCGCTGCAATACAAGCTGAAATCTCAAGTGTTCTACAGCATACGGCTAATATTCCGGTATCTGGGATTGTCGAGTCTGCGCTACTTTTCCCTCTGTTTATTGCAGGAGGTGAGGCTACAGATTGCAGCCATATGGAGGTCATTCGGTTCAGGATGAAGGAAATGCTAAGAAAGCGTGACTTTAACAATATTCAACGGGCATTGGGCGTGCTGCAACAGGTATGGGAGCAACGGAATGCTGTCAAGGGCGGAGCGGAGGATTATGATGTGGATTGGTGCGACATTGTTTATCGACAAGAAGGGGGTCTTTTACTAACTTAAATATTGAGAAATGAAATATAACATAATTCAATGTAGGACAAATCATGGAAGACAGGAGTACTCGATCCTACACTATATTCACAATATACCGGGATAAGTCCTTGAACGTTTTTAATCAATTTGGGTGAATTGAGCGTGCCAGCCGAAAGTCCTGGTTGGCGAACTTCATAGGGTTACTAAAGAACTGTAAAAAGGGAAACAGACTATACACAGCCTGCTACATGACCCTAACTTTACTCGTAAGTTGAGTAGTGGTGAAAGCGTGACATAACTCTCAACATGTCACCCGTCACCGCATGAAAATATATTGGACTCCAATGTGGACCTAGCCGGTAATAGTATACTCGGCATCTATATGCCGTTTTTTCAGCTATTGTTAAATATCTGTGATGTGCACCATGTATATTCAGGTCAATTTTATCCCGGATGCTACGCGATAGCATTTCTCTCGTCCATCTACCGGCCCTGATATACGAAAAAGCCCTGAATGGACCCAATTTTAAAAATTCAATGAGTCATTACTTCAGCCGCAAGTCAGTGGAGCTCAGCAGAATTAGCCCATATCCTCTAATCCATTCAAGCCATCACCAAGTGTTTCACACGATGTAGCATTGAAAAAATGTTATAATGTCGTATCTCCAGTAGGTTGCTGTCGAGCTGATAATCCACGTTAATCACGAAAAACACTCAACCTACCCCTCATATTGGTTGTATTTCAATTGTCATCTTACTCCTGTTTAAACCTTCCCCACCGGTCTAGGGATTGGATCCACAAAAAAAGTCTGCGGTCCGCGTCGAAATTTGTCGGCATAAATCCGATCTGCACGATTGCGCAATGGCTCAGGTGTGGCCCACGCATTTTGAGGATCACGATGCCATAGGCGCAGTAGGTGTCGTCTTGAATATATCTTCAATTAACCAATAGGCATACTCATGTGTAAGGACGCAGGTACAGACTTACCGACTATCTGGACCATCCACATAACTATTTCGAGCATGGACCATACTGAGGTTATTGATGAATTGCATATCGCCCTTTTTCAGCTCCATTGCCACATGGGACTTCTCGGCCAGAAGATGGAGAGCATCTAGTGCCTCCATCTGGATGGGAGAGAGTCTGTTTAGCCGGGAGTGGGCTCCAAACCCAGAGAATGAGCGCCGTGAGAATTGCAAGATAATTCGTTCTGGAGTTGAACCTCTGGCAGGCTGATAAAACAGAAGCGGTCTGTGCTTAATGAGACCAGGTTCCTGTGCACTAGTTACTGTACGTTAGTCAAAGCGTGTCATTGGACTCCAGAATGGGATTTCGTCCAGACTCCACACACCTAGGGATCGGCCAATCCTCTGCCAAAACGCGGACTAGATCCGGGCGGGTCTCGGCCAATGCATTGTACACTGTCCATCCACTCGCAAGGAGACTTTCACCGCCATTTGCTGGCTCGCTAAGCATGAAGAGCGACACGATATCCCCCACATCCGTGTGGAATACCACTTCACTGTCGGTATATGCTGCCAGGGCGTAATTTTGCTCCCCACTCGGGCGTCGCATGTCGGTGATGTGGGCCAGCATCACGTCCGCTGGCTGGCCCTTAAATTGATGGTCTTGGCGGCCTCGCATGGCGCCAATGTGGGATGAGATTCCGACATGAATGATCATGTTCTCTTCGCGGGTATAGCGTTCCACTGGTGCTCCACGAATGAGAGTAAAGCCATAGTCCGAATGAAGATTGTCCGATACAGACCGGAGAATCGACCACAAACCCGGCAGAGGAAACGTTGACGGGTTAAGAATTTCCATTGGCTGAGCCAAACCTAGAGTGGAGAAGTCAGCCCTGATCCGCATACGGGAAGGAACAGACTGTGTAGTAAGGTTGTGGCCTGCTGACTTTGGAAGTATCTGAGCGCCGCATCGATCTCGGCCAATTGTGGACCCTCCAGAATCAACAAGTATGGAGCCCCGCCACCGAGAGCGTGATCCAGGGAAATATCCTTTCCTTCCCAGGCCATACTGGATTCCAGCCTCTTGGGAAATCCATGAGGAAGGGTCGTGTCTAGTAATCGTTGTTATCCGTGATCAAATTTGTCGGATTGATAATCATTGTGATCCAAATGATAAGTGACCTGTTCAATTTCTGAAGTAATGCCCGAAACAGTTCACCTGTGATCTCACAGCGGAGACTGTTGGTGAAACCAAAATACTTAGGGAGATTAACAGGCTATATATCTTTTAGCTACCCATATCGGTGTCCATAACGTCCTTCTTATCTTGCCCCTCGACGTGGTCGGTCAGCCCACAGCCCCACCACGCGTTGAGATCCGACCATAGAGCTGAACAGAGGGCGATGGATGGTAGATCATCTCATGCAATAGGAGCGATCGACAACCTCCAAAGTTAAATAGAGAAAACCAGCGAATTATAGTAGCTTCAAGCTGTGTGCTATCATTCTAGCGTATTCTAGCGTAATTGTTCCCATTGGGACCAGCGAAGATATTTAAGGGGAACTGAAGGAGTACATTCGGAGAAATAGATCATTCATCGTGTGAAGCTCTGCTACGCACAATTACGGCAGAGAATATGACAGTCCTACCCTGGCACGACCAAGCTCTATTCGAGACAACGAGACGAGTTCTCGCCGAAGTAGTCAACGAAGGGCTAGTTGGTGCGAAGCTGGAAATTACTGCGCCAGGTGGGGCAGGCACACTCTGCTTACTGAGTCCTCAGGATGGCGCCTGGGTCAAGGTTGGGGTAAAGCCCGGCACCGTCATTGAAATGAAAGAGGATCGCGTGATTTCTGTCGTACGACCAGCCAGCTTGCAGCCGCCTGTAATTGTTGGGGGAACTGGGAATCAAGAGCTGGATCCGGGCGCAATATTCGGCGTCCTCAGTGCCTCGTTCAGGGATGTTGCCAATGAGACGGTACTGGAGGCTATTATTCAAGAGCTGCGCAACTCAGCGAGGAACCAAGGTGAGAGCACCAACATGGGCGTCCACCTGTTGTACTAAGGATAAGTCAGAAAAATGGCTAGAAATCAGCCAGGGACAACAGGTGTTGGGTTTGCGGGATACATCTGCGAAATGGGAGCGGACGTTGATATATGGCCACCCGAGCCACCCGGTGTGACCTGTCAGATGGCATTCTACATGATGTATTGGAGCTAACCTCAGCATAAACAGTACCATCGATTATGCTATGCTCAAGAGCCCCTAAAGCCTGTCAGCCCTGGAGATATACCTGGGATGCTCACACCGACTCTAGCGTTTGTCTCAGTTCCACGAGACAATCTCCGTATAACAGGTCCCTTTCAGCGAGAATTGCAACCTCTACTAAAACGGCTGGACATTCCACAAACAAGTAGTGATCGAGTGATCGTCCCTTGTCTCGCTCAGCAGCTGCCCTCTGTCCACCAGAGGTTCCCTGATGCTGTCGTTCTGAAACTTACCGCCGACTGCGCCGATGCCCAGGCATCTATGCGGACTCTCACTATGCGACCAGAACTAGAATTTGACTACCACCTGAAGCTCTCATTGGCTTGTCAGATCACTTCCGCTCTCCGAACCATCACACCTTGGACAACTTGTGGTGGCCCAGTTCAAACGGCACTCTTGGAGAAATTTCTTCCAGAGGACCTCTGGGTATTCAGAGAGATGGCAGCTGTCTCGGGGAGTCAAGAAGATTTCAACGACGCGCGCCACCTCTCTTGTATCCTACGAGATAGCCTTGACAGTAGAGCGCAAGCAAATGATGAAGTCCTTATCCTTGCTGCAGCATTGGGCCAGAAGCCCTATGGCGAGAGTCGTACATATGCGGAGATTTTGTACAACCTGGAGACGGTCTCCCAGAAGAAGGAGTGGCTCCAAAGGTTTGTTAGCCCAGATGCTGGTGATGGGTCAAGGGAATGTAAGCTAATTTTCGGAACAAAAGATACGTTACAGTACTGTTTAGCCTTGTTCTCCCTCCATTGGTTCAGTATGGAATCGGACTGGAAGGCCACGGGCAGAACCTAGTGGCTCGTGTCTGCCGCCAGACGGGCCAAATCAAAGGATTCGCTGTCCGTGACTTTGGAGGTGTCAGAATGCATGTCCCAACATTGAAAAATCATGGTGTGAAATTCGACACATTGCCACCTGGAGGAGCGACTTTGACGGATAATTTACAAAATGTCTGGAGCAAGGTGCATCATTCACTCCTCCAGAATCACGTCGGGTTTCTCCTTGAAGCTCTGGGATTGGAAAACCATGGCGGATGGGCAATCATCCTAGAAACATTATCGACAGTTTTGGGGCACGGCCAAGACTCACCTGGAGCAGAGTTACTGGAGTATTTCACTAAGAATACAATGCCATTCAAGTGCTTCCTGAGAATGAGGATGGAGAGCAAATATCGCGATGTAAGTTTTTCTGGTAGGCATGCGGCCTTCAAGGCTGTTCCTCCAGCATACTGACTTTCTTTTCTCACTTTATAGTACATCGAGCGGGAAGTGCCGAATGTGCTCCTGATGGACTCTCCGCGGTGGAAATCTATATTACATACTTATCAGCCCTCGTTGCACGCCACTTAGCAAAGTCATCTGTCAATCAAATCGAATACGTGGCCCACTGTTTCTGTGTTAGCACACACTTTCTTTCTTTTCATTTGCTAGGGCCGCCTGCAATATAGTTTGCGTTGTAAAACATCTATAAAGTACATGGCACCCAGAGAGGACGTGCCCTTTCCATAAGCTCCCCTACGGAGCTGCACACACCTTTATGTAGCCCACATAGTGATGCAGGCAGCACACGCAGGTCGGCATGGTTAGAAACTCACTCAGGGTGGGTAGAGCACACTTGATCTGCTAATATCTTGGTATCTGTAGACTATATAGGTTTTGTTCTATTTTCAAGTATTATTCCTCGTCTATCGCTACACCGGGTGCCTCCACTTGTTCCATTCCTTCCTGGGTATCCGGGGACATCACCGGCCTATGTTCGACCGCGCCACAGAATAACATATATGGCCCTAGCTGAAATAGCCCTCAGGCTCAAATAAGTCAACGGTAGCTCGCATCAATGCTTTCGTGTTTAAATCTATTTACCAAAGGGGTGTATCCATTTCCGCTATCTTCGCCCCATCTTAATTTCTATGCCCAACAAAGAATTCTTATTTCCCGAACGCTCTCACATACTGTGAAGTATAGTACACTAGTGGGTAGCTGAGCATCTACAACGGTTTGATCTGGCTCACCAACCCTATCAGTCCTTGTGGTGTGGACGTTCAAGATCCAAGCTTGGTCCAACAGTACCTTCGAAGAGCTTCACAATTTCAGTAAACAACTTTCTATATAATGCGCAAAGTTCCATAGTGCCTGAAACGTTAACTTAGTAGCAGCTTCCATTTCTTTAAGAACCATGGCGCTGCCACCCAACTATGCATATCCCAGGGTTGTTCGCCCCGACACACAATACCTGCGTTGCCAACGATATCTCGCTTGAGGTCTACGGCATCGATCAGTGTGGGTGCGGTAGCAGCTAACATGACCGCTCTGGTTCTTAATGCAGGCAATGGTAGCAGGTCTAATAGCGGATGATGAGGAAAGAGGATCTGTGGCAATGTCGGTTGGAGGTGCGTAGGGGTAGATGGATTCGAGACATTCTTGATGAGGGTCTGAGGGTCATCAGCCATGGTCGTGTTGGCTCTGTAAAACGGTGAACAGAGCGACATGCACTCATAGCTAAAGAACTGCTTGATACTTATGCCCAAGCTTTGGGCATTGTGAAGACATGCGCGGAGCAGCATCGTGTGTGTCAGTTCCAGGGTGTTCTGGTACAGATGGGGTAGCGTCGTGTCTGATGTGAAACTTGAGCCTGGTATTTTTTCGTTGGTTGCATGTTCCTCAACGAGCTGAATATATACATCGTCGTTTTGTGTCGTAGAGGATTTCTCCAAGGGAAAGAAATGGTCGAGAGTTAATTTCATCGGTGCCAAGCATTGACTCGGTCGAACCTCTGGATCCACTCCTGGAACATCGGCCGTACAACAGTCCATCGGACCGAAAGGTTGCGTCGGCACATCGTTTCCAGTTGGAGTGGGCTGTAGTACTCTGAGGGTGCTAGATGGCCTAGCTGTCTGCTTTTCTCGCTGCAGGCGCTCTTTTTGCCGTTGGCCTACACTCCATTTAGCCGTTGCCCTTAGTCCCGGCGAATGTACAAAGCATACTTACGATAAACCCGTTGCGCGACCCGGTTCTGTTCTTTTCGTGCCGGAGTTATGACTCGCTTCCGGCATTTTGATATTTCGTCGTCGTTATTTCCGAGCATGCCGTCTGGCTTACGGGGTGAAGTCGGGAGATGTTGATGTTGAGTTCCGCCGACGGTGTTGGCTTATGCTTTTCTCACCAATGAGAAAGCAGCCCTAACCACGGACGCCAAGAGCAAGCCACCTGTATTCATGCCCTACAATTTATCCGATCCCCGATATATAGACCTGGGGTTAACTGGCCATTCAAAATACGACAGCAATACACTGAAGATCATACTACATTGACATTCTTGATATACCTAATCAACCAAGATGAAGACCATCACCATCGTCGGCGCAACAGGAAACCAAGGCCTCTCCGTCGCAGACGCCTTCCTACCACTACCCGACTGGCATGTTCGCTGCATCACACGAAATCCCTCCTCCGAAAAGGCAGAGAAGCTCGCCTCTCTTGGTGCTAATATAGTCAAGGCAGACCTTGCCGACATTGACTCTCTACACTCGGCCTTCGTCAACTCCAGTGTTATATTCGTCAACACCGACTTCTGGGGACCCTTCAGCACCACAGGAAAGTACGACTCTGCCTATGCACAAGAGGTGCAACACGGCCGCAACGCTGCCATGGCCGCCTCAACTGTCCGCACACTTGAACTTTTCATATACTCCACTTTGGCACCGATGAAGAAGCATTCTCATGGGAAGTATCCTCATTCCTACCATTGCGATGCCAAGGCAGACATCATGGAGTACATTGAAACTCAGACACCGGAATTGGCGACGAAGACTTCTTATATTATCATTGGTGCATATGCCACGAATCCCCTTTTTATGCCTAGATGGGATTCATCTATTCAGAAGTACCGATTCATGGTGCCGCTGAAGAAACACCAGAAAATGCCGATCATTGCGGCGAGGGAATCCACCGGCGCTTTTGTCAAGGCTTTGATTGATGAACCTCCGCGCACAAGGTTGCTCGCGTATGATAGCAACCTGTCTATTGGGGGAATTGTGGAGGTCTGGTCCAGGGCTACTGGGGCTGACGCTGACCTGGTTGAGGTGGAGGCTCAGGACATGCATGAGCAGCTTGGTGTTCCTTGGGAGGTGCTAGATGCGTTTTTGTTCATTGGGGAGTTTGGGTATGCAGGTGGGATTGAGGGTGTCATTCATCCAAGCCAACTGAGAACACCTGTGCGAACTGAGCCATTCGAGGAATGGTTGCAAAAGAGGAATTGGGAGGAGGTCTTGCAAACGGGTAGTGAGGAATTGAACAGTGTTGCGGGTACTGCCCATTAGTCGTCAATTCTTTCTTACCATTTCTTGACCATTATTATCATTTATATTGTTGTTAAAGTATTTATCTTTTCCATGGCACTTAGGGAAGTTTATGAATTTGGGCTTTTCCTGGACTTAGGAGGAATGGTAGTTTACAACCAGCTAGTAGACTGCATGAGCCAGAAAGATGCAGCTTCCTAACGCCATTCTTCTCAACTCTAGAAATCCATCATGGTAAGAGAAATGAAAGCACTACGTATCCTGTTTCAATTCGACAGAATTTCTCTAATTCCCCTTTTGTCTAATTCCACCATGTAAGAGCACAAGGACCCTACCACGCACAATGTCCACCATCCACCCGCAAATCCGAACCCGTCATAAAGCTGCTCCCATCACCCAACATAAAGAGCACCGGAGCCCGGAACTCGTCCGCGGTGCTCAGCCGATACAGCATGTTATCGCCGATCCATTGAGACTCCAAGCCAGGCTTCTGAAGAGCCTCCGCCGTCGCAGCGGTGCGGATGTAACCAGGGGAGAGCGAGTTAACCCGGATGAGGGGCATACCCTTTCGTGATCCCCACTCGGCGGCCAATGACCGTGCTAGCTGCTGTACTGCAGCTTTTGAGGCGTTGTACCCAGCAGTATCAACACCCTGTATGTTTCGTTACTTATGCCAGGCTGTAGTGGAGATGAGGAGGGGACATACCTTGTTCGATACGTATCCGCTCATACTAGCGACCAAGACAATGCTACCGCTGACATCCGACTGTCTCATTTCCCAAGCGGCTGCTTGCGCCGCCAAGAAGGCTCCACTGACATTGACGTCCAACATCTCACGAACTGTCGAAATAGGGAAGTCAATGGCTGGACCATTCCGAGAGATGCCAGCACAGACGACCAGACCTCGAAGTGGATACCGGAGTGTAGGCATAAATTTGGCAAATACATCCGCCACCATATTCTCATTGGTGACGTCAAGAGACCAGTACGATATGCTACGTTCATACTCCAGTGCTGCACGTACCACATCGCCTATTGCATCTTCAATTAATACATATATCCCGATCGATCAGGCAGTGCACTTACCCCAATTTTTCGCAGTAGGCTCCTCAGGTAGATCCAGACAAACTACATCACCCCCGCTTTCGAGAATGGCCATCGCCAGTGTAGTTCCCAGGAAGCCATTGGCGCCAGTTACTAGACCATGCAATCAATACCTTGATCAGCCTTTGCTATTACACAGGAATGGTCGGGACAACGTACTAACAATGGTTCGCTTATCGAGCCGAAACAGATCTTTCACTGGCCGCGATGGATCTCCTTGCGAAGGTTTGCTTTCGCGGAGTCCGGGGTCATGGACGTTGCAATTGCTGTTGACACTCATTATTGTGGGGAGCTTCCGGGTGAGTTTGGTCGTTGTCAACTCGGAACGTTAATTATCAGTTGGACTGGTTCGCAACCCCGCATCTTTTTGCTTCAGGCCAAAGGGTCAGAGATCCTAATATTTAGGGTCTCCACTTATGACTCGGTCGGCAGTGCGCCGGTAAGACGTAATGGTGGTTTGAGATCTGCGACCCCGCACACGCGAAGCGTCATGAGAGGATCTGCACTCATTGATTGGATTATGAGGATTTCGTGGCTGCGTGTTTTGGGCTACACATGTCAAAGCGCTAGATGATGTTGCCGGCAAAGAAACGTATGGTATTCAAACTCGGGTATATATCGTTCGTCACGCAAGGTCATTCTGCCTCTGTCATCCTATGCCTATGTAGCGAAATTCATATAGAAAAGCCATCAACAGTAAAAAAGGAAAGCCATACATAGTAAAGCATCACTTAGCCAGATTTGCATCTCGAATATCATGAGAGCTATTGTCTGATCCTCTCGCCACAGCCCTCACATCATCGTCGTGGACGCTTTCATCCTGTTGGATCCTGTACACCTTCACGCCGTTTATAATGCCAACCTTGAAAACGACAAAAGCCGAGGGAATAATGCACAATGCAAAGAACGATAAATTGACACCAACGGCCCCAGATAGTGGAAAGCGCGTCTGATCGATCGAGTTAATCCCATACGATATCGCTTGGCCGGCACTCTCAACGCCGCGAACAACAGAACTGAGTCGCACAATATCACCACCACTGCGGTTGACTGTACCAATCAGCCAGTATAGGTAGTCGTACATCAGATTAAATCCAACCAGCATCAGGATATAGACGCAGACACCCCGACCAAACCCATCGTCAGCCCAGTCAAGAACAGGAGGGGTATCTCTTCTCTCGTACTCCTTAGTGACAATCATAGCGTATATGTAAAGAGATAGCTCGAAAGAGTAGATCAACACGAACGCAGATATTGCTCGAGTATTCAAGGTCAGTCTCCTCCAATCCAGGAAGAACCCTAACAAGAAGTTCGCAATAATCACACATGTACTAGCCACCAGGGAGGCTAGAGCGCGAGATCGTACTGTGAAATATGTTGCGTTGTAGGTGGAGAAAAACGCTTCCGAGAAGACACTCTGAAATATCATCGGCAGGAGTAAGAGGATCTCCTTCCGGCAAACCAACTTCCACATTATATTCAGTTCCACTTTTAAGCTCCTAGGCAGGTCAAGTGACACTGGGCACTGGTCCGATCGCTGGACCTTGTCGGGGGATGAGAGCAAAGCCGCCACAAATGGGCCCAAGGCCTGTATTGAGATGAAGATAAAATACGTCTTCACACTTATATGTCCCTGTTCTCGATTTCCGGCATTAACTCCTAGAGTGACTGACCCACCGATCATCTGGCCAACGATCCGGCTGGCTAGCCAGTAGGCCAGATACTTACCTCGTCGGTGCTTCTCAGGATAAGATAGGACAATGGCTCCTTCAGTGAGCCAGAAAATTCCTGATGAGACGCCATCGATAACACAAGCCAGCATGATATACCAGGTATTGTTGTACCTGATATTGCAATATATGCTAGATGCATAGATTGGAAAGCCTACCATACCGAGAACTAAAGCCCACTTCAGTCCAATCTTTGCAATCATAGCACTGCCAAATATGCAGACCAAAACTTGCAGGCAGAAGATGACTGCATTAGCGGCGTTGACGTAGTGTGGGTCCGCGGCCCCTGCTCCCCCAAGACCGTTCATAGCCGCCCATAGTCCCGGTGCAATAAAAGCACAGAGCGAGACGACCGAGATGTTAAAGAACGTGGTGCGGTACCACGTCCGTCTCGTATAAGTAGATGTGCTCATTATGGCCCGATACCGTTTTATCAGGCCGCTCGTTGGGGGTAGGTAGATCTAGGGTTTAAGATGATGTATAATTTCTAAATACTCTGAGTAGCTTTTAAAGTGAGGTACATTCCGTCTAAAATAAGGCTGGGGGGAGCAGTACCCCATGGGTGGAACCTGTGGGGGATCGGCATACTGCCGGGTCTGGGAGATGCCAAGGAGAAGAATGCTGATAGACAAAGGACGACCAAGTTCCTCCCAAAGCGGGGTTACGTCGTCCATGGTACTAAACCAATCATAATGTGTTGCCCTAACCCTCAGCTAGTGGTGGTCGAGCATCAAAGCTTCAACCTATTAGAGTGAAGCGGCCTACGAATCAATCCTACGCTTAGGTTGTCCATGTGCTTAAATGATCCAAACCTTTAATAAGAAACGCATACTTATAGATAAAGAACATATAATACTCCAAAATAGAAGACTAAGACAGAATTGAGGGTTTCCAAGTTGTATACTGTTTGGAATGTATGGTGAACACCAAGCGGATAAGTATATAACTGGGAACCGTTACGACATAGTCACAAAGAAGTGGTGCCGGAAAGGGTTTAGCCCTCTAATCGTACATTTTCCTTTCTTACACCCTCCTAGCTATCCATTCTATGATAGTATCATAGAATTCTGTGGTGGCTTTGAGGTCAGGGAAAAGGTGGAAAGCATGCGGCAAGCCGGCATAGATTTTCCTTTGTACAGGAACACTGGTGAGGAGAGCTATTAGAATTTCTTCTGGACACGGCTCCAAATCCTAACACAAGAGTTCACAGTATCAATGAATAGGAAGTACTCACCCCGCTTCTTCTAGAGCTTCGCAATAGGCGAGACCCTCATCACGAATAGGATCCTGTCCGGCTACTTGAATCACTTTTTAAACATCAACACAGGCGCAATAAAGTGCAGAAAAGATTTGGTATTTTGAAGAATACGTACATGCTGGCGGCAACCCTTTGAGAGAAGGCGCTAACAGAGGACTGGCATAGGGATCCGCACCAGCTGTGGGGCAGTATTGCTCTGGATTTCGGATGGGTTAGCATTCTTTGCTTGTCGTCAATAACTGCCGAAAAACTGGTAAAGGCACTATACCCCAAAACCAATGAGCCGCATGAGTCGGCATAACCGGCGCATTCATGTTTTGCTCGGGGCTGTTATATTCATATTTATCCTTGGGGAAGTGTGCTGGGTGACATATGTCAGGGATGTTCAGGACCTGCCCAATGACAGCCCCGATGCCTTCATCTCTATCCTTCAAGGCTAGGACGGCAGCCTGGAGATATGAGTTATGTGACAAAATGGCTTGTTTGGAGGCAATGATACGTACAATGTTCCCCCCGGAACTGCTTCCGCCGACAATGATTTTCTTTGGATTGATATAAAGGGTATCTGCATTTTGCCTACACTGTGTGCTAGTTAATAATATAATCCGAAGAAAACCATACCTGTTGCTCTTTAAAAATAGCTCACCCATTGCATGGCATCGAAGCAGTCATTGACCGCGTAGGGAAATTGATATTCGGGGGCCCTGTTCCATCTGTCAGAGCATTTCCACCAAGGAAGATGATATTCTGTAGCAATTATTGGAGAGAGTATATTAACTCACAGACGGTAATTCACACTAACTACAACCGAGTTGGTCTTCTTTGCAACTAAACGGTTCATGGGTTCTTCAGCCTGGTGGTCGCCAAGAACCCAACCTGCAATGATTAAGCAGTTAGGCATCCACATCATCATCTATAGGAATTTATTCCATTTATACCTCCTCCATGCGCCACGAAGAACAATGTTGATCTCTGGCCGACATCCCTATCCTTGTAGATCCTAAGTTCCAACTCAGCACCGTCTCGGACCGTAATGGTCCGATGGCTGATCTCGACACTTTCAGTGATAGCCTCGTCATACGGAAACGTCACTGGAACATTGGCCATGATTGCACGCATATCAACGGCTGATAGCGTCTTCATCTCGGCAAAAGGACTGGGCATATCCTTGTACTTGTCGAAGTCTGAGTCAGGGGTAGAATAATGCGCATATCGCAATGGCCGCTCCTTTGTTTCGGACGACATATTTGCTAGTGTTCTTGCAACGGCTTGTCTATTTTGAGATAAAGAATGTTGCGTTGGTATCTTCTCCGATGAAGCTTCGAGTGGAATTTATATAGTCCTAGTGGATGAAACATCGATGTAAGCCCTAGTCTCGATATGGTATGGTTACACTGCGGACTACATGTGATTTCTCCAAGGCCAAGGCCACTAGTAAAGGGATACTACGTTAGCTATACTGAATGGATAACACTGGTCGAGGTGGCCAGACACGATATAGCGACATCCCGGTCCACAGTATTCTATACTAAATTCTTGGCGTTTGCGACGTGTATAAATTACCTTTATTTGGCGGGTGCGCGGCTATTGGTATACCATGAAAGTATGTACCTTTGGCACAAGATTATATAGGATACAAAGATGGAGCAACCGTACCTCTTCGCCAAGATTCTTCCAGGGGCATGAAGTAAAATTGTAATTAGCTCAAATACCATATTCCGTACCCCTCTGTGATGACGTTGAGGCTGGGGTCCCCCCTCTTACCTTATCCCGTGTAGTAACTGAATGTTGACCGGCCTGTGATATGGAAGTGACAGCCCATGTCTCCCCCATGCCACGAATACTCCTTGTTCTGATAGCTGCAATATGACATTCATTCATTGCTGGTCTGGCGGTTTCCAGCAATCTCTAGCTATGTAACCAGTCATAGAAGTACGTCACTCTATATTAGTAGAAGGTTCCTCGCTATAAGGCACATAGGTCTTGGCTAGTTGCGCACGCACGAACTGCAATCATGGAATGTGAGCTACCAACAACCGTCTCAATAATATATTCCATATTCTACTCACTTCACCAGCCTTGAACGGTTTCACACATGCAGGCCTATCATCGGAGACACAACTTGGCAAGACTGACACGGTGGTATTATAGTCGACTCCGAAGAAAAAGGGGATTGAATAGCGTTCTTGACCAGTAAGGTTGATGACTCGGTGAACAGTTGACCTGAAGGTCTCATTGGTCCTAGGGAGGTCAACATCTGTATAGCACTCAAGAAAGTTGGAAAAAGTCAAGCACGTACCACTTAGACAAACAATCGGCGATATTCACGACCAGCGTCCCTGGGATAGGAGGCGCTACCACCCATTCTCCCCGAGTGTTACGGACTTGCAAAGCGGGTACATTATCCTGGGACAAAATCGTAAAGCATTCGTAGTCCTAAATGAGAATTCACAGTTAGCTAGACCGGAACCAAGGGATGGTGCTAGAACCGGTCATCTACCGTATGAGCCCCGAGCCCATCTCTAACCTCTCCGTCCACGGGCTGGGGTGGGTAATGCAAGATGCGGGACGTGACTCCCGGAAAATTCATCGTGGGGTCAAAGAAACTCTCATCGAGGCGCAGAGAAAGAGCAAAGCTTCTCATTAGCCTTCGACAAAGTGTGAGTGCCTCGGCACAATACAGCAAATAGGTCTCTCGGAATTTCGGAAGCACCTCGTCGCTTGGCCATTGGTTGTCTCCATACAAGTCATAGGTATCCGGGGGGAGCACATCATTCGGAGCACGTTGTGGATCGGCGAGAATTTCATAACCAATGTCGAATGATTCTAGAAGAGCGCCCGTTGCTTTTTTCACGGTGCGCTCGCTACCATCATCAGCGGCTGGTATTTCCTCTGCATACACAGGCATGAATCCACGGTATTTCTACTGCTTGTTATATGTTTGCCCCACAGTGTTGGATCTCTTGGAGTAAAACACATGCCTTCGATTTCGCCACAGAATATTCCAATTTCTGCTCCTCTGGCAGGGCAAAGAATCGATGCGCTGCTTCATGAAGAGCATCAATCAGCTCGTCAGAGATCCCGTGATTCTGCAAGACTTCTGTTACCAAGTGGTACAATTTGAGATTCTGGAGATACGCAAGTCACCTTAATGTAGAAGAACCCGACCTGTGTGCAGGCATCGTATATTTCTACCGCAAGTCTCTGGCGTTCCCCGCGATCTGGACTCTTTAGAGGTGCGACATCGATGATCGGAATATTCTCAAAGTCCGCCTTCAGTGAGCTTTTCGACAGATGGTGCTGCTCCATGATCGGTAATGAGATGTTAGCCTTGTGGTTCTGTTGTTTGTTTATATGAGTCGTTGGTTTATCTGAAGATAACACGATTACCCCGCTTTACCATCCCGGTCCCATGTATCCTTCGTGGAGGATCGCCTAGCGATGCATCTTATCGATCTTTGGATCCACGGACTCCTCCTTCTTCAATATTATTTAGTTCGCCTTTCTAACCGCAGGGGTGTATATTGATACGTTAGTACAGGTGGCTCTTTTCGGCAATACAACCTAACACCGTTTTTTTTGTTTTTCTTTCTTTGTTCGGACATTGTAAGTCTTATAGAGCAGGACATATATCTAAAGCACTATTCTATAACGGCACACCACGGCAGGGATGTATATTTCAAATAGGATTTCTTCATTGACATTGACTCGCTATATCTCTCTTCAGGCAACCGCAACGCAAACGGAGATTCCACAACAAGTGTCCAAAGCCTAGGTTCCCAACCCATACGATACACCAATACCCAGACTGGCCTATCTTTATATTTCTCCTTCAACCACTAGACTGTACGTATAAGCACATTGAACTTTCAAGCCCCTCCCAGATGGTGAAGCCAAAACTCACCATTAAATAACCATCCCAGCTCAGCACCAGAAGTTGCCGCGATAAGTAATCTGGGTGCACTGGCACGGCACATTACCACCACAGCAATTGTACGTCACCTCGGAACCGTCCTCAACTGGTACGTCCAGATCGTACGACCCATGAGGTGTATCGTAATGCAGCTTTCCGGGTTGATGTCTCCAATCTGTGGTGGTCGTCCATTTGGCCTTGTAGCCATCACTGCAGCTTGCATCACACGTGGTCGTCCAAGCATTGCAGTTGAAGCTGCAGGTCTGGACCCCGTCGTCCTTCAACTGCACATTCCATGAGGTAGAATGTGAGACGAAAAGCGTGCCGACGACTTCGAGGCATGCTTGAGCGCATGGGAGGAAGACGATGGAGAGAGGGAGGAGGGATTTGGGAAGCATCATGATTGCTTGAAAATGGTTTTGTAGATGAATAAGGGGTGTACTTCAGGAGATGGAATTGTGACTTGATGCTTTTCTCTCTGCGACGATGAGGAGAAGGCCTAGTTGATATAGCCTTGCTACGCCTTTCAAGATTGCTGCAATATGCGCACGGCAGAGTATATCTGGACCTACATTCATCCTTCAATCTATCAAGCTTTGTAGGGTTACATCCGGGGAAGGGCTTTGTGGAGGGCCATATCTAATCAACGGCTCCAGTTCCCTGAAGTGGAAAGGATGAGGTTCCCCGGGCCGGTCATGATCTGGTCTACCCCGGCTTAGCGGAGGGAATTAAATCCCGATACTATGGGGTTATATTTTAGCCAAGTGGATTCTTGCATTTAGCCGTTAACTCTACTATGGTATACAATGTTGTGAATCTAATCAATATCCTAATTAGGAAAGCCGAAAATGTACGGTATGAATGCAGCTTCAATTACCAGCCGAGGAGAATACTTGCCCACGTATACTTCTCTTTATTTAGCTTTGTTCTTAATTTTTGGTCCTACTCGTCCCTCAATTGTTGACTCTTGGGCATGATTCGTTTAATTTGTCTCAAAGCTGATTAGGGCTCGGCGACTTGCCGATACCATCGGCTTTTCCGATGGGCAAGTGAGATGAGATGGACTACTCGTCATACTGAGAATCTATAAAGCAGTCGCATTACTATGAACCACATTTTTAGTATATATGAGTTCGTAGTTTAGTGGGAAATTATTTCAAAAAATGCAGGGTGAAATTACCAACAAATATGAACATCTCTATAATTTCCTTTAGAATGTAGGAACAACAATGAGCAGGATAAAGAATAGAGCCAACCTGCATAACACAAACCAACTTATGGCACTTTTACGAAGACATGGCATATTTGAGCAAGAGTGGATGACTGGCGCTAATTATGGGAGACGATTGAAGCAGTTATTACATGGATTCAGTATGTAACAAACGGCCGGTTCTCTCGTGACGTGCATAGGGCTAAGATCAATCCACGCGTGTCGCTTGTGAAATCTGAAAAAAGTCAGTAGAGTACGTTAGCGACTGATATGTGACTGAATAGTGGGAAACCTTCCACTAAATTCTCTTGAAAGCCTGAATCCGTCTGAACTCAGCAGAGTGATGGATCAAGTTATGTCGCAATTTTATACAATTTTGAGCCGCTTTGATTGTGCTTTTGAATGGAAGATAAGGCTTCCCAGTGGTGTTCATCTTATAGTAACCGATTACTTGAGTAACTTGACAAGTTGACCTTCTTTCGAGGAGCGATGACCATGTCCACGGATAACAGCAAACTGCCAGAAACACCGCCCATGCCACTCAATGAATGATAGTTTACTCCGTTGGTAACTCCATCAAATGCAGACATAGATTATTCTTCGACATAGTCTGTCAGACAGCTTCCTATGATTCACCATCCAAAGCTCGACATCTTTATCGGCTTGCATAAGAGGGTCATTTGCTCGGTGCTTGGTTCAGGAGCAATGGTTTGTCAAGGAGAGCCTACCAGAGTATCTCGATGTCCTGTGGGGCACATTCCTGCCGACAGAGCCGATGTACGGATCCTGCATGGAGCATTTCCACTTTCCCGTTGTTGAGACGGCATCGAACCTCACAGATAGAATAGCTAACGCTCAAAACCAGGCTGCTGTGTCCATCACTATTGACCTCAAAGTTATGCATAAGCGAGATGTACTCAGCCGACAATGGTCAGCTGGGGAGTGTGATGTAACGTTCTCTTTGGTAACTATAGGGCCTTCGGTGGAGCTATATGTTCATTACATGGAGCGTGCTATTTTTTTACAGGACGGAATCACTAATGGAAAGCCACTCAGCCCACGGTATGAGGCTGTGAATGCCATCCTCAACTGAGCTAGTATGGTATGTATAGAGTCGGCTATAAACCAAATCTTCGTGACACCAAGAATATCTCCTTCTGCGATCTTTTCAAGACAATCATCTAGCTTAGGAAGCGTTAGCCGTTCAAGGAGGCACAAAGCAATCGTATATACTATTCAGTAGCCAGACTATACGCATTACCAACATTCCAAAGACCAAGCGCAACGCCTGAAAGATCCTAAAGTGTACCCCTACTCATCATCAAAGTCTATAATTTCCACGTTTAAGCCCTGAGGAACATTCACTGTCCTGAGCTCATCAACGTTGACCTCGTCCGATGCAGTCACTCTACTACAGTTAGCTCTGGGTCTGGTTTCAATTGTACAAACACTTACGGCATAAAGTTTATAGGAGGGTATGTGGACGTGGAGTCGAATTGATCAGGGAACTCAAGATTCTTGTTTTGATAAATCTGCCGCATCCTACTCATATATATTAGTGTATAAGGGCGGCCCAGAGCCTCTGGTATCCATACCTGTTAGCTAGCTTTTCTCCATCCCCGTAGTATTGGTGAGCTAGCTCGTCGTCGTAACGGACATCGAATGTCTAGAAACCAGTTAATACAGCGATATTATAAAATTGGTGATTGTCCCTTACCAGATTTTTGACCATCTTGTTTTAGGTTATGAGATAAAGCTCTGAAAGTAATTGAAGTATAGACCAGTATAGTAATACTACTCTCAATTTACAAGTATGCAGCAGACGGCTGACTTTATAACTTTCATCGTAGACAGTGGAATGATCTAGAACCTAGGTATTCGCTTTTGTCATAAGCATTAGCTTTGTGCTAAACCGGAACTTCATTTACCATTATCTATTACCCTAAGTTGTTCTGGCTCCATTGGTGAGGTCATATATGCCCTGATGCTCTATAAAAACCATGGATCACGTATCAAAAAGCAGCCAGTCGTTGTCATTTCATCATATCAATCAAAGCATGTTTACGACATAGCTCTTTATGAATGGGGAGAACGTCATTTCCGTCTCGGCCCTTTCCCATACCCGACTGTTCCGAGATCCTTATCCGGCGATCCCTTTTGTATTCTATTCCACCCCGAGCTGTCGGTAAGTGTAGTAACTCCAGTGAATCAATGATGATAATGGCGTAATGGGATAAACATCAGGAAAGGTTAATTACTATCTACCCTAATACTTAACTCGTCATACATCATACACCAACTTTAATTGACTACAGAGACAGCCAAAGTATCCTTCTATGCTGAAAACGTTCCAATCTGAACGTTCAACTCTAATTCTAGGGGCTTAATAAGGTTACGAATTACAAATCTGCCCCGCATTAGTTTGTACGTTTGGTTGCAAAACCAGGCAATTTAAACCAATGCTGTATAGTAACTGCGGATTCTAGATTTTGGATGATGTACTCATGGGTCTATGACGTTGGTAGTTTATGTGAAACTTAGCCTAGAAGTATTCTAGGTTGTGATATAATTCTTACGGTCGGTATATGAATTCAAGGTCGTTAGGTCATCGACTAGAGGTAAGAACCGTAGTAAAATACAAGGCAGGGTGTACACATAAACTGAAGAAAAGAATGTTATCATATACTTTCTCTCTTGCCTTTACGTAAATTGTATATTCTTTGATGACAGTTTTATCGGATTGACGCATCTCCCTCCTATGCTTCTCAGGCAAAATACCACCAAGCAGCCCCTACAGCAGCAACGGGAGTAACCCATTTCAAGCCCTGCTTTGCCAGGCCCGCCATTCGCATCCAGAATATAATGACATGAAACCTAGTGATGAAGTCACCTTCATTGACATGGGGAAACGGCTCGTCGGGGTATTCCTTTCCCAGAAACTCGCAGAGAGGTCCCCAGCCATCCTGGACCTTGAATTCTAGTACTTTGCGTCCACGCGCCCGGGCAGCAGCATGGACCTGGTCATAGTGAGCTTCAAAGCCTGTCGGTAGACGGTTCGTATCCTGCCAGTTACCGCCAGTCCATACGGATAGAGCGGACCGTAAAAGTGGAATGTAAAGCCCGATGTAAGACTTCAGGAACGTAGTTAGGCGTGGAACCAGAATAAATAAGACCAAGGGCTGCTGGGACGGTGACAGGTACCTTATCAAGAAACTCGAGCAATGCCCATCGCTTCCAGCCCAGGATTGCATAAAAGGTCCGTTGCATAGACACGAGCCAAGAATAAGCCGGACGCGTGGTCAAAACAATTTGTGCGTCCGGGTAGGCATCCATGAGCTCTTCGGCGAAGAGGATGCAGGGGATATCGGTTACAGCCTGGCTATCAGGTCAGTGTCGCCCCCACCGTGGTATATAATGAGGCTAGTAAGACAGGGGGCGGGATGCACATCGTAGCGCCAAAGCATCTGGTCAAAATCTGCGCCCGAGAACTTCCGGCCGTTGCCATTGAATTTCCCATTGATGGCTTGAGTCCAGAGAGCTAGGGAGCCGTTGCGTTGGTCTAGAGAACATTCCGCCATATGATAGCAGTTGAAACCCAGCTTCTTCAACGCAACGTACAATGCTTTACGTATTGTTAGCATTTCATGCTTGGTCGGACTTCAGCTTCGGATTGACCCACACATCGTCCCGGTGCGAGACATGCCTAGCGCGAGCACCTTCATCTTTTTCTCACGGTGAGCCGGTGGCTCCATTGGCGGATAAGGCACAGTGGGGAAGGGGATGTTGGCCATGGTCGCGAGAACACCAACAAAACTGCAAAAGTCGAACAGAGCAGAACGTGAGGGTCGGTCTCGTGCATTGGTTGAAAGCATTTATATAATACTCTATTTCTGCCTGACGGTGGGGGCTGCGGGCTTAGCGCCGGTGATGTTGGTCTTTGTTTCCCTGGCGTTCAGGATCTCAATCCTTGTACTGTTTGCGTTCTTTGTCTGCTTCAACCCTAGAAGCCAAGGTCATCCTCGTTGTCTTGGAAGGCTTGGCAAGCTCAGATCTTGCTCTTCTCACCATGCTACTATAGTCTAACAAAACAGTGTGCTACTAAATTATTAGGCTTATACTTGCCGATTTAGCCGCGAGCATACTTGGTTGATAGTGGTATATCCCCTTATTGAACCTGCTATCGAGCCTTAGAGTGTCGGACAGAGACAAGGCTACTTCAGATACTCCAATCAGTCAATCTAAAAGCCCACATCATGGCGGCAAATTCCAAATAAAATCCAAGTCCAAATGCGCCGAATCCAATCCATAGTCCAACTGGCCACTATCATCCCAAGTGCCAAACGGTGCCATCAGGGGATCAATAGGCAACCAAAGCCAATCATCCCCACCCTCGTCTAACTGCCCGAGCATAGGGTCATGCGATCCTTGGACTAGTTCCGTGTGCCCCGGTAGTGAGATACTACTGGTATTCTCGTGGACCCCCGATTGAACATCCTTCTCCCTCTCCTGGGCCGAAGCCATGAAAGTCTGTCGCAGACGCGAAACGTGAATCTGCAATAGGGATGCATATCGCGATACGAGTTGCATATCATCTAATGAGCTCGATTGCAGGGTAGTGATTGTCTGCTCGAGGAGATTTAATGAGGCGCGAAGTTGCGTGGTTCGGACGCCTAGCGCGAGGGCTTTCATGAGGAAGATCGAGGAGCTAATCACCCGTAGGAAGACGCGAATGGGAAGATATTGAATACTTTCTTGGATGAGTACCCATTGTAGGATCTCGGACGATCTATTGATTACTTCATCGATGCAGGTACGGTCAGTAGTGGCAGATTTGGTAGGTGAGTTGAGAATGTTTTCGACCAGGGATTGGACTTTGATGGAATTTGTGAACACCTGTAGATATTGGTATTCAATGTGAAGGATCGATTCCAGATGGGCGTCTGTTTGTCGTATTAGCGAGATAAACAACGAAAACAAGATTAGTGCGGCCTACTCAATGTTGGCCGGCTTGCTTGCCAGCGGTATAACAAGCTGTCCCAATCTTCTGAGGACCTGATGTCCTTCGCCTGATGACCATCCCTGGCCGTTGATGGGAAAAATGTGTCTGTAATATCTTTCGCCAACCTGGTCAAGTGGACCCACGATTCCATGAAAAGTATCCATTCCTCGTCCAGGCAGGGACATTCCATGACACTCTCAACCACCTTGACTACCGGCATCTCTGGAAGAAGAGGTGTGCACCCCAACCGCGAGGCAAGCATGTTCGCAAATACGTACAGCAAAGAAGGAAGGCGGCGACGTCGCCACTCCAATTGTTCCAGGTAGGCCCCAGCGTCCGACCGCATACCAGTAACATCATACTCATCCATCCTCTTCCCTTTATCACTCGTAAAAATACCCAGCTCATGTGCCAGTGCTAGTGCAGTGCTAACTAACATCCACGACATCCGATCAGACCGTCTGGTAGGCTCAACGACATCTTCCTTCCAGCGATCGGACATGGGTATTTCGTCCGCTGGGGGCGGAGGGTCTCGGAAGTCTGGCTCTGTAAGAATCAGATCAGAGTCCCATCCATCGTTCTCCAACGGGAAGTTTAATGCCCGTGGATACCATTCGCACATGAGAAGAAGTGCTTCGATAGAGCCAACATGTCTTGTCTTTGCCTTTGAGAGCTTCTCCTGGCCCAGTATGATGCGGAGGATGAGATGCTGGTAGTGCTGCCATAGTCGATTATGGATAGAATATGCTCGGGAGGTACCACCGAGCCCCGGGAGAACGTGGTATCTTGATGATATCATTAATATGGTGCAACAAAGCATGGGCTCCTGAGTTACGAGCCAGTAGTGATTCTCAGGTATACTGTAGAAGTCGGTTAAAATAGGGGAGAGGGGGAACATATTCTGGAAGAATCTGCATTCGTTAAGGTCCGGTCCTTATATTTAGCAGTCTGGATCATATAGACCTGGAAAACGTACAGCTCGACGAGAACAACTGCTTCACCGGCCTTGATCCATCCCATCCTAACGAACCGACAGGCGTTCCATACTCTGAGTACATCTGTGTGGATGCGGCCTCGCCCTTCGCTGTAAGGACTGTTGTCTGTGGGAGTTAGTGGCATAAATGAGAAGGGGTTTGGTATATCTCCCTGTAAGAAGAGATCAAATGGATCATTTCTAGAGGGAAGCATATTCTCTAAAGCAGCCACAATACTCCTATTGGTATGAGAGTACGTGTCTCCATTTCCTAGAACAAAACCATCAGGTCAGTTATCTAGGCTGATCAGTAACACAAAACTCACCTTCCTGCGATGAGTTCCCTTGAACTTCTTGGGTATCATTGCGAGCAATCCTCGAACGGGCGGCTTTCGGCATATCCGAGTCTTGATGGTTTAGAATTAGTGCATGGCCCAAATGGAAGACGAGGGATAGAGTATCACACCAGGTTTCTCTCTTGTCCACGGCCTTTTCTCCGTAAACCGACAGTCAAGGTTCATCTTCTTGCACCGAGAACATGGTGGTTGGCTTTCTTCTAAAAGCTCACATTTCGCTTTTCTTTCTCGGCAAGGAATGCATGCCTTATATGTACGGCGGTAATTATAGTCAGTGACAGCTCGACTGCGCGGCGGACGGTGCATGGCTGCATGCATGCAGTTGTAAGTGAATAGTAAGCTTGCGTCGGAAGGAGGTTAACTTTATGTGGGGAAAGTTACGTGTGGAGACTTTTAAATAGCTTTCTGATTAAATAAATCAACCCTAATTCATCTGCAGCCTAACTAACTACTTACGGTTACAAGGTGGGGAACCGGCAGTTAAAGTGTATTACTTGCATGTCTTTAATGCCACATTGGTATAGGCATGGCCATCACAGTCAGACTACCCTAAGTCAAGTACCGGAACTGCGGGTGATTGTCGCCATCCCTCGTAACATCTACGCGGACATCCGGATCCACCTTCCCATACACTCGATCACGTCGCCTATTCTCATGGCTCAATTTCAGATACAACCCTAATGCCAGCACTGCGACCAGACCAGTCAATGCGCACCCAATGGCACACCCTCTAACGTAAAACGGTCTGAGAGGAACGCGTTAGTCGTTATTCATTTATGTAAAACAGAATCTTGTTCCAACAAAAAAGAACAAAATGTTGGAGAACAGAGAAACTCACCCTTCAGAATCTGGAAAAGCCGAACTACTCACAAAACTCGAGCACTGACCAAAGACCGCCAATATAGCCATCCCAGCGCCCTTCTTCGAATCTCCTCCCTGGTTATTCAACAGCCAAGTGATATTAATTGACAAGGCAGGAAACACTCCGCAGGTCGCAAGCCACACTCCGAAATATCTCACTCCGTTTTTGCGCTCATCCTGCACCGCGGCGAGAATGAGATATCCTACCATTCCAACCAACGCAGACACTGTGATGACTAACCCCCTATATCCCCATCGATCAGATATAACGGCAGCTACGATGCAGAGGAGGAATGACGCGAAGTATGGAGGCGCCGACAGTCCCTGTGCGTTGATGGACGTGTAGCCCATTTCTTCGATGATAGTGGGAAGGAAGTTGGAGAGGCCTGCGAATGAGTAGTTGCAGCAGAAGTGGATTGTCATGTGGACGTAGTTCTTGTAGTCTGCCAGTCCTTGGAGGACTTGTTTCCATTCCATCCGATTTTTAGCGGTCTGGTCGACGGTGTGGAGGCGCTCGACAGCTTGGGTTTGTTCGGTTTCGGTAAGGAATTTGGCGGTTCCGGGGGAGTCCGCTAGAAAGAAGAAGACAATAATGGAGAAGAGGACTGTTGGCGCTCCTTCTATACAATGTGTCAGTCTTGTACCCAATTCCAAGTTTTCTATTCAGGGGTTGGGATATGGAGGGCCATACCGATAATAAATAGAAGTCGCCACGGTGCAATTGAATTATGGATATGGGTGATGCCAAAGGCCAGTGCACTTGCAAAGCAGTTTGCCACCGGTGACATTCCCAGCAGCATGGAGACACGGAATCCAAGCTCCCCTCTCTGGTAGAATAACGACAGGAAGTACGGTGCGCCTGCTCCAAACGCCGCCTCGAATACACCCAACAGACAGCGGCATACAATCAGTTCAACCAAATTGGTGACTGCGCCACTGCACATGGCGGCGGCTCCCCAGCTGTGTTGATTCAGCGTTGATCAGGCCATTGGTCCCAGGGAATGCAAATTTACCAGATACAAAGAACAGCAACATAAATGTGAGCCGGAAGGATCTTCCACAAGACCGTGGTCCACTCAAATAAAATGTAGCATATGTAGAATGAGTACAGCACCCAGGACCATTGCTTGTCGTTGAGCCCGAGTGCTGTGTCTATACCTGCTGTCTTGGCGTTTCCGATGTTTCCTGTGTGATTCAGTCTGAGGGGCTATACTAGGAATGTGAAGCAATGACACACAGTACCTCGGTCTAGATAAGATAATATGTAAAGTATGCAGACTATGGGCAAAATGCGACGATCAAACTGTCCCAGTCAGTACTGAACCCTATGTGTCAATCTCAAACATACCTTTCGGCGAATAGATGCCTGGTCTGCAGACAGCACATGGACGTGCTGAGCATCTTTTGCATCTCGGGATTGTGCTTCCTCGAGATGAAGAGCCTCAGACTCCTTGACTTCGTTTTGATTCATTGTTGATCAAGCCCGAGTGATTAGGTCCCAATTCGACTTTGAGAAATTGAACACAAAGTGAGAATAACGATAGTACAACGACTTAGTTAGTACCCACATCCCCATGTCCAAGTCAATATAAATACCATATTTATACCTTTTGCAAGCGAGCGTCCCCGCATTGACCTCCCTTCCCCACGGGGTAGAGGTTATGGCATCCCCTTAAACCGGGCATCCAGACCCAGGGCGGATAATTGGCAATATCCGCAGTCAAAATACCCGCTCGAACTATACCCGCCGACATCAAAAAAAAACGGTATATATAACGTCCGCAATCCCCAACCTTTAATCTCAGTATATTATCACAGAATTCAAAGGCATTGTATTCCACTGAGAAATTTCACATCATCTACTTGTTCAAAATGACTCTCACCCAGACAACCCCCTACCCCTTCACCTTCACCAGCAGCGCAACAAACCAAACCCCAAGCAAAGACGCTGCAAGAGACGAAACACTCACCCTCAAGAATGTGCGCGGCAAAATCCCCTCCCTTCAAGCCTCCACCCTCCGCACCATGATGCTGGAAGCACACTCCGACCCCACGAAGATTATCGCTCACGCCTGCTCCTACGACGGCCTCTCCTCTCGTCTCGTGCAGGAAGCCGGCTTCCCCATTGTCTTCTTGGCAGGCTATGCCGTGGCCAGCTCCTATGGACTCCCAGATACGGGGTACATTGCTATGGCGGAGATGTGCGATAAGATCCAGGAAGCTGTGCGCGCGACGGACATTCCTGTTATGGCAGACGGCGATACAGGATACGGAAGTCCGATGAATGTCAAGAGGACGGTAGAGAGCTTTGCGGCTGCTGGTGCAGCGGGGATTATGATTGAGGATCAGACGTGGCCGAAGAGTATGTTTCCCTCTTCCCTCTATTTCCCTTTCCTTGTCCTTTGTTGTTTGTTGCTGTCGATGAGGAGGGGTAGACATAGTCCTGAGAGTAACGTGATGTCTAGGATGCGGCCACACAAAAGGCAAATCCGTCGTTTCAAGAGGCGAAGCCTACGCCCGGGTCCAAGCGGCCGTTGATGCCCGTAACAACGGCCAAGATATCTTCATCCTAGCGCGTACTGACTCCTTAATCCACGGATGGGAGGAGGCCATGACTCGTGCAAAGGAGTTCAAACGCATAGGTGTGGACGCTGTATTCGTTGAAGCCTTACCTGATCGCGAGGCAATGCAACAATGTGTCCAGGAACTGCAACTGCCTGTCTTTGCGAATATTATTGAGGGCGGGCTGACGGAGAACCTGTCAGCCAAGGATCTGGCTGAGCTCGGGTTCTCGGCCGTTGCGTATCCGTGGACGCTTGTGGCGGCGAAGTTGAAAAGCATTCGGGACACGTTGGAGGCGTTGAAGAGGAGTATGACTACTGGGGCACCGCCGATGATTTTGGGCTATGCGGAGGTCTGTGAAGGGGTTGGGTTCAATAAGTATTGGGTAAGTCCAGTTGGGGTTCCGTAAGTGGGCATCCTTGAGGGTGTTTACTAACAGTTGTTTAGGATCAGGAGGTGAAGTATGAGTATAATGAGAATGGATTGGTGAAGAACCGGAATGGAACTGCGTAGCCTGGATCGCGCAACATTGGGTGCATTTAACAATTCGATACAATATCAATATGCAGCCTCCATCGTGGAGTCAGGAGGCTGAGCAGCATTCTATTAGAATACGATGAACACAAATGCAAGTATACGGAACCTCGATGGGATGCTAAACCAACGAGCTATGCATTAAATCAAAGCCAGGTGCAATTTAGATATCTATGTACCTGTCTTGTGCGATTGTCAAATTCCAGGTAAATGCATTAGATCCTTAAGTGTTCATGGGTATTCTGCAATGTAACGGATGGGCTGTCACGATCAAAATAGAGAAAAAGACCACATCAAAACAAGCAAATAAAAAAAAAAAAAACAAAGCCAAGCCTAGGAAATACAGGATATCCGTCATCAATCATGCCAATGCACAGCGGTGCGCCATTATGGTATTAAGGAAAGATGCGATGCAAGGAATCAACCAGCGATGCAGAAAATGCAACGAAAAACAAATGAAAGGCCCATTATTTCTAACGGCGAGAAGCCAGTTTCCACTTGCCGCCACCCCAGGACAGGATTCCTTCCTGGATAGCCCAGTCACGCAGGGCAATGTCCTCTTTCTCTGACTCCATGGCGACATCACCTTTCTCGTAGTGGCGACCGACATGCTCCATCCGCTGATTCCAGCTTTGAAAGCCAGCGAACTCCTCCCCACAAAATCCACATGCGCTGCGCAAGGGTGGTTGACGTTGTTCATGCCAGCACCGAGTGCGCACCGCCTCGAGATCCGTATCAAATTGTTGTTTCTCCTCCTCCGTGGCTTCGTTGGACTTGGCCCAGGGCGCGTGCATCCGACGTTGGTGCTGGGTGAAAAGATCTTTGCGGTTGAAGTCATTGGTGCAGCTCATAGGTCTGGCATTGCTCAAATTGTTAACGTTGCACTGGCCCACATCACAGCGATAGAATCCTAGCTGGACGTGCTGTGACGTCACATGTCGCTTCCACTCATTCTTAGAAGCAAAGGAGCTAGCGCATCCGTAGCGAGAGAAAGTGCAAACAAAGGTACGTCGGGGCCGTGTGCCTTTCTTTGTTTTTGACTTGGAGAGCCTCCGACAAACGCGGATAGAGTTGGCAGTAAGAGGTTCCTTCTTCCGGCAACCCTTCTGGCTGCTGTTGCTGTAACGCGTTGCCACTTTCAGACCAGTGTACTTCTTTGCTGGGACACGTGGGGAACTAGGCAAGGCAAATGAGTCCTGCTCAGGGGCCTGTCCTGCGCCGAGATAGCTGAGTGTGTCGTTGCCATGATTTAGTTGGCTGTGTTGGTACGTGCTATGGCTATGCATAGGGGTTACCGCGTTGGCTGATGTGGATTCCGCGTCGAGTTGAGAATCGAGTTCAGGATCGAGTTGCGGTTCCAGTTCGAGTTCGGCGATCGGTATGGGCATGGGATAGTTCTGCAGAATCTCAGATGGAGCAACTGAGGGCTCGACATTTGCAGAGGGACCTGGTGAGCAAGAGCCCCAGTGATCCAGTGGTGGCAGCATCGTGTCCGCGCAGCTGGAAGGCGGTGACATGTAGCATCCCATGTTTCCCCAATTATTGCTTGGAGGGCTTTCAGCGCCAGGAGACGAGTAGCCACGACCAAAAGATGAGGAGATGTCAGACACCACAGGATAGGCTCTGGCCTCTATGGTGTAAGGTGAACCAGCTTGGTTTAGGTGCACATTTCGGGTCGAAAAAGGCATGGGCGAGGGAAGCCACGAAGTTTTCATGGTATGGTCTATATTAGATATTTGGCGTTGGATTTCGGCAGTGCGTTGGCAGAGCACAGGATCAGCAAATGAGTCCGAGTCTGGGAAGAGCTCGTAGTCCTGGGTGGAATGCTGAAAGTCGGTAAAAGAGTTGGGGTCTTCCATCATCCACGAGTTTCGGCAGTCTTTTCTAGTAGAATAGATAGATAGAGGGGGTTGATCGAGAACGAAGAAACACCAAGCGTCATAATTCCGGGCGATCGCGAATTTTTATTTCCAGCTGAGAACCTCAAGTAGCATTTGTCTTCACCCTGGGTGCCCATCGAGCCGGGCAAAGCCAGAACCAAACTGAGAAAATAGATGACGATCGGCGATCCTGAATGGCTACCGTAGAGCCGCAAATCCTCTGGAAATCAAACTGCCCAAAAATTGATCGTCATCGAGTGGAAATACGTCCCCCGACACTGATGGGAAGCGCCGCCCCTGCAGCGGTCGGGAATGGTCATTTGGCGCAGTCCGACCGGGGCTACTCGGATGGACCATTCGTAGCATTTTTCATGCCCCCTTTTTTGGCAAATTATTTTTTTTTTCTGTTTAATTACTATGCAGCAAATCCGGCAGGAGTCGGACAAGTGGCTGTTTGGGTACATGGGTGGGTGCCCTCGTGGTTCACGATTAGGGGTGGAGGAAACGCCATCATGATAGCTCCGAATGCTGCCCATTGGGGTAAATGATTGGATACAAATGCTCCAACCAAAGAGAGCCTCACGGTGCTGTCAGTCTGGACTGAATTCAGGAAGGGACTGCGGAAGATTCCATTCCAGGATCCGCTGTCGTCAACGACAGTTTAGCTTTCACAGCCGCATTTCCACGTGTATTGTTTCCAGAGTATGCAGTGCAGTTGCCAGTCACAAATCTTCCATAGAGGGGATTGACGAAGACAAACAGCAGGGAGGGGGGAAAAAAAGAAAAGGCAAAGAAAAGAAAAGGACAAGACCAGGATCAATCAAAAACCGCAAACGAACTTGGAATGAAGGGAGATTTTTTGCGCGAAGTGCAAGCAAAGGCCAAATCAGCCTCAGCGCCATCGCCCCAGGCAGTGCTGCTAAGAAAGCCAAAAATGCATTAGTTCGGGATGCACGACCAGTCCGTCGTACCCACAATCCACGGGGACAGGCTCGTGGGGAAAGGAAGCCTTATCGAGCCCATCAGCGTTCTGCTCCCCATTGTAAATGCAAGCGAACCATTCCAGGCATCGAACGATGATGGAGTCGTCTGCAGGGGATGGCTAGAAAGGGCAGGATCAGATGTCCATCGTTACCGCTCAGTGGCTGACAGTTTGGGGCGCTTTTGCCCGAACGGATTGATGCACGAATGCAATCCTTCATCTCTGACTCTTGTCCCATTCAGGAATCGTAACGCGAGAGATCCTCGCTGCCGCAGTCACCTTGCGTTTATCCCGCAGAGAATCATTCTGCTCCTGTCATTTAACGCGCGACATCCAAAATAGCGTCCAGAGAGGGGGTGACGGACCGACTCGAGAAGGTTGAAAATAATAGATGGTTGAAAACCATGACATAGTAACGAAAGTCTCGACAAAGCGATAATGGACAACAAGGGAAAAAGTTCCGACAAGGACCTCAGGTATCCATACATTTACCGCCCCCAAAATAGTAGATAAAATACCGCCTTCCGTACACGGTGTGACCACCAGTGGACAGCCATTGAGGGTGGTTATTGGCTCTCGGCAACCGGCACCTCAATTCCAGTACCCAAAATCCCTGCCCCAAAACCATCGGTGACGCTAGAATCTTTCCGCTGACCACCATCCATATTTACGAGTCATGCTTTTGTCACTTTGCTTACTATTTCCTGGCTGATTTTACTTTTCTTATCAATTTTCTTTTTTTGTTTTTATTATTATTCTTTAATTAAAGTTAGATTTCTCTAAACCAGCCCACCAGAAGGGAAGCTCATCCTTCCACACCGCAAGAACTGCGGTGAGACGGGTTCCTGTGTCCCTGTGGCTGAGACGCTTCATCTGCACATAAGATAAACTCGATTATCAGGAAAAATCAAGGATTTGACGTTCACTTGCTCAGCCCACCAGAGTGAAGTCGTCGTTTCACCCTGGGTGTCTGGACCACAGTCGAAATTGCACAGGGATCAGCCCATGATCCATATACTGTCCCATGCGGTTGTGTAGTACACAACCATCTCGGCGTATCCGGGAATGCGTCATAGCTTTCGGAGCGGGAGGTCGTAAAAAGATTCATGCCTGATATATCAGGCATCATTATACATTCCGAATGAGGTATGATGTAGTTGCGCTCCGGGTTGGGCAAACAAGGGCCGGTTCTGCTGAATCTGTAACCTAACCTGATAGATCAGAGTTTAGAGCGAACTTAGTATAATATTGAAATGACCCTGTGTATCGATACATTATATATCAAGTTTCATCGAGGCGTTAACCACCTTGGACAGGTTTGGGTGGATCTTACAACTAGTACCGGGCCAGATATATATATTACAGCTGCATTGGGCGAGGTGCAACCAATGGGAAATTGAGCACCCTTAACCGGGTTGGAGTACAATTATATATATTGATTTCCAAAAGCAACCCACTCATGATAATAGCATATGAAATGACCTGAATATATAGGAACTGATATTGATTTCCGGGATGTTTCACTAAAGACATTACATTGAACGTAGAATAAGTAATTGCCCACGTCTAATAGCTATATCTAGCCCCCTCAATTACCTCCTCTAGCAACCTACAGAAACTAGGGATTAAATGATATGATCATCCCCCGCGGCCTCGAGTTTTTTGGGCTTTCATTCCTTCTTGGCCTTTTTAAGAGCCCTCTTCTTCGGTACGCGGACCAGCCAGTACAAAAAGATTGCGGCTACCGTGTTGAAAACGATATACACAAACAAGATCCCGACATTACGCCACAGCTCCGAGTATTTGATATGCACCCCCTCCAAGAATTGATCCGTCATGGACATGGCACATACTTGGCAGTCGCTGTCGGCCTCGGGATTGAGCAAGGTGCTTTTTGCCATCTTGGTAAAGGCTTCGAGATAGCCCGAGCAATTTTGGCCTCCGGGAGGTGGTATATGAAGCACCTCGATATCCGAGCAATGGACTGGAGCTTTGGCTATCCCAACCGCCAAGACGGAACCCACGAGGTAGGAAAACGGCGATGCGCGCCACATGAATATCCAAAACCGAGGGAGGACGTCTGGAGTCGCAAGCACACTGGATCCCAATGCCGAGTTAGCTGTCAATGCAGGCTGATATATAGTCGATCCCCCCAGGAAGTGACATACCCACAAAAGATAAGACACATCGAAAACATTAGTTGAGCGATGTTGCTAGCGGTTTCCGGATGGTCGATGCCTGCAATAATCATCGAGCTAAAAGTGGACGTGAACAACATAAAAATCAAGACGAGAAGAAACATCGTGCCACCACGCTCTGTTACCGCGTCTGTCGGATAGGCGTTGCGGAAAAGGCCAATAGGATAATACCAACAGAAGTACGCAGGTACAGCCATCAACATGTTCCATGGGAGCTCTACGACAATACTTGCGAGCATGAATGCTTTCCATGAGTAGGCCTTCGATGGACGCTCCCGCACTTCGTATAAAGAGCGCTGCATCGCAAAATATGGCATCATTTGTTGAACGAGGTTGGGGAAGATGACAAGCAGCATGAAAATGGAAAACATTTCGTTTTGCATGCCTTGTATACTGGTGGGTTCCCTCCAGAACGTGAAGCCGATAAACAAAGGCTAGTCCATGTTAGTGGCCCAGGATCAGGAACTATCTTATGAGACAAGGGAGATATCTACCGGAATTATACACATGGCGGCCTTGGCATAGATGTATGACGGGCAGCGCCAGTATTGCTGGAACATTCGCTGGAGGCAAATAAAGAACTGTGCCCACAGTGGCATCGCAAACTCCCCATACCCAGCTGTTCGAGGAGGCTGGGGTCGCTGCAGGAGTTCCTGTTTCATCTGTAGTAGTTCCTGTTGTACCTGAGCACGCTGATGGCTTTGTTTCCAAACCTCTGACCAATCCTTGTCCGCCCGAGAGCCAGGGGCTGCACCTATGACTTCAAGCATCCACTCGGCAGGATTGGCATTCGATGGGCACTTGGCTGAGTCTTTATCCTCAAAGTACTTAATCAGGGTTCTCATATTGGGGCCCAGATCGCCAAAATAGATAGTCTTGCCCCCTTTTGCTAAAAATAGTAGCCGATCGAACTGCTGCATCAAGATGGCGGAGGGCTGGTGGATTGTACATAGAATGGCTTGACCATGATCAGCAAGCTTCCGCATGAGGGAGCATATTGACCACGCAGTCTGGCTATCCAAACCGGAGGTGGGCTCGTCAAAGAAGAGAAGAAGATCCGGCTTGGCTGCGATCTCGACTCCGATCGTCAGCCGCTTGCGCTGCTCAACGTTGAGGCCCTCACCAAGGACGCCGACGACCGCCTCCGCGTACTCTTCCATATTGAGCATCTTGATGACCTCCTCTACATATGCTAGCTTTTCTTCCCGTGGGGTGCTCGCAGGCTGGCGGAGCAGAGCACTGAAAATAAGGGCCTCCCGAACAGTACTCGTCTCTAAGTGCAAGTCCTGCTGCTGGACATAGCCTGTTTTGCGCTGGAAAGAGTCATCGCGCATACGCCCGTCCACTAGCATCTCACCAGTGATCACCCCCATAGTCACCCGATTGGCGAGAACATCGAGGAGGGAGGTTTTGCCAGCTCCAGTCACACCCATTAGAGCTGTGAGGGTACCCGGTTTAACCCAGCCATCAACATGATCCAAGATTCGACGGTCCTGACCTTTGATCTTGATGTCATAGCAAACGTCTTGCCAGTGGAATATTGATGTTTGCTTCACAATGGCACCGACATGATCGTCCTGCTCACTGCCAACCTTCAGCTTCTCTGATGTGAGGACATCTTCTGGATCCGCTTCCCGATGGACCTTCCTCGCGAAGGCGGGTATTTTGCCCCGGGGAAAAACCAGAATCTCTCCCTTCGAGGGCTTCGCCCGCACAAGCTCACTGGCGACAATATAGGCCAATAGCGAGAAGAAGAGGAATCCTAGAAGAATACCAAAGTTACGCCATAAGTGCGAGGGGTAGTATTCGAAGGCCACTTTGAGATAGCGATCACCAAGTATATAATCCTGGCCTGCCACAGCCCCCTTTCCGGAGCAAATCTTCGAGTCAAGAGGCGCATTCTCATACCCTGGACCGGAAGGCACATATGTTGTGCAATTAAACCTGCGTCCAGCAAACTCATTGATCATGAGGGATTCAAACGAGTACTGTGTTTCATAACTTTAGTAAAGATGCTACACCCATAAGGAAGGGTAATCTAGAAGCTTACTGCGATTGGATTGATGTAATTGAGCCATCGAAACCAGGGGTGCATATCCCGGACCGGAATAGTGAAGCCCGTGTAAATCATTAGTATCATCATAAAGATTGCAGCGGGGACTTCTGCCTGCGCCAGGGACCGAGAAACTGCAGCTATCCAGCGGAACACGTTGGACATGGTCAAGGTTGTTGTTACAGAGAACAGGTAGAACACGAAGAAATGCCCGGGTGTCCGACGCAGGTTCGTCATAAAGTAAAGAATCAAATTGAATACCACAGAAACCAGTGCCTTAGATGGGAGATCAACAATTAGGGAGCTAATTGCTTCAGCTGATGGGTGGTAAAGTGCATATTTATCGTGCTTTTCGACGATTGGCCGTTGTTGCCATAAAGTAAGCATCTCAAGGGCACTGGCGAATGCATTCAGCAAGATCGCAAAGAATAACAATGCGCCTCGGGAGAAATAACTGTCTGTAGTTTCGTCCAAGTTATAGAACACACTTGAGATGATTAGTGCCAAGATACTATTGCCGATCACCGTTGATAATGTCATGCTCATATCGCCCTTGAGACGTAGAAACCCTCTCTGAAGGCAAAGCCGGATCTGCATCCAATATGACAAGGTGTAAGGGGAGGAAGCCCTTGTGTTCTTGGCCTTCTCTGCGGCGCGAGAACGACTGAATTCCTCCTTCTTGCTTCCTCCTAAGGGGAACTCATTCTGAAATGCCTCGATATCTGTGAGGAGCTGCTTTCGTTCCAGACTGTCCCTCCATCGCGCCGCAAATTCATCAGGTGTACGAGGGACCAGGTGCTCATATCCCTTACGAACCAGCCTCTCTGTCGGACTGGTCAGCGATGTTAGAAAGTCTCCAGTAGTCTGTCTTTCCGGACAGTCAAAACCCATTTCGATAAAAAACCGCTTTGCGTCACAGGCCCGGCCGAAATATATTTGGCGGCCTTCGTAAAGAACAATGACTTTATCAAATACATCATAGATAGCTTGACTCGCCTGGTATATTGCCACGATTGCCGTGGACCCAGTATAATCCGTGGATAGGCGTAGGTTCTTGACAAATTCAAGAGCAGTCGAACTGTCCAACCCTCGCGTGCTGTTATCCCAGCATTGCAGCGGGCTCCCACAAAGTGTAGTCTCCGCAATACTAACTCTTTTGCGCTCGCCTCCTGAGACGCCCCGAATGAAATCGTTTCCTACTAGTGTGTTCATGGTATGGCTAAGACCTAACATGGCCATCACAACGTCCCTCATATGTGTCGCATATTGATCACGACTTACACCAGGGAGTCTGTTTGCTGGTGCTCGTGCCTGTGCCGCGAAAAGAAGAGTGTCCCCGGCAGTAAGCTGTGGAAAATGAATCTCTGTTTCAGCCTGGTACATCACCTCTCCACGAAATCGACTATGCATTTCGTCCCATGAGATCCCCTGATACTGAATATCAGTGCCTTTATCCAGCCACAGTCCATGTATTTCACCAGCGATGGTTTTCAAGAAGGTCGAGCAACCACTGCAGATATAGGAGTTAGTCTGTACGGTAGTGCTAGATAGGGAAGCCACGTTTACCTCCCAGGTCGGCCTAGAACCACCAGCATTTCCCCACTGTTGACAAAACCCTCAAAGTTGCGTAGAATATCGATCCGAACTTTGTTCCCATTGCCGAATAAACCTCGGAACCAACCCACTGCTTTGAGCCAGACATTCGATACTGTAGCCTGATAGTCAGCTGCCGTTCCATAACCAAATGCGTTGAGGTTCCGAAACGAGACCCCTGCAGTGCGACGGGGATAGCGCTCAGCGTCGCGCGAGGTTATGTGCAGGAGGTTCTTGGTCCATTTTCGAGAGTTGAATTGGTCCGAGTTCGGGTCCAATTCGGGGTCAATAGTATTAAGAAACGGGTTGAGGCCCTCGGTGCCGCCATTTGTCTGAGAGATACGCGACAGGGTTCGTGCCAATGTAGTGATCTTGGCCTGTCCCTCGTGCTCGATGCCATCCTCCGAATCAGCTCCAATTGTATCCGAACTTTCTCCTTTGTCAACCGCTGCCCCAGTAGTCTGGTCCATATGTGTGTGTGTGGGGTGATGTAATGAGCTTTCGCCGCCAGGCAGTGCCATATTTGATGTCGCTGAAGGCTCAACGGATGTTATAGGTGTTGAGGGAAGGGCTATTATGCTTCGTAGTGCAATTCCACAAGCTACATTGACAGCTCATCATAATACAGTATGCAATGCCAACACACCGTTCGAGCAACTGGGGCAAGTACAGATGCCGAAATGTGTACTCATGGATACTGCCGTGAAAAAGGCAGGAAGGAGGCAAAGAAGGAAGGGACAAACAACTAAGAAGAGAATAAAAAAGAAAATAAAATCATGGCTGAGTAAACAACAAGAGGCAAAAGTTTGGCGCCATATAAAAGAGTAGTGACACGGAATACGGGAGAGACGACATCCGACCAGGATAGCATAATACGGAGAGGGGAGTGAGGACAGGGGATAGGAAAAGGCAGTAGCCGAGCCGGTCCATGGCTGAGAGATCATTGTACCATGTGTCTTTGTAGTGTTTGGAAAGTGCGACTCTCAGGTCCTTGGCATGGGAACTGATAGGCCGTCTTCTTTTGATTCATGTTCATTGATGTGGTTACTAAGTCATGTGCGAGTATGCTCTCCCGCGGAAGGCTACTCCTAGTAAGTACTACTAGTCTATGAGTGGGTTGCAGCTCGATAAGCATGCCTGGATCTGTTACTTTCATCCCGCTTATTAACGTCGTTCCTGTCTGAGAAGAACTTTACCAGATGACTCAGTGCGTATTGCGTTCCGTCTCGCGATTTTTGCCTTTATCTTTGTGTTGGTTTGTTGCTTCTGTCTACCTTAGACGCCTTGGGGGTGTAAGCATAACCTTGCAAGAACCGCAGGGAGCTACAGGTGTGAACGAGACGCAACCTTGTCTAACGTCCCTCCCTGTTACATCAACGGTGGTATTGTGCAGATGGTTGGCTAAACTGATACTACTACTAGTAATTCCACGGAAGATGGTAGACGTTCATTGGCTGCGTATTGGCCTCGTATTGGGACCCACAGAAGTGTTAGGGGCTAAGCCGTATTGGGTTAATGCTGGTCATCTCAGCTTAACAGCGTACTCCATATGTACATACCTTATTCTTGCCTTATATTGCAGGTCCCCACCACGATACAGACAATCCAAGCAAACGTCAACAACATGGTCCGCAGATGGAGGGGATACTGTTGTTCATATAACCCAATGATAGTACTACAAGGCTTCGACAAAGCCGACCTCGCGCATGACCTTAGTAAGCCTGATGCTGTCATTTCCAGAGATGGGTCGCATCCACCTCGTAACATTAAGTTTAAAAGTTCCGATGAATGGGGTATTTTACATGCGGGGTATACCTGTATTTTATTTTTCTTGTTCTTTGTATGAATTTCTCGCAACCGTCAGTTGTTTACTTCATCCGAAATAAGAACAGAGATACATCAGCCCCCCAATTATTGTTCATTACCCACGAGATATGTGCAATGACACCCCCATTATTCACCCTTCATTGAGATGTTAAATTTTCTGAAAAGATGGGCGGCGGGAGGGGGAGCGAACTATTTTCGTAAGATCTACACTACCTCCTGCGCGGTCGCAAGACATTATGTATGCGCGTGAGATTTATTGTTTAGCGTCCATGGTTGTCTGAGGGTGATACTCAAATAGTGAGGTAGCGTATTGGATTTCAGTCTGTTCCGGTGATCGTCGTGTAACATACCGACGGGTAATAATCGACTCTTCCTTACCACCTAAAAGTATTTCCTACCCAACATAGCCGGATATGTCTCGGAAGAGCATGACGAGCCTAAATGGCCTTTATCTGATCCTGGAGGATGGACGGAAGATCAACATCGGACATGCAGAGAGTATGTTCCTCAGAAGCGCACCTTATAAAAAGCCTACAGAAAATGGAATATTTGACAAGCCTATCGAAGAAACCTGGTCATCAGGCAGCAATCTCATGAAGAACCTTAAGATTGCACAAAATAGCCTGCGTGAGCATGGTCATTTTCTAGAGTCTGATGCCCTGAATGATGTCCTTATTACCTGTGCACAACCCCTGAACTGGGTAGGTTAGGTCTGACGGAACATGCCGACCTTACCGAGGAGCAAGAGTCCGAGGTTCTCTTTCTGGTGTCGGCATGGTGGAAAGCGCTGAATTCAGCAGACAGGGCCAGGTCATTGCCCGCTCCGCTGCCTACCCGTCCCGAAGCCCGGAGGGGCATCACCCTGAGTGAAAAGATCTTCTCATTGCACGACACTGGCTAGCCGGGGTCGGTAGCTTCGGGCAACTTGATACAAATAGATGTGGATTGAGTGATGGCATCGGAGGCTTCTTGGGCAGTAAGTGCATGCCAAAGCTCTTCCTCTCCTCTTCGCCGCTACTGCGCTCACGGGGCGCTCCAGGTCATGGAGTCAACGTACAACCGCGTTAGGAAGCCGGGGATCTTCCGTAATAACCGCTTCTGGCTTGCTGGAGATCATGTAGTTGATCCTCGGGTCAACAGCCTTCCGAGAGTTCAGGCATTGATCAATGCGAGTGAAAGAGCAAAGCGTGTGTTTAAGTTGCCGGATTACCAAGGGATAAATGTTAGCTCACTATTCAAAACTCGACTGATCGTCTAGTAAGCGAGCATAGTATACAATTATCCATACGGAGTTCTATCGTAAGCGGGCACAGCCGGGCATACTCATAGTAGGGTCGCACTCACATATTCACCCTAAGAGCTTGGTGCCTGGCTATCGGTCTTGGTGCGGCGGATGTAACAATGCCGTTGGTAACCGGAGAGACATGGTTCGAAATCCCAGAATCTACGACCGGATGATGTTGTTCCCGTGGTTGATTGTGAGGGCATGAAGTTGGACGGTTGCTTTATTGGAGCCTGCACCACTGCTGAAGAAGATCCGATACTGACCGCTTTAGTACTTGAACAGGGTCTGAAAGGTGGAGTGAGGCCATTAATAAAAGGCAAAAGGAAGGCTGTCCCTGGATCAATGCCAATCTTGTATCGACTACGCCAACTCGGCATCGTCGAGGTTTACGAGGAAGCGGGATTTGAAATCGGTATCCCTGGTTGTAGCTACTGTGTTCACATGTCTGCTGACCAGGCATGTCTGGGTGAGGTATGGTTGTCATCGTATAATAGGGACTGTGAGAATAGAATGGGAAAAGGTACAGTTCGAGACTCTGTGCCAAAGGTCTCATCTATGTACTGACTTCATGAAGGCTCAATCGGACACCTTAGGTCTGCTGCCGCTGTTGCTGCATCTTCGTTTGATATGAGATGTCATTAATCCTACCTATCTTCTGGGTGACATTGATACAGAGAAATGGCATAAGCTTGGATGGGCTAAAGGTTAATATGCCAGGAGCCTTGACCGAGACAGTAAACTATGTGGAACCGAGCGAGTCTTCACGGCCTTGCTGTAAAATCTAGGACAAGAGACTCGCCATTAAAAGTGCACTAGTTGAAACCTCTTCAGTAAAGGATTCGCTTCTGAAAGGGAGAGTGCAACTACTTGGAGACTTTATAGGTACAGACGGCGTAGGTCCTCGACGGCTAAAGAAGATCGGACGAGCATGGTGAACTAACAGAGTGTTAACGCTTGCGCCAGCTGAATTCTTGATTGGAATGATGACTAATGAGGCAGCCGGGGAGCATTACTTGCAGTATACCCTTCCAGAACTCTGTGGCCGTGTGTAAGAGGGTTTCAATATTGTTGTTGCCGGCAAGGCCTTTGGCTGTGGATCCTCTCGGGAACAGGCTGTCATGGCACTGCTGGGTATGTTACCCCGTATCATATCCTTTTCCATGCTTCATACCCATTTGTTTCCAACATGTATTTCGAAGGGTGTGGTGTTAAATGTATCATTGCTGAAAACTTTGCTTTCATCTTTCAGCGCAACATGCCAAACCTTGGACTCCTTGGCATTACCATGCCGGAGAGATCATTCCACGCGGCTGTCGAGGATGGAGCGGATATCACGATTGACTTCAATGATAGGATCATTGATATGGATGGACAAACATTCAGGTTTAATCTCAACCCAATGGAGAGAGCGCTCTTTCATCATGGTGGTATTGCGTTCGCCTGTAGAAGGTCTGACAGTAAGTTGTTTGAAGCGATGACGGAGGGAAAGAGCATGGGTCTAACGCCTGATAATGGCATTAAACAGTCCGCGGACTCATATCCCGAGCTGCAGTCGTGGGAGTCCGAATTATTTGCCTCTTTCGTACATCAATACGCGTTCGCGTAGAGTTGTTTAATCCACGTGTCTTCTAACCCTCTCAAGCTTAACGAAATGGAAGGAACAAGGATCAACTTTTCTAATCGTGTAGGATATAAACTGGCTATTGTAACCCACCATACCAGACAATATACCTCGTAGGCTTTGTGCATGGTTTTGTTCGTAAGCTTGGTGTTATAGAAGCTGCTTGGTCACGTTGCCGTTAGTACCACTCTGTAAGGAAGGCGAGGCCGGTGCCGGGCCGGTTCAGCTTCGAATTAATTATTCCTTCCGGTTCTTGATCTTCTTACCGGTGCTCACTCTCCATTTATAATACCACTATCAGTCACCTACAGATTTCATGTCTTGTGTCTCTGTACCTCTACCAGTGTTCTTGATCTATATCTGCGCTCACATCTTCCTGGATTGTCAACAGTCAGCAGGATGGCAGGAATCTTTATCTATTTGCAGTATCTCCTGGGACGGTGTCTCTATCGCATTCGTGGCCACGATGCGGGATTGATCATCCGGACTGCAGCCTTTGAGAACCTCCCACTGTCGAATATGCAGCTGGAAGCCACAGAATGCGGACCGTCCGGTGCACCGATGCTCCCACACCACACTTGCTTAGCTGCCGATAAGAATGGTAGCTTCCCGGAACTCCACTGGACCCCTCCTCCCAAGGTCGAAGTCAAAGAGTATATCCTGATCTCCGAGGATATTGACCCGCCCATTCCTCGCTTCGTTGTCATGCATGGCCTGTTTTATGCCATTCCACCTACGATTACAGGGGTGCTGCCAGACGATACTGAACAGGACAGAAACACAAAAGACCATGTTACCCGGTCTGGCTGGAGATTTGTCCCCAATCTACTCGGAAACTCCTACAATGGACCTGCCCCACCCTTAGGACACGGCTCTCATCGATACATCTTTACTGTCGTTGCCCTCAGCGAGTCCCTTCGGTTCGATCGTTCACAACGGGTCAGCCAAAAAAAGATCACAAAAGCGATGGCTGGCAAAGTCGTCGGATGGGGTCAGTGGGTTGGGCACTTCGAACGTCCCTGGCCTAGTTAGACGGTACTTGCCCCAATGTACGGCGGATGATAATGTCACAGATTCTATAAACACCTGGGCGATCTCATGGACCAAGAGAGGGAGAACGTGCTGTTGGAACAGTGAGGCCTGGGACGATACGATGAAGTGGTATACTTTTTCTCCCTGTACTGTCTTTCTTATTACTACCTCACTACCTAATAATGCCATTATAATAACCAGAAAACAATTACCCTCGAACCGAACCAACAATGCCTTGAGAAGGTGGCTACCCCTTGGTATTTCTTTAGCCCACTGATGCAATTAGCTTATCATACATGGATATGAACTGGATTACGTACGTTGTTCGACTTTTATCTGATCCAGGAATGATACGAACCGATGCATAGTTGACTGGATGGACGACTCATACGCCCGCAGGGTTGCTGCCCCAGCTGGGTGTACCTGTGTATTGTCCGTCGGAAACGTTCGAAGAATCCCCTTAAGTGCCTCTAGTAGGCTGAGGAGCCTCATAGAATTGCGACACAGAAGGGTTCGGACTAACATCCCCGTCTCGGCTTCGTCCAAATCTGTTTCCCCTAGCTGCACCTTGCTTCGAATGCAGATAAATTGGGGTAGGGGCTGCTCAAATGCCAGGATATTCGCGTCGAAAAGGCAGCTCTTGGGGGTGATGCTGTATGCTGAGCATACAGCCTCAAATAGCGAAAGACAGTGATCAGTGAGGGCAGGGATGGTTATGAAGGAGGAGGTTTGTGGTGGAAGTTTGCGACAAGCTTTGCAATTCAACATAACTTGTCCTTGATTATAGACGCGCTGGACCAGGTCCAGAATAGTCTCAAACTCCACGACCGCGTCTACATTCCGAACCTCCGTCAAAATTTGCAAGGCATCAGTTGAACACCCACAACTGCTTTCGGGTTCCATCAGTGGGAAGCAGTTACAGCGGATTGGTCCTCACACTTGTTTCTGGCAAACAAAGCTGTTGTCGCGAAGACAGAACACTTGAGGGTCCTTTGATAGATGCTCACATTACGCACTCAGGGTGTCGAGCGACCAGTCGCGTGAATCAGAAGTCTATCACGCACGTCTTACTACATCGGGAAAAGGGGCATGTTAGCTTAGAGCTTGAAAATCCTCTAAGGTATTTCCTATTCACAAGGGCGCACATAACCCTCGATTACTCCAATAGAAATACGACTTTCTAACATGATGTGATGGCTCACTTGATAGCCGCCTCACATTTCGTCAGCTCGAAGTCAACGAGGGAGCTCTGTTGGTCCGTTTCCTATGGAGCCTGTTCGTCGTGGCACACTGACGTTCTAAGACCCGCGAAAGGGTCACACAGAAGTTGACAGAGAAAGGTAATAGTTCCCAGCTATCATACCCCCGGAGTAGCGGTCAATCCGGACTAGTATCCCGACACCTACCTTTCATATACAAAGTCCAGTGCCATGCAAATAGCCAGGCATGGCCGCATCTACGGACGGACTGGACGTCGCTATTAGGGCGCGAGCATTACTGATTATATCGGAGGTTCAAAAGGAAATGCACAGGTATGGGGCAGTGACTATCATTCACACGCAACAGACCATAAACCATAATAATATTTTAGCTCCAGAATTATACCTGTTCAACGTCTCGCCGGTGATTTCATTTTCGTCATGACCAACTGAACCCTTCGATTCGTCTCTGTAATCATGCTTAATCTTCCCAATGATGACGGAAGTGCCAATATTTCCTCGGTACAGCGCTGTATCCGACCGATGGTCCTTGACAACCCGCAAAGTCGGGCGTGCAAAACTTGCTTCACAAAAGCAAATTTCTCTTCTGATGGGACCGAGAACCCACCCACTAGCAATGGGCATTCCTCCACCTGTGCCTTGAAGTGGAAGTTTGCGTTTTTGCATCGACGATTGACAGCCCCGTTTGAAATCTCTTGGCCATATTCCCGAAGACGAGTGTCATGATACTCGACAAACACGCCATCCCAAACACCACTGTCAACAGACGTGATTGTTTCAAGCGCAGTTACTAGGCTGTCAATACTAACAACGACTATCATGAGCAAGTTTACCCGTGTTTTGCAGCAAATGGCACATTCAAGGATAGTATCGGTCAATTGCTGTAAGATCTGCTGGCATTTCAAGATCGAGTCTATGGTGACAGTTGGCCATGTGCGGGAAGCACTTATATTGAGCAGCATCAGATCTCGGGCAATGTGATCATGGCACTGACACTGATACTCGCGGGTCGAAAGAGTCGTGGGCAGCCCTAGGCCTTCCAATGAGTGACTATATTCGTGGGTGTGTCGTTGTCCCTTTGTTGTAATTACTGGGTTTAGGTGTTCACCCGTGCCGGATAATCTAAGATAATCATTCTCCATCGAAGGCGGTACAGTCTGTGGCCAAACTGACAAATCCCTTTTGATAAACCCCGTATAAGGGGACTCTATATCACTCATGGCCTGCGCACCTTCAGTCGTTGGCTCACCATAGGCTGAAAATCCACTTGTTGGTGGATAATACGCGACCAATGGCACCTGGTCTTGCAGCTCAGACGCAGCCACATCAATGGTCTTGGCAGAGCCGGCGAAATCTTTTGTGCTGGATGGAATCGCTGCGAGACCGCTGTCAGCGCTACTAAGCCCAAGGGCACCGAGAAAGTTGCGGTCTTGCGTCAGGTCGGCCGACTGTCCAGATATAAACTCCTGTAGCCAGTTGTCGGACAGGTCTATGGTATCCGAGCCTGGATGACACAAACCAATCGTCTATGTTAGCTTGACTACCCTATAGGGGATGTAAAACCAACCCTCATAAAGTGATAATTTGTCTGTATCTAGGAATGGTGGGGTTGGTAAGCGTGTATCCTCGGTGGAAATATCATCTACAATGGAGTCGTCGAAGGCGAACTCGTCCAGGATCACCTCCTCGTCATCCTGGGGATTTTTTATTTCCTGCCCACTTCTCTGCCCTGAGTCTCGCTTTACCTTCCTTTTCCTTGGACTCCGAACTCTTCGATTGGTCTGATGACGAGAGTGATCTGAGATTCCACGATCAAGGGAATCGTCTTGTGCATTGTCTCTCTTCTTTGCTGGTCTTCCCAGGCGTCGGGACATGCTGTAGATACAATCGATGTTGTGTTTCTGACATCGCCGGCACGATGGTCTCTCATGGCTACAACGTATTTTAGCTTGCTGACAAGCGTTGCAAGTAGATCGAACTTTGACACTTTTGGGGAGAGGGTCGGGAAGAATTCTGGACAACCTGTCTCGATTCATGGCGACTGGATATAATACCGTGTCTGGACCGATAGGTGTTTTGAGCTACCCTCGAACCTTCTGTCCGGCATGCTATATACCGGCCGATCAGCGTCTTTGTGAGGGTGCAGTCCATCTCATTGCTACCGTCTCCGTAATTACCCTCAGATATCAATAGGCTCAAAGTTCAACATCAAGGTAGCAATGGGATGCAGCTCTATCCTTATCCATGTTACATCACCCAGGTTCCACACCCGATTCATCGGCAATTCCAGGTATTTGGAATTAATCATAGCCGTAGGGCATTATGCCTAGGGCCTCGCAGTGGTGTGATTAATCGCCATTCATATTGCCAAGTCTTAGGGTTCAACTTCGTGGGCAGTGCTACTGTGATCAAAGCTAGTGCGAAAGTTTATTGATTTGCCTACCGCCTGAACTCCGCAGTTACGAGGATATGCCACATCCACCCTTAGCCCCTTGTCTAGACCGTTCGCGCGGAGCCCTTCAACCCTGTCGTCCTACATGACAATCTGCAGGCTCCCTTCCATCTCACATGCCCTCGCCCCCGACGAACCCGTGGGATCAGCCCCCTCGCACAACATAGACCTTAGCCACGTCGTCGTCGGGCTAGCCGTAGCCGTCGGCCTTATCACGCGCCCATCATACTCCACAAGGAAATAGTTGCCGGCCGCTGGCGCTTCAAGCCTAGCGATGTCTACGAACTGCTGGATATCGAAGCCTGCTCTCGCCTCTGCCGTCTGCGGGAAGATATGGCAATAACACTTCGGGAACCGGTAATCACTCTTCTGGTTAAACAGGAGGTATACATATCGATGGTGCGAGAACGGTGGCGGTCGTGGAGCGATGTATTCGGCTCCCATGCTCAGGTTGACGAGGACACCTCCACCTGAATTTCCCTCTCTTTTCTCCACCATTTCTTTACTATTTGATATATCCATCATAGCGCCTTGCTGCATAGTGCAAACCATATCGGGTTGATACCAGTGTAATGCGACTGTTGCGTTCATGCCGTAGATAACGTCCAAGTCAAAGAATAGTAGCAGATAGGTCAATTCAGAATTTAGTCCGCGCGCGCTTATGATAGGCAGGTTTGCCGTTTCTATTTTTTTTGGTACAAAGGATTAGGCATTATCCCAACCATAAAATAAGAATAAATGAGAACCATACTGGACTTCAAAATCGTATCCCCAGGATATATCCACGATGTATCAGGATATCGCAAATACAAGATCGGAATATCTGGAGGAAGAGGACTTATCTGAGCTGCTGCCCGTGTCCAAAGGAGATATAATAAAATGCATAACATTGTTCCTAACATGTAGTGATATTTTATAACCCTGAAATAGATAATCACAATCACTGGACTTCATAATGCTCTTATAGTACTCGCTTCATTCCTGCCATATCAAATCGAAGACACGACGTGTGTAACACTGAAGGCACGGCAATTAACCATGACAAACAAAACCAAACAAAACTGATGATCTGTGCTTTAGGGTCAACGACCACCCTACAAACATCGGGGAAAACATAATTCACGAATGAGATAATGAAAAGCTACCGTCACAAGGAGATGATGAGGCGCACAAGAGTTGATCGAATCTAAACAAACACCCACAATCATAGGCTAGCGATAGGCCCATCCTGCACAATAGTAGGTAAAGACAAATGACTCTACTCTCGTTTCCTCCACCGTAAGCCCCATCTCCATACCATCCATAGTAAAGGAACGACGCTTAGTACGACAACTGCCACACCGCCATATGTTGCCCTAACACCCCGGTGCTGGATACTGGGATGGATGAGGGCTGTTGCTGCTGCGCCTAGGGAGCATCGGACGAGGTTATTTGTGGCCATTATTGTTGCTGGTGTTGTGTAGTGGAGGTCCACGAGGAGGATATTTAGGATGTTGTAGGTGGCTGTTAAGGTGAAGGATATGGTAAATATGAGTGTTAGGGTTAGGGCGAGGGGTGGTGGATTGGTGCTTGGGGTTGTGAGAGCGTAGATGAGAATTGGGAAGGGAGCTAGGAGCTTTTGTAATATTAGTATAAAATAGTATGGGTGGTTAGTGCGGTTAAAAAAGCAGATGGGGATGTGGGTGCGTACTGTCATCGGTCCCCCGACCCCTAGTCTGGCTTTCTCAAGCTCGAAGTTCTCCACGTCCTGTCGGCCCTTTGCTATCATTCGCCTGTAATTCCAGTCTACGATCATTCCATTGAATGTTGCGCTCAGTAGGGTGCCAGCGCCCATTGGGATAAAGCTTAAGCCAATGCTCAAGTCACTTAGTCCGTAGATTGATCTGAGTTGGGAAGGTAGACCGGCTGTTATCGCGTAGTAGCTTGCGAAGATTAGGCCGTTGGCCAGGAGGATGAGGCCTGTGGGGAGGTGGAAGAGAAGCGAGAGCGTAGATAGGGGGTCGGTCTTTCTTTTTGGCAAATGTGCTTGGAGGGCCGGTTCTGAGTTGGCACATGGAATAGGAATGGGCTTTCTGTGAGGCCGTTTTGACATCCACCAATTGAGGATGGATCTATTCCAGCCCGATGCTGGGATTGAGCCATCTCCGACAATCGTTCGGCATGTTTCTGGAAAGAAGAGCACGAGGGGGATGAGAAAGATCGTGCATGACATTGCTAGGAACCAGAATATCGACTGCCATCCTAGACATTCGCTCAAGACACCACCGAGAAGAGGTCCTAGTGATGGCGCAAGGATGTTCCCTAAGGAGGTAATGCTCATGTACGTTCCCCGTTCAGCGGAGGTGATGACATCGGCTGCGACGGCTGATGCCAAGGCCACAGTGCCGCTGCTGCCGGTGCTCTGAATCGCGCGGAGGATCAGAAGCGCAGGATAGCTGTGTTGGAGGGCTAGGGCGATATTGCTTGTTATATAAATCAAAAAGCAGAGAATGTAGGCCGGGCGGCGGCCAACTTGATCTGCGAATGAGCCTGTGAGGGTTGGAGCTAAGCCTTGACATATCTGCACGTAGTTTAGGATTGAGTAACGGTTGAATATATCAGAGGGTACTGTGAGAAGCATGATGTACCATGTATGTAGTTATAGTTAGGTTGATTTGGGAACTGGTTACATCTAGGTCGGCAGCTATAGAATTGAGGGCTGGGTAGTAGATGTTAGCAGAGATGGGGGAGAATGTCGACGCTATGGCTGCTGTGAGCATAATCAACTGCTTCTGTCTGGTAGTAAAAAGTGAATATCGTTCTTTCTCGCAATGAGGTTGTAAAAGGGGTGTGCTTTCGGTAGGTCGTCCTTCTACCGAAGCTTCTTGGCTGTTGTTCATCTCTCCTTGGCTCTTCTTCCGTAGGGAGGGCTATGTACATTGAGGGCTGAGGTGGTCTACTATGTGCAGTAGCTATGAGGAAAATATGTTATCAAGCACCTTCATAAAGGTTGGCAAGTCCCTAATTCCCAGCATAGCATTCCTTTGGGTTAAAGTTGTTAAAGCCTCAAAGCATAAAGCCTTCTGCGCGGCCACCATGTTACTGAGTGATACACAAAGATAAACCTTACAACTCACACGGTCAAATCTTTGGCAATGGCCTGTTGACCTCTGTTTCACCTGTGTATATGTGCGATGGTCGAAACAACTTGCCGCGTGTCACTGCCATGAGTTAGAATACTCCGTTATCTGACCACAATCAGCACATACACATGTATTCCCGCCAATGGGCCATTATCCCTATTATTCGCTGTGTCAACATAGCAGCTGGAATGATATCTGGGTCGAAGCCACTATCCACTAGTCAGCTGCCGTGGGGTGATTCATGTGCTGAGCTCGTAGCTTACATCGCAGTGAAGACGAAGTTACCATAAAAGTCGGCATTGGGGTACAGTCCTCTGCGGCTGAAGTAGACGTCCGCTGAGGCTACTTCCTCGATGCGCTCGGTTATTTTCAAATACTGATTCGATGATAAGTCCAGATCCTTCAGGATTGACTGAATTGGGCGCACCCTGGGATCAAGACCTTTGTATGAGCGATGTCCATATCCGAAGAGCTTCGTTCGCCCGGTTTTAACCTCCTCGATAAACTCGGGAACCTTCTCCGTTCTACCGATGTCCCGGAGTATACGCTGGGCGGACACGGTAGCACCAAAGTGAAGGGGCCCATATGCGGCTGCCACCGCACTGATCAAGCAGGAAATAGGATCCGTTAACGAGGATGCTGTCACTAGTGTTGAGAATACGGTCAGGGCCATGCCATGGTCGGCATTCAGCATGGCAAAGCGCCGGAAGCATGACAGCTTAATTGGATCTGGGCGACTGGAATCCCGATCCACCAACCCTGCCATAGTGAATAAATTCGCACAGTAGCTATTCTCCGATGATGGTAGTTGAAAATCAATACCCTTCCGATGGCTATTTACCAGACCAAAAATGACACCATATGCCGCTACAGTTCGGATAACCGCATCATCGACATTACGCAGGTTTCCTTGGTATAGACTCGCATGTGTTGATGCGGGAATTGTATCTGGAAAGCACGCCAGATATGCCGAGAGCCCGGCCAGGATCAGTGGCAATGGAGATGTTCTGCGGCTGTAGCATCAAAGTCAGTCATTGCAACAAGACTATGATCACACGAGCGCTTACGGAAGTCCTCGAACTGTTCGATGCACACTTTCTGGGACAGCCAGCATCTGTTCTGTAAGCTTCCTGTTTAAGTCCCTCTTTTCCTGCATTGTTGGATATGTGCCCCAGACGAGCAGATGTAACATGTCCTCGAAGTCGCTGTCCCATAGTTGGGCCAATGTGTAACCGCGAAAGAGAAGTACACCTCTTTCATGATCCCTACGCACGTCAGTCTGTGCACCGTTTCGCCTTCCCCTGTGTCGTACGAATAACTTATAGCGGACTCTATCACCGCTGTATTCTGTAGCCCTGGGTCGTGTACCCGCAGCCCACCAACCGCATGATCTGATCGATTTGTACCAGTTGCTGGTGCCGTGATCCTCTTGAGATCAAGAGCAGAAACCACATTTTGTTTGATCGGAATCTCGTACTTCTGCTTCGTCCGAGAGTCGACGATATGAAGAGTCCCTGACGACATCGGAGGTTCTCGTGGCCTTTGACACGTGCAGTCACGAAACTCTCCAGGTTGCTAGAGCGATTTCGAGTCTCACCCTATGCTCTGGAAGCTTCGTACATCGAAGTGAACAATAGTACTCACAAGCACAAGGGAGTCATCCACTTTATAAGTTGCCATGTATGCTACTGCACATTCTTCCATCGCTGGTCAAGGGTTTTCGGTACGTACCAGGTGTAATCTTCTGAGACGGGTAGCTGAGTACGCCGTCCATCATATGAATAGTCTGGCCAAGCAACCGGGAAGTTTTCAGTCCTTCCGACTCAAACCCAGTATATCCCCGATCGAATATTGATGGGACCGCCCAACTTTCAACGCAAAGTCTTCTGTTGTCAGTCTCCGACTTTAGATATTGCTATCAATTGAGAGAATTAAGAGCTTACAGTCCATTATTCTTTCAGTAAAACGTGACTTGAAGAATAGCAGCTAACAATTACCGTCCATCAACTAGACCTAAAGGGTGTGCGGTGCAGGTACGTAGCGTACTAAGTTACACCAAGTGCGAATTTCTCAATTGCCATTCCAGTTTCATTTATTAGATAGGTCATAAACTATTCATCGTCCAAATTATTGTGCCTTGTGAAAATCATCCATCCGCCGTGATATGTTTATTCCGGCATGTTCTTGAAAGGCTTCGCGAGATGCTCCTGGCAGAATGGAAGCTTACTGACCGTCCAGATTTCGGTGTCCTAAACAGACATATCGCGTTAGCTGCAGGGCAAAAGGGAAACTATCATAGGGGCTCATACAGGCTTCAAGGTCTTCTTAATCTCCACATCAAGGGTTCCGGCCTTCAAGGCGATGATCTCCGGGGCTGCTTCTGGGTCGTGGGCAATAGGGGAGCCGCACTCCGAACAGAAAATTCGGTGCACAGCTTTGCCTGAAGATCCCGTTCCTGCGTAGCTCTTGGTGGGTCCATTGATCGTCAATTTGTCTTTAGGCACTACCGCGACGAGAGCTGTGGAACGAGAGTAATATTAGCACATGGTCTCCCGTAGACCATATTCGAGTAAGAGATGTCGAGAAATGGATGTTAAACATAATCACACATACAATAAGTTGATCCACTCTGACGCTGGCAATCGTCGCAGTGATCGTACGCGGTGATGAGCGGTGCCTCGACGTCAGCCTTATAGGTGACGGCTTTGCACAGACAGTGACCGGACAAAGGCATTCTGATGTCACGAATCGGATCGGTTGAAGTTAATTGGTGTAGAGTAAAGCGAACAAGGTTCTCATGGGTTGGGGACCTTCGAGGAATGATGGCACCTACGGGGGTATTTATAGCCCTCCATGGTCCCCCGGTCATTCACCTGAATATCGATTCTTTGAAAGGGAATCAACTCTTTCTCAGCCGTGGTTGGCATTGCTACATTGGGTGGGAAAGAATCCACCGGTAAGGGTATTTGTCATTGCGGCGTAACCAAGTGGAGAGAAAACAATGTGAATCAATCGCTGGTAAGCAATCCAAATGGATGAAAAGAGTCTCATGAGGGGCAAAGCTGAAGAGGGTCCTTGCGTCACGGGTTGAACTTTGCTGGAATTAGCCAGTCGGTCACGTTATCCCGCCTCCACCAACCTATCTCACTCTCTCTGCCTCCTCTCGCTTTTGTTGTGTTTACCTCTTCTTCTTCTCGCTCCCTCACTCACTCAATTGTCCTCGGGAGTACCCATCGCTGCGTTGGTGAGAATCGCGTATTATCTTTACACATTCCCATCAATTGAGTAACAGAATCCTCCCGAAGTACTCCGTAACCTCCTGGCAAAGACAACCCCCTCATCTCAGCTATGCAAGCCCCTCCATAATCCACTACTTGATCTGCAATATTCCCCACTCGGAAGGAGCTTAGATCATGATTATTTGATGGCTGATTACTGATAGTACCAAATGAGCCACTTCAGCCGGTCGCAAACCTTGTTTTGCAGAGACTATCTCAAACCAATTGATTTTCCTTTATGCAAGAATTTGTCATGTTTTATGCCGAGGGCGGCCGAACGGATCTCCAAAAGTCATTCGGTCAATGAGGCGTCTCTGTCCTTTGTCACCGCAGTTTTCGTTGAGTGGGGTCCAATGTATATGAATGGGACTAACGCGGTGAGAAGCACGGATCGTCCGTCCAGGCCCACTGTCACATCTCCCCCTCAGGCGCTTCTATCATCTGCATATTATGCAATGCCCCTCCATGCACCCTCAAAAATGAGATACTACATCTAATCAACATGGGTCTGGGGTGTTATCCAAGATTTTGTCACACCACTTGGGGATATCCCAGACCCTTCCCTGGGTTATGAGGGCGCCGAGCGCCGTCTGCTTGGGTATCTGTCGCTTGCTTTTTCGCTTCGCATTATTGAAGATCGGCTAAGGGGATTTCCGTTGCCATTACCAGTACATTATGAGACCATCTAATATGACCGACAATCTCATAGTCTTTTGATCGGCTCAGTTGGGGGGGATATTCTTTGGCGCTGGGTCCCTCGCGAACATAGGTCAGCTTTCCTGGCCATTGTTCGATTGTCTTGCGGGAAACGACCTGTTTACATCTCACTCCAAAGTGTTGTATGAGCAGATCTCAGGGATCTGAGGGACCACCTGTACCATACAACCTTGACTGTGACTCGCCTATGAACATTCCTCAAGAGATATATAGGAGTCATAGGCGCGTAGGAAAACACTCGGAGTACGGCTAGTTACCTAATACGCTCTGAATGGCTGATATCTAGGGAGGCTGGTATGATTTGTCCCAATTCAGGGTTCAGAAATAGCCATCCACGCCTACTGTATGGGCCATCATCGCAAATCCTCCTGAGCTTAACTGGCCAACTGCCATTCATAAACAGATATAGACACGTCTCTTCCCAATAGTATAGGCCCTATTGCTCAGTCCAGCCTGCAAACTAGTTTCATACAGAGCCAAGGGTTTTCTTTTCCGGGAAGTGTTTATTGCTATATGATAGAATACGGGCGTTAAGAATAGCAAATCCTTCTAACGGCCGCTGTACCGCAGTTTAAACTTCTAATGTCGCGATCAGCTAACATCCGATCTAAACACTTTCGAGAACAAGGTCAGCCTGCGCGTGAAGAAAACTGCTAAGTTCCATTCAACAAAGTCCGCTCACTTCTATCGGCAACGACAGACCAGGTTGCAGCGCCCCACAAGATATCCCCGGAAGATCGTTCCTATTCGGAATAGGCCGAGCTTTGGTACTCATACGAGTTAAACTGTTCAAGGTGCGGCTCTAGGTTGTTTGTTCAAACTACATTGAAGGATGTTTCATCTGTGATATTACCCCTAAAGTCTGTGCCTGTTGGACAACCTTATGTGTAGTATTGCTTTGTGGCTTGTGCAACAGACTTTTCCTTAGCATCGATATTGATTGGCTTCACCGCCAGGCCTTGCGTGGTCGCTGAGACCCGTGTCAATACTGATCCGTATTACCCAATGATCTTCCCCTCACAAAATACCTGCAGCTTCACCCATGACCAGCTTTCCTCCGGTGGGTTCACTGTTGGTGATACTGCGGCAATGTCCCCGCTGATACCATTGTCAATGCATCTGCCGCAATATAGATCTGCTTCTCAGACTTGCGGTTATTTGTTTAGAAAAAATAAACCCCTTGTCGTTCGCTCGTCACAGATGATTGGTCGATACGGACCATGGAATTGTTGACTAGTACTAGAGTCTTTGATGCACAAAAGCATATATCTTGCAGTCAAAGGCTGACACTTCCGATAGATTGTCATTGACACAACCTACCTCTCCCTGTCCTGTACTTAGATTGTGCTGAATACTGTATAAGTTACGGACATGCCTACAAAGGTGACATATAGGCCCACACGCGTCGGTAGAGCTATACTGTTCAGCCATAAGGCAGCTATACATCGGTAGAGTAGTACTGAGAAGTATTGGCGCGCACGTAAGATTAGGCAACATCATCAATCATTGAATCTTACCTTTCGCTATACCTTTTCTTCAGTAATTCGCCGACTCCATCTCATGATAAGCTTATGGCACAACGTCCCTACAGTTAAACACCCCTTGTAGCGTGTTATATTGACTATCCCGCTGGCCTATTTGGAATGAGGCTATCCAATCCAGTCGTATATCCACTCTAGTAATAGGCTACTCACATAAGTCTCAATCCAAGTCTAAAACATTCAGTAGAGTGGCTACCGGACAAATACACCGAGAACCCCGAAAGTCTCCTTGATCATTACTAGGACCCATAGTGTCATTGTGCCCGACTATAAGGTGAGTATATAGCATGTGAGAATCCATGGTCGATAGGAAAGCAACACTAGGAGATCAGCCGGGAAGCTGTTGCTGAAGACATGAGTGTCCCGGCTTGCATATGGCAATGACACCCCACTTTGTAACGCTGTGCAAGAGGCATCTTGAGCACTTGAAGAAAATAACGCAGTGTCCGTGTCACTTAGATAACTAGCGATGTTTTGCAGATGACCTCATATATCCGATTACCCAAAGGAATAAGGACATTAGATTATTATGTATGGTCCCTGTTCCACGTCACGTGTGACAGGTCCTAGCGGAAGTGTCATTACTCTCTGAAAGAGCTTGCTAGTCATACCTCTTCTTCTTCTTTTCGTTTCTTTTCTTTTCTTTCTTTTCTTTCTTTCTCTCTTTTTCTTTTTTCTTTTCCTTTTTTT